CCCCAACCCCAACCCCAACCCCAACCCCAACCCCAACCCCAACCCCAACCCCAACCCCAACCCCAGTAATAAAATATTTACTTTTTATTTTTAAAATCTTAATAATTAAAGTGAAAAAACTATTCATAGTTTTTTTTTTTGAATAATAAACTAGCTTTAACTAACTAAATAAATTAAGAGATCTAATTAAAAATAAATACAGATATTATAAATTTTTATATATAAATCTACTTTTTTTGAATAGAGGTTTTCTATAATTAAAATATCAAATAAAATAATAATAATAAAATAAATTCAAGAGCTTATTTCAATAAATTAAAAGATTTCCAAAAAAGTTTAAAAGTGAAAATAAAATATGATTAAAAATAACAAATTAAAAAATCACTAAAATTATTTAATCAATTTCATTAATATAAATATCAATTTTTAAAGATAAAAAAATAAACAGTTTTAAATATTAAAAATTAATTTAACAAATAATGTTGGTCAAACTAAGTTTAGAACTAAAGTAATGAGTGCTTTAGAGGTTGAACGCTCATGAGTTTCATAAAACTTACAATAATCTAAATTAGTATCTTATTTGAACATTTTGTATTGTTGATCAACACAATTAATATAAAATGCCAAGGAACTTAATTTTTTGTATATATTGTTATTGTCCATTTATTCCTATTCTGTTCCTAATTATTAAGGTGTAATGTTTTTTAAGATTATGCGATATAATTTATTTTATTCTGATAAGGACTGTTTGAAAAGAGGATTAAACTTTTCTTTTTCAGTCATTATATTATTAAAGATTGGTTAGAAGGTTTCATATAGAGCTTTTTCTTAAGGCGGGTAGTTAGGAAGAGTCTTTTTAATAAAAGCCATAATTTTTTATAGAAGTTCATCAAATAAGCATTTGAGCATTTTCAAATCAAAGCTAAAATACTTACGTAATTAAGTACGTTCATTACTTAACTCAAAGGTTTTATAGTCATCCAATGTAAATTTAGTACATTGATCAGGTTCATTAGTTTTTATTCTACGTAAGGCTTTATATATCTTAAGATAGCCTTTCTTAAAAAGGGTTATAGCGTGTCGAAGCATAAATGCCTCAGTCACGCTATTTTAAACTTCTTGGCTGTTTTATCTAATATCGAAAATATCTGACAGCAAAATAGCTAAGTGAGCAAAAAATATACCTTTATTACGCTTCTTTAAATAGTAATCTGTCATTTTATTTATTGTAAATTAGCGCTTTTGTAACTAAAGAGTGTAATCATATAAATTTTATATTTCTTGATGATGAGATCCTGATCCGTCTGCACCATTAGAATTGTTGCTTTAAACGCTTGTTTAAGAATTAATATTATTGAAACCACTATTATAGTTTGGAATATTTATCATTTATTAATTGTTATAATTTGAAATGTTTAGTAATTATTAGTTTGAATTATTGTTAGAGTCAATGCTATTATCAGAGAAGGAGCTAAAATTTTATAAATTCAAATTACAATCAATAATATGCTTATTGAATGTTTCTTTTTAGTGACACTCAAATAGGTTATGGAAAACACGATTTTATTCTATGTAAAGACGACAATATTCTTTCATTTTCATAAAAGAATCATTTACAAATCTCATTTCTACTGAATTTAGGGATTACAATAATACATCTAATTTAGTTTAGCTTTCAAACAAGGGTTCATTAATTAGCTCTTCCCAAGAAATACGATCTGATTCTTCAATTTTAAGCATATAAGAAATAACTTTTTTTACTATTAGACTCACTTAAGGAACAGCAGGAAACTCAAGAGGTTTTTATTAAATTTAGAATAAAAGATCTTAAGGTGAATCTGCTCTCCATGGTACTTTTCTATAAAGCATCTCATAGAAAATCATACTAATAAATTAAGTAAAATAAATTTTGTAAATAAAAATGATATAAAATCATGCTTAAAATAAATGCTAATTTAATTTTAAAAAATAAAAGATTTTTATTTTACTGGGTATCAAAATAATTTATGATAAATTTTATAAAAAATTTTAATAATTAATAATTTTATTGGAATTAAATCAGATATTTTTAAATGATAGGGACCCACATTTAGATTTTGGATTTTAAAGTTATAAAAATAATTATTTTTATATTACTTTTTATGATCATACTTTATTGATTTTAAAGTAATACATGCTTTTTTTCATGAAAGTAGTCAAAAATATGTTTAGTTTATTATTTCTCTTTAAATAAGATTTGATGGTTTTTTTATGAGCATATTGAAATACAAAGCATATAAATAAATTTTATTTTACCCTAATGACCACATATCAGCTTTTTTTGGGCAATACTCTTATTACGAAAGTAATTGGGGTGACATATATTAAGGAGAACCCAAAATAGAATGTCTTAATTTAGTATCATCATTCAATCCAACAACTTTTGAAAAACCAAAATCTGCTATCTTTGCTATTCCGTCTTTAAATAGAATATTGGCGGGTTTTAAATCTCTGTGAGCCATATTTTTTGCTAAAAGACATTTATATCCTTCAGTAATCTAATAAATAATATTAACTGCTTAACTTTCTGACAAACTTCCTTAATTATGCTTTAATATAGATTAAAGATTTCCGCCATTGCAATATTCAAGTATTAGATATATGCTATTAGATGATCTATTTATATTATATTTTTAATCTTAAATATAATGAGTAAATTTTGTTAAATTAGTAAATAATATTTGCCATTTATCAGCTAAAAAATTAATTTATGTAGAGACAATAGATAAAATCATACAGAAATTGAAATTTCTTTTAATGAAAATTAAAATTGAATAAAAGACTGTAAATATGATTACTTTTTTTTATCAATAAGTTTAACTATATGCTAGCCTTCAATTAGTTGCATGTTTGTAATTTCATTTTTGATTTGTTAGAAAATAACTTATGGGTTTTAACTTTCTGCTTCTATTTTTTTAATAGGAATAACTTTGATTGCAACATTTTCTTTTGTATTTTTATTGATGCCCTCAAAAACTTGGCCATATGATCCATTACCTAACATCTTATCCTAATAGATGACATAATCATCTACAATTTTATATGGCTATGGGTTTTAATTTTATTTCATATCCTTTTAATAAAATAGTTAGTTATTTTTAATATCCAAATTTAATCTATGTTTCTATCTTATTAAGCTTTGCGAGAACTTTAATAATTGTTATTATTTATTTAAGTAATTTATTTATATTATAGCCTCCTATTTTTATTTTTCCTTAAAATTTTTTTTGCATTCATTTAATACTATCTATCAAATAAATAAGCTATAACTAAATCATATATAATTTGATTATATTTTTTACTAAATATAAAATATAATGATATAAATAGTCTTTGAAATTATGTTATTATGATAGAAAAAAATAATATTTTTAATCAAAAAAATTGATCAGCTAGCTGATAACTATTAATAGTATTTAAAAGTAAAAGAAAAGTGTTTCATTTAATTATTTAATAAATTCAGAATATTTTTTATGATAGATTAATATAAATAAAAATGGAATTTAATTATTGAATATATTTAGATGATTTTTAATTTGGTTTTAATAATCTACTACATTCAAAAAATTTGCAAATTTTATTATCTAATAAATTTAAATAGAATTCTATTAATATTAATAATTTTAAATATCATTTTTTAATATTTATTAAAATTTAAAATTACTTTTTCATAATTAGTTTATAAATTTTTAAGTGAAGAAGTATTCAATAGAAACGATCAACTGTTTTAGATTAAATTAACTTATTTGTATTTTTTAACCAAATAACTAAAATATTAAAAAACTATGTCAATTTAATTATCTTAAGATAAAATATATTCATCCAGTTATTATTATGTTTAAAAAATAAAACTCAATATTTACATTTTATTTATATATATATATATAGCTAATCCCGTAATTAAAATATCACGAACTGTGTAGGTACAGATCGTGATATTTCATTTAATTTTTATATTCTCTATTTTAAGGATTTTAAAAAAAATGAGCTTCAAAATTCGGAGTGGATAAAGTTAGTAAAATTGTAATCTATTTTTAAATAATTTGATAAAATAACCAATTAAATATATAATACTCAATGGTACTGCCTAATTTTTCAAGGCCACATTAAACCAAGCATATTAAATATAGTTAGGCATCGCTCCATTTTATTTTTTCTAGGAATTAAGCAGCACTTTTTATCGATGTTAATATATCTTACTACCATATTTGAGGGTAATCCCATTTTATATAAATTTTAATTGCACGCTAAATTTAGCAGAAGTACAATGATGGTATATGAAACCTATTTTATTTAAAAGAGTATTATTATGCACAAATATTGCATTATCAGTAATTTAATTTAAATTAAGTCATATGACTTATTAAGTTTTATTGCTATAGAGAAAAAATCTTTTTTTAAAAAAAGCACTATTCAAATGGTGTTTCTATCGATGGTACTCTTGAAATCGATTTAAAGTTAACTACACCAGGCATTTGCAAGTACCCTTTTTATTTTAAAGCCCCCTCCATAATTGATTAAATTACCGTTTTTATTTTAATTTTTATTCTATTGCAAAATGTTTAGCAATGCAGTGATATTTATAATATTATTTTTATTTACTTACCCTGAAACTACTTGGGGTGGTTATTAAAGGATTTTAGCAGCATGCTGAAGGAAGGGGAATTTTTGTTTTACTTTTCAGAAATTTGTTTTAATTAATTTTTTTCTTTAATTATTTATAATAAGAAAAATAGCTCTTAATCTGACTCAAAATTTACTTAATAGGTAATTCGAATATTGCTTAATGATTTTTAAAATAGATAAAAGAAATATCAAAAAATTTTACAGATTCTCCAAAAAAATACTTTTTTAGATCCTAGATTTTAATTTTCATTTTACCAAGACAAATTGGTTTAATTAGAATAATTTATAAAACTAATAACTATATATTACAACGATTGGAAGAAAGAAGAGACTAAAATTGGTAATTTTTCTGATTAATAGGATAAAAATATGATAATTTTATAATAATTTTTGAAAGATAATTGTCCATAAAATTAGCCAAATAATAAAAATGATTATGAGTCTGATATTAAATTCTACATAAGAGAATATATCCCAATGAATTTTTGTCATCTAGAGAGCTAGAATCAAAAAATATAAAAATACTAATTCTTAAAAGTTCAAGCTTATAATTTCTTTTCAATCCAACAGTTCCCTCTGATCGTGCTTTTTCAAAGGCTGGATTGATTAATAATTATTTTAGATAGAATTTGGAATCAAAACATATTAACTACCTATTAGTTTTAAAGGAGAACGATAATAAATAATTATTTTTATATTTGTATCATTTTTGTTAAATATTAAATTTTATTTTCTTTTAATAAAAATAATTTATTATTTAATATAACTCAATCCCAAAAAAATTTTTTGTCAAGCCAAGCTTTTAATTTTTTCAGCTCCTAACATCACTATAATAGATATAGGCTTAATTGGTCTATTATACTCCGCTAATTTCAATAAATTTTCAGAAGTAAAAAAAAATTACATTATAGGCTAGTAAAAGGAGCCGCAAGGCCTAAACAGTGGTATATAAGTTAAAAAGAAAATACTTTGAAAAGTATTATGACGAATCTATCTAAAATACATATAGATATGGCCTTTAAAATTTGAGAAATAAAATTTATCCCATTGAAATATTATTAAAAGGAAGAATTATATTTAGGACTATTACTATAATATTAGAAGGAAATTTATAAAATTATAAATTTAATAGCCCTATGAATTAATGAGAATTATTAAGTATATACCTTATAAGATAATGTATGAATATAGAATCAATTGAATAAATTTCCTAAAAATTTGAGGAATTAAGTTATATAAAAATAAAAATTAATTTAATAAAAACCTTATATATATCTAATATTATTATTATAACAAAAAACTTATAAATTCATTTATTATTTGCTAAAATATATGTAGGAATATATTAGCAGCATATATATGAATGATACTATTAAAATAAAAAAGAGTTTTTGTTTAAGCTTTTAAAAAATTAAATTTCAAATAATATCAAATTAAAATATTACTTTTATTTAAAATTTGTTATCTTAAATAAAATTTTTCTAATTATTTTATAAAAATTATATATTTATCTATTTTTATTACAAAAAACTACTTTTATTTTTAGATAAAATGTTGTAAGAATATATTTGCAATATATGTATGTATGATACTAACTTTCAATTTATAAAGAATTTATTTATTTTAGTGTTTTTAATAAAGTAACTTTTCAAAAATGATAATAAAAAATAATTATTTTTTTTTCCTTTTAAAAGTGTTTTAAATAAAAAATACTAATTATTTAATAATAAATCTTTATTTATCGATTATTATTATCAGGAAAAAAAAAAATATGATTACAAAATATTTGCAGCGTTGTGTGATACTTACTAGTAAAGTTATAAAGAATTTATATTTCCATTTCAAAAATTTCAAGTTAAAAAATTATTATCAATAAAAATTTAAGAATAATAAAAGAAAAAATCTTAATTATCCATTTTTGATTTTTCTAATTTACTTCCTAAAAAAAAAAATAAAGTTACTTATTATAAAACACTTGAAATTAAGGTTATCATTTCTAAGAACAGTTATTACATTTAGAAATTGTAATTCAACGCAGTAAAAATCTTTAAAAAATTCACTTTATATAGTTTGTACACAATTCTAGTGGCTGGAATTTAAATTATTAAATGAATTTATTAACTATTGTGATTTAATTCCTGTGATATCACGTATAAGTAAAAAAAATTTTCAAAATAAAGGATGTTTATATGTAATTGTTAATTTGTGCTTAAATAGATTGTAAGAATTGAAAATATTTTAAAAAACTACTTTTAGATGAAATAGAATTTCATAGGAATAATTTCTCTCTTAAAAAATAAAAATTTTAAACATATTAAATAATTTAAAGGCTTTTAATTTGTATTGAAATAAAATCCAAATTTAATATAATTCTTTGTTTCTAAAGTAATTAACCTTCTTTTTTTTAAAAAAAGTGAATAAATTTAATAATTATCAAAAGTGAAATTATATTATGATTTTGTAAATTAAATAAATTCAAGCTTACTGATCAACATTTAAAAGCTAATTCTTTTGTTACTTACTAATATTACTGTCTTTACTTACACTGATTTTTTGTTTATTTAAAATCGTTTTTCTATGTTTTATTTTACAACAAAAGTTAAACAGTAAAAAATAATATTAAAAATACTAAATTTTAAAATACTATTAAAAATTTTGAATTTAGAAGTAAAGGTTTTTTTGGCACAAGTAATGAAAATATTTTTTATTAACTGAATAAAAATATAGCTGGCTAAAATTTTTAATGATAAATGATCACTTGAAAGGAGTAAATTTTTGAAGAGAAAACTACAATATTAAAATTTTATATAATGGATCATCATACCAAATATTTTTTTTGCTTTAAAACTAATCAAATATTTTTAATTTAAATTTGAGTTTTTTAAGTTTTGTATCTGAATTAATAAGTTGTTAATATTTAATGATATTTATTAATTATGTATTATTTAATTGAAAAATTAGTTTAGTACATTAGCTATTTATTAATTTTTAGCTTCAATCAAAAGCTATTTTCAAGTAATGCATTCAATTTTAGTAGTCGTTACTAATTAAAAAGCATTAATAGCTTATACAACATAAAACAAAATTACTTGAAACAAATAAAGATTAGACTCACTTTGAGTTAGTTCAAGTTTTTATAATAAAATAAGAGACAATCATTTATTTTACATAATTTATCATTGCGAGGTGTAATTAAAACAGATCAAAGTATTTTTTTTTACCAGCCTCTATTTATTTTCTAGTAATATAGAAGTAAATTTTCTATATTTTAATACCAAGAATTTATTTTGTTACAATAACTACTGTAACAATAAGAAAAGTATAAATAAATTATAAATTTCCATTAAGAAGACTGCAAAGTGGAGAAGTTAAATAGGATCCTACCTTATTTAGTAAACTTAAAATATAATCCTTAAAAGTAACTTTTGTTATAATCAATATTTTCTAGATTATGTTCTTTACAAGAAAAGATGTTTATGAAAATCTTCTTATGTTTTTTAGAATTGATACACTGAAATTTATGATGTAATTATGCACATATGAATATTTAAATTTTATAAAAAAAAAAGTAAAAATGCTGATTAGTCAAAAATATCGAAAATGTTCACATATTTAGATATTAATATATTTATTTTTTAAAATTATTGCTTTTACATTAATCTTATTAATTCTGATTGATGTGTAAAGTTAATGATATTGTATAGTTTAAGATATAACTGTTTATTTGAAATGCATTTCTAAGTGATAAATTGTAAATTGTAAATCACAATATTACGCATTAAATTCTTTCATTCATATTTTGATAAAAAAATTAGATGTACATTTACACATATTTTTATAGGCCAAATGCTTAAAAAGCGAGAATTTTACTTAACAACAACAAAAAAAAATATCAAGTTGTAAGTAAAATAATATTTTAAAAATAATTAATTCCTTTCTAAATAATAGCGAATTTAAAATAAAACTAAATTAATTTCCTTTTGTATTTTTTATTCAATTCTGCATATATAATTTGGAAGAATATCGTTCATTCCACTCATTGATTGAGTTAATAACTGTTAAAAATATTTTTTTTTAAAATTTAGCTTGAATTCTTACGAATTAGGAAGTTTATTTAAGAGATGGATAAGAGAGTAATATATTCATTTAGTTATTTTATTTGTAAACTCATTTTTTCCTCTTATGCAACAAAAAAAATTTTTGAATCAATCTTACAGTAGAAATAGAAATGAATTCAAAATTGAGGACTTTTTTAAAAAAATAATAAATATCTGCATTAATATTTAAACTATCTTCTTCATTTTATTGCTTAAAATTATATTTCCTAATAAATTTATAGTTTCTTATGATGAAATATTTAATATATATTGACCATTTTATCTCTTCAATAATGCTCAAAAGGTATTTTAAAAGCAAAATTTTTTATTGTATTGAATATCTATGAAAATAAATTGTACAAGGATAGCATCAAGTAAGAATGAATTAATTTTTAAATTAATCGGTATAACATTTTGATAAATTTAAAGACTTTATCAATAATCATATATAAAAGTTCCTAAAATATTTGTTTAAGAAGCAAATAGTTCTCCTATTTTCATTTTTGAGATTGATATTTATAACAATTAATAAAAATTTTGAAAAATGAACAAATCAACATATTTTAAAATATAAAAAATAATAGACATATTTTAAATAGCTAAAAATTTAATCGATAAATTAAATGGTCCTCAGATTTTTTCAGGTGTTGCAGCTATACCAGTGATGGTTTAGAAGCTCTGCTAATTATTTTTCTAATAGCAAATAAATTCCTTTAGCTCATTGTAAAGAAATTATATTCGAATAATTCACTTAGTAACTCTTTAGATAACTTATACTGGTTTGATTTTGTTATACAAATCAATAAAGTATTGCCAATTACTTAAATTTCTTAGTAATTTAATTTCTTACTCAAGCAATAAAATTCAAAAGAATGACTTTATATATTTACATTCGATGCTTGTTTTAAAATACGATTCAAGATAAAAAGGAATAAGTAAGAAGTCATATCCATAAGTATATCACTTTATTGAGTTTCATAACAATCTTATAAAGGCAATAAAATTTTCAGATAAACAATCTCTTTTTGTTAAAATAAGAACATTCTAAAAATAATCACATAATATTCTATGTTTAGTTAAAAAGTATTGTAGTAAATTCAACATTTATATTCGCATCTCTTTTTTTAAGTATTATTATTATTACTAAGCTAAATTAATACTCTTGAATTGAGAAAATCTTTATTCAAAAAATTCAATTAATTATACTTATATTTAATAAATATACATATAAGTAATAATCTTTCAAACTTTTATGAAAAATATTTGTAATGATTGATAGATCATAAAAGTATCTTTTTATCTGTAAAATCTATTTCACTTATGTTTTTCCAAATTCAAATAAACAAACAAACAACTTCAATCTTTAATTGAGATCTTCAAAGTATCTTCAAAGAATAGAAAAAATCTAATTAATTAAAATTTCTTTTGAAGAAATAGTTTAAATAGATTTAAATATGTTTAATTTACTTATTTTATTTATTTTATCCAATCTATAATATAAAACCCCAAAAAATGAAAGAAAAAGTGGTCAAAATAATAAATTTCTCTTAAAATATCTCAAATAGAGAACGAAAAATAAGTACTTCTGCTGATTTATGATATTTTATAAATTTTTTAATGTGGATTATAATTTGTTCAATTTTATGGAATTATTTAACCTTTATATTAGTTAACTCTTGTGAATTTGTTTTGATTTTATTTGATTGCATAATGACAAAGCAATTACAATGTTTTTTACTAGCTGGATTATAGGCTGATTTTTCAAAATTTTAATAATTGAAAAATCATTCATAAATAAAATATAAATAATTAAAAATAAATAAATTCTAAAAAATAAAATGATTGAGGTCAATAATAATAAAAAGAGAGCTAATTTTAGAATAATAAACTAGAATTAGCATATAAATGCATTTTAAATACTACAAACTAAAGCCTGCTCTTATAGGGCTATAGACTCAGACATAAAAGAACTTCAAAGCAATTTGAATAACTTCAAAGAATATGTTCATTTATTTCAAGATGAAGAAACAAGAGAACAATAAAAAGATTTCAAAGAGGACTCTAGTATTTCTATGGAAGAATAATCAACAAAAAACGAAGACTTAGATGAAATAGTGAACTTTTTGGAAGGAAAAAAAGTTAATATTTACAAAAATATTATTAATGGTTTTTACGCTCACATTAATAAGTGCAAAGACGAAAAACTAATACAAAAGTATGAATCTTTAATAAAAAATTAATGGACTTTCAAATACATTCAAAAAAGAGTCTAAAAAAGTTATAAATCATGTAATAGACTTAACTTAAAATTAAAAAATTTAATGTCTAAGAACAAGTTAAATACAATTTTTGTATATTTCCTATAAAATTACGAACAGCTCTGGCTAAATGATTCTAAAATAAAAAACAAAGATTTGTATAAATAATCTATCCAGTTCCTACTCAAAGCACATGAATACGATATCCTTGATGACAATATAAAAGTATACAAAAAGTAGAAAAAGATACTCGGAGAGTGAAGTGAGAGATATTACTGAGTAATGATAAATAAATGATAACTGAATGAATTAATGAATAAAAGTTTCCTTTACTAAAGCGATTAGTTAAAATCATCCTATTTATTTAAAGCATTATATTAATATAATTAACAAATTAAGTTTATATATAACTAAATAATAAAATTCAAGTTAATTATTATCCTATAAAAAATTTGTATATATTCTATATAGTTTTTATAAATTACGCTGACTGATTTTGAAATATTTTGACTTCATTTATCTTTTTGATATTATTTGTATGTAAACAGTTCTAAATTTAGATTAAATTAATTAATTTGTAAGCCTTCTTGTATTATGTGAAGGTGAACAAAATTTTTAGTAATTAACTAATAAAATCTATTTGTTTACTAAATAAATTCATAAAACTGAATAAATGAGCAGAAATCTAAAATTAACTGATGAAATCCGCATACTTATTCGATAAAATCACAAAACTGAATAAGTGATAAGGATTCTTAAGAAATTAATTTGTATTGTCTTTCAACTTCAAACAACTAATTTATAAGTTTTTTTTTCATTCGGTTCAAAAAATATTAACTCATATGTATCAAGAAAATATTTTTGATCTTGCTTTAAAAATACTAAAAACATACAAAAAGTTGTTAGAAATTAATATTTTTAGACTATCTGCATGTTACTTTCTCAAACTGAGTAACAAAATCAAAATATAATATTTTCGGCGATAAAATAATTGTTATTTTTTCAGTTTAATCAGTTTTAAACCTAAAATATTTATTTTTAGTCGAATCCTAAGGCATAAAATAAATTTTAGCCATATTATTTAGGGTTATTTTGAAAATTTATTTCATTACATAAATGAATTATAGATAATAGTTACTTTGAGACTTTGAGGTTTTTAGGAATTAAAAATAAATTAAATTTATTACAAAGCGTTTCGTAATCATTAATTAAATAGAAACTCATTTAATAATAGATATTTTTTAAAATATATCTAAAAAGTTCTAAAACTTTAAATTGTTGAAATTAACTATCTCAAATATTCAAAATAAAATAATAAAGAGTTATCAATATAAGAACTAATAAAGCGTTAATCTTGAACTTAATTAAACATTATTGAAAATTAAAATTTATCTATATTTTCTTTTTTATCAATTAGTATAATTTTTCTCTTTCTCAAAATAAAAAATATTTTCAGTTAGTAAATAGAGTAAAATTTTTTTATGATTTTTAGAAATATTATTTGTTTAATTTTTTCTTCAGCTGTTTTCAAATGATTTTTGTTCTAACTTATTGTAAAATCTAAAGGTTTTATTTAAAAAATACTTTTGACTACATATAGCAAATATTTTATGCATTTTTAAATAAATTCTAATTCAGAAATTGTAATCAAAAATCATAATATCAAACAAAATATCAACATTTTTTAGCAGTAAATATACATTACAAAAAATATTCGCTCTCAAATAATACTTTTGTATATTAATATTTGTATTTGTGATTTGTATTGAAAGGAAGTTATCTTGCATAGAAATATTCTTGAAATTTAATTAATTTCTATTAATATTATCAGTTAATTATAAAAAATAGATTGATATTAAAAAATATGATTACACTTATTATTTATTTAGTAACTATCTTTCTTTTTAATTAAATATTATTTTTCTTTTTACCCAAAAATTGGGTCATTTACTTTCCCCTCTTAAAATGATTAAAATTGTGACTATTCACATTTTTTAATATTTTATTTTTGAAAATAAATATTTAATTTTTTCTCATAACAGCCATTTTTCAATATTCATTAAATATTAATTATTAAAATTCAAAAGCTTTTCTAAATATTCATTTATTTATTTATTAAGGCTTATCATGACTAGCTATAAAAGATTAGAAATATATTCAAAAGAAAAGATTTATAAATAAATAAATATACTCAAATAATATTTTTTTATAATTTATGAAACATAACAAAACTATTAAAATATGTTTATACAATTAAACTTAATTTATTTCACTATTCCTCGTTTTATTAACCTCTTCTCCCTTTTGCTTAGGGTTTCCACTTTTAAGGCTCGAATTAATCTTTTCCAGCATCAGGCTAGCTTGTTTATTCTTCACTGGTTTTCTTTTAGTTTTCAGCTTCTAGTCTTAATAATCTATCCTTTTCATCTTCTTCTAACCCTAATCTTCTATTTACCTCTGTTTGTTAAATAATTTTAAATCTTTGCTGATAAAATTGTTCCATCATTCTTCTCTCCTTATTATCCCATTCTATACCTTTCATTTTTCTATCAGCTTCTTCCAAATAGCTAAAATAAAATAACAAGAGTAATTTATAAATAAATTAAAACAAATATAGTAAAATTACTATTGTTTTATTTGCTCTTCAGTTGGAGGCATTTCTTCTCTTTTGTTTAACCAGAAGTAAAAGGCTAAATCATTCATTTCGTAACTTTTTTTATTTGCAAATTCTATCTTTTGATTAAAAAAATATTCAAAGAAATGAACATCTTAATTTAGAAAATTGAGAATATCATTGAATAAATAAATAACCTCTCTACGAGTAGGTAAACCCCAAGGAGAGTAGTATTAATAGTATTTATTTCCCATTCTATCTTCGCCAACTAGTTCTCTGTTAAGCTTTTAATCCAACATTTTCTCTTTGAATGCTATATATTTAGATCCATATTTGCTTGTCTTTATCCAATTCTTCAAAGCTCTATATTTATTTATAATGTTCATCGTCACAACTGCTCTAAAATGTAATACTAATGAGAAATAACTAACTACCCTATTTGTCTTTTTGCTATATTATTTATTTTATTTAAAAAAACTATTTTTTTTGCTTTATTTATTCTAATTCTACTCAAATATATCTAAATCTATTAACTGAGATACACAAATTTAATTTTTATTAGATTTTTGCTCAGAAAGACAAAAGATAGATCATGTAAATAAACATATCTTAAAAGAACCTTCTTCGAAAAAAAATTATAAAATCAATAATAAATATTCAATTAATACATTAAATATATTTAAATAAAACGATTTTTATTCTCTCTTTTTTAATACTTTTTGATATAAAAATTTAAACAAACATTTTATATATTTTGTAAAATATTTAATTTCAATTTTTTATTTCTAAAAAATAAATCAAATTCTGTTGAATAATGAATAAATTTAAAATAAATTTTTTCCTTCCCCCAAGAAAATATCTTCATTAGGAAGCTAGTGTATGACAGAGATATAATCAGGATAAACAGAGCTTTATTAAACTACTTAATTACTTTCAGTATTATAAATAAACCATTATTTTTTATTAGTAGAATACATAATTTATGAAGTATCTTGGAAAGCAACTATTTAGTAAATATAAATATTTATACTGATTTTTCTGAGCTCTTAGCATTAAAATTCATTTTCTATATTTTTAAATTTATAAATTGTTATTTCTCCAGCTGTGTTCCCAGTATAAAAACTATCATTTGTTGGGTTTAAATATCCACATCTGATACAAGATTATTATTTATAATTGCAAATTTTTTTGCTTTCAAAAATGTCAAATAATATAAACTGTTTATCTTCTCCTATTGAAAAAAGGAATCTTTCTTTATAAATATAAATATCATTAATCTTCCTTTCATGTAAATCTACCAATTATAGCTCAGTTTTTAAATCTAATTATTATATATCTTTATCATCTTTTTCATTATTATTTAAAGTTTACATATTAGAATTTTAATATTTAGAGTTTAAATATAAGCTAAAATTAGCAAATTTTATAATATGAATGGGCCCACTTTTAGTAGCAACAATTAATGTTTCACCATTTAAGCATTTTAGACAATTTATTTTATTTTATAGTTTTAAAGAATAAATTTCTTAATATTTGTAATTAACTTCGTTAAACTGTGAGTTAAAATACATTCTTAGATATTTATCTTCTCCTCCAACAAAAAATAAATTCTTGTTATGATTAAAGAAACACAAGTCACTCATTTTGTTTGATTTTGTAAATTATATTCTTTATTTTTCTTTATATAAACTTCCTTACCAAATAATTAAATTATTATGCCCCTAATTCCATCCATCTAAAGTAATTATTAAATCATCTAATGAATCAGCTCTCATTATGCAATGCTAATTTATATCTCTTTTTTCATATTTCATGTTAATTATTTTATCGCTAACATCTTTTAATAAAATACTTTTGCTTTCTTCCAAAAGTTGATTAATATTTTCTTACTTTTACTCATCTTTTTCTTAATTTTTAATTACTTTTTTTGATTCAGTCATTTTATCAAATTTTAACAAATAAAATTTGATAATTAAGTTTTTTTAAGTAATCAATTATCAAATCATATATTTTTATTTTCATTTGATAAACACAGCTCAATTTTTTATTTAAAAATAGCTAATTTATTATTTTAAGAATATGTTAAAAGATTTTTTCTGCATCTAAAGAATTTAGTTAAAAATTTAAAAGCAAATTAGTAAAAAAAAGCTAAAAATTAAATATTTTGAGCATTTTGATAATTGAAGAGTTTTAGTGAATATTTAAATTAATATTACTAAAGCAAAAAGTTATAAAATAATATTTTTCTCATAAATTTGAGTTTAAAAAATGATAATTGCAAATTTATTGTTTTAACTTTTAAAAGAAATATTTTAAATATAATGAATAAATAAATTTGTTTTACCAAAAAGCATAATATAATTTGAATTTAGCTGGAAGTTGGTTAAAAGAAAATATATTTAAAGAAAACACAATTTAGAGTAGATAGAAGTAATTAATATAGAGAAGAAGTGTAAATAAATTACAAAGTGATCAAATAAAATATCTAAAGATAAGCTGAATATTTTTCCCTCCATAAGTTGAAATAATAAGTCCTGAATTTTGATTTAATAAAAAGTATTTCTAAAGTTTACTTCTACTATAATGATATTAAATCTATTATTATATCTATTCTTTAATCACTAAGTTTTTTATATTATTTTCGATATCATAAAATTGAGGTAAATTTTTATACTCAAGTCAAGTGTTTGAGGTTAAAGAGATTAAATACTGAATACAGTTACTCTTTAAATTAATTCTTTCTTAATTAAACAATTTAAGCTTACTATCTTCATTATACATAAGAAATTACAAAAACAAACAATTTGGAGTTCTTTTTAATTTTACAAACAAAAAAATTTTGAAATTATCTAAAGAAGTAAAAAAATCTAATTGGTTCATAAAATATAAATAGACAATATTAATAGTTAATTAATATAAGTTCAATATTAATAATTGCATAAAATTAATCAAAAAGATACATATCCCAAAAAAAATCAATTTATTTACAATTTAAAAGTATTTAAATAAATAAAATATACCAGCCTTACTTAACTATTTTCTATGTTTTAAAATTAGATAATAAAAAGTCATCAAATTCTTGTAAAATATATGTTTTGAAAGTTGATTGAATTATTAGATCTTATTGATAATTAATTAAGAATAATAAATTTGGAAATTTAATATTAACAAATATAACAAAATATTCTTTTTCAGAAAGCATCGAAGAAGATAAGAAGTAAAAAAATCCAGATAGAATTTTTTAAAATGCCAGAGCTAGTTAAGCAAGCCATACAGAAATGTGATATTTTCGGGAATGCGATAGGTCTTAATATGAACTAATAAAATATATATAAATCTAAATTTGGAGGATTCATCTCGATAGTTGTTGGAATAATTATAGCATATTACTTTTGGACAAGTAAATATGATTCAATTAATCATTAATTATAATTAAAATACATTATTGATTTTCATGAGCAAAATTTAAGATATTTAATATATTAGACTTTATCATATTCATCAATTAAGAAAAAATGACTGTCACTAGTGAAATTGAATACGATATTAATCCTTCAAATATTGTTTTAGGACAAAACTCTTTGATGTTCGCTATTAATATATACTAAACTAACTTAGACTTTCTTACAAATCCTTTCTTTAATATTGTTTTAAACATAGGGTAATTATTATTCACAAATTTTAACAAATCTTTTTTTATCTTACTTTTCTTTTTTTTTGTTTGATTTAATTAAATGGGAAAATCTAAAAGATTTCAAGTTAAATTTATTTAACAGTAATTTAATAAAATCAATCAAAAATAATTATATAATCACTTAGCTCAGTTAATTAAAAAACTAATAAATAAATATTTAATGTAAAAAGAGTGTTTGAGAATAAAGGGACTACATTTAATTATAAGTATCTTCCAGTAGAGCTGGAACCTTGCACTGAAGCCCATTTCCAAGCTTATTTTAATGCAAAATATGTTAGCGAAAATATAGAGACAGATAAATAAAATATAATTAATAATTTTCTTTGTCCAAAGTAACTTAAATTTTTTTAACCATCTGAAATCAATTAAAAAATTATTTATAGATTAGACTAATCATTTAATTTGAGTGGTTTATATTTGTCTCCAGTTTTTAATTTTGTGCGAATATAAGTAAAAAGATGCATACAAAGCGAATTAAACTCTATTAATCCTAATTGGAAGGTCAAGTGTGCACCAAGCGATTCTGTAAGTTAGTTTTTAGACTAAAACGGGAACTTTAGAGTCAGCGTATACCATAATAATTACTTGATAAGTCCAGATAAAAACACTTAATATGCCTAAGCTTACTTAAATCAAGATTTATCATTTCTATTTGTCCCAAATTAGATGTTTAAAAGTGTGGATGTTTTTCTGAAGGACTATAATATAAAGACTAATAATTATGGATTTTTCACTTCCTAAACAAATTATGAATAATACATAGTGTATGACTACAAGGATTATACAGAAAGTACAACATTAGGGTAATAAGGCGACATTTATACCGAAGTATTTTTGAGGAGAAGTCCTTATACTTAAATATATACAAGAGAACATGAAAATTTCACATAATTTCTTAGTAGTTTGGGAGGTTTTATCAATATTCTGATTACAGTTGTTGGGATATTTATCCGTAAATATAATTACTTTTAATTTACCATAGATTTAGCAAATAAATTATATAACTTCGACTTAGAAGTTGAAAGGAGCAAAAGTAATTCTACCTTAAAAGACCAAGCTGATTCTAAAAATTCTAACCTTCTTTAGATTACTCCTCAATAGGATACACCTTTAAAACTTGTTTAATCAAAAATAACCAATAATAATCTTGCAGGCATCAATAATAATTATATTACAGCTGTTTGTTTAGATTCTCCATCAAAGATGAGTAGAAAATCAAGTAAAATAGTTACTGAAGATGTTTTTAAATTTGTGGAATCGCCTCAAACAAATTTATGTATTTTACCATCCTAAAATGAAATAGCAAAAGCAAGTATTATTTAAAATCCTAAAAATTCTCAACAAACCATAGATAATAAAAATAAAACATTAAATAATATTTCAGTTTAAATGACTTCGTTTAGCTAATTGCAAAAAAATGAAATTAGTAAACAGAGTAGAATAAATAAAATCAAATAAAAGATTTGGAGAGCAATAAAATTAATTAATAATCCTAATTAGGAATAGATGCAAGTTCTTGATAAAAAAGAAAAAAATATCAATTAGTCTATTAGCAAATTGAGAGAATAAATATAAAATTATAAGCAATTAGGGTTTTCAAACAAAGCAGATTTCTTGTTTAGCAATTTTAAAAAATTAATTAAAAGATAACAATAAAAAATTAAATTTAGCCTATCTTACTTGTTCAGAGCATTTAAATGTAATCATCAGCAGAATGTAGTTCTCTTAAAAGCTTAAAATAGTGTTAGTATGGATTTAGATATTTATACTATCCTCTAAAAATTGTAAGAAGTAGAAAAAATAAAAAGAATCCTTTTTAATAAAGATTAAAATACCCTCTTTTCCTTCTGCCCAAAACCAGTTATCAGCTACATATCACAACCTTCTTAATAAAAAACTATAGAATAAAATATTAACATTCCTAACACTTCTGCTATTTAGGAAGTATCAAATCCATAAACATAAAATGATCATTTGTTGGTGAAAAATAATGATTTTGAACAAGTAGAATCATATTAAGTAAAGTGTTTTTTAATTATTAAAAATAAATTAAAAAAAATTGATTTGTTATTTTAAGTTTTATCTTTCATATTTTAATATAATAATTTTTTACTAAATCTTATTATTATTAAAAAAGAGACTCTATTAAGCATTTGATAAAATAAAGAAAAAAGAAAATAAAAATGGTCTGCACATGTAATTAAACTTTTCATAGGCTTTAATCAATTAAAATATTTTAAAAATAGTATAAATAACAGGCTAATTAAAGAACTTGGAGCTGAAATTAATGAAATATTTGAGCTTTCAAGAGAGGTAGTGAAAGAAGGTGATGAAATTTAAAAATAAGCAATACTAGATTCTTCAATTAATGTATCGAAAAAGAGAAAAACTATTAGTTAATAAACTTTTAATCCTTCATAAACTCGCCACAGATAATTATCAAAATATAATTAACCTCATTAATATATACATTTGAATAGCATGTTTAATAGTCATAACTAACTAAAAACAAAAGAAGAGCTTCCTTCTCATTAATTAATATAAATATAAGATGACTAAAATATTGAATCTAAACCAAACAATCATGATGCTTCTCTAAATAGAATATCAATATAATAAACAGCAAATATATCGCTTTTCGAAATAGAAAATAAGAGCTAAAATTTAAATTTTGATACTATCCCTGATATTCCTTTTGAACCTGGACCAGAAAGTAATATAACAAAGTCAGAGTTTTAAAAAGAAACTAAATTAAAATAAATTCTATGACAATAAGATTATGCAAAATACTCCATAGTCAATAAATTATGTAAATAAAATATCAAAAAAGTTTATGTTTACTTTTTTATTTTCAAAAATAGATTTAAATTTTTAGTTAAATCTTTCAAAATAGATATCAACAAAATTACCTATCTTAGAATAATATAAAAGCTTAATTTATCAAACAAAATTTTCTAAAATAAATGATATTTCATAGTTCATTTGAGCAAACTTTAAATTTTTACTTCACACAAAAACATGGGCAAATTTAAAAAAAAATAGACAATATATTTTGTTCGCAAACTTTTTAAATTTTTTTTTCACCTTCCTTTTTAAATAATTTACTAACTTTAAAATTTTTAGAGTTTGCTCCAATCACTAATTGAATTAAATAAATAGATCATTTTAAAGTATTATTTAAATTCTTAATCTTAGTTATAAATTATTTTTTTTATTTTAAAGACTTAAAATATTATTTAATAATAATAATTTTTATGCTTTATGTTGATAAATTTAAAAATACTTATTGATTTAAATTTAAAAGATCTTTAAATGTTCTGTTTCCAAAATTATTCTTTTTTTTATAATTTTTAATCTAATAGATAAAAAATTAAATCAGATTTTAATAGAATTTCCTTGCAAAATTAAATTTATAATTAAGAAAAATATAAGTGATATATGTAAATTTATTAAAATCTTAAATTAATTCTTCTAGAAATATGAATCATAATAAAAAGAGTTTTTTCTTAAAGTTAGATTTACAGAGTATCATCATATAATTTTTTTTATTTTTGTGTCCAAAAATATTATGCTTCTTTTAAATTGTAAACATAATTTTTTAAAAATTAATCCATGATATTCTTCATCATAATTTGTTTATTTCAAAAAGAAAATTATTATTTTGCTTAATTTTTCTTTTTTAAATAAAAACTATTTTATTATCTTTATCTAATAATTATTTTCAATTATACTTCAATAAAAATAAATTTATTTTTTTCTTATTTTATACAACAATTGTTATATCCATCCATAAAAGTATCTATAGTTCATTTAAATTATTATCAATAAAAATTTATCAGATTTTAAAAGAATTTCCTTTAAAAATTGAGAAAATAATCAAAAAATATATAAGTGCCAGCTGTAATTTACAAATATCAAAACAATTACTATAAAAATTTAACTAAGAATAAATATTATTTCAAAATAACCAATAAATCTGGTGATTTTTAACTCCTCTATTACAAACTTAATACTTTATATAATTGAAAGCAAATCCTTCTAAATAATCATAAAAAAATAAAAATATAAAAAATAAATAATTATAAAAATTAAAAATTCTGCTTAATATTTAACTAATGATGGGGTGTAGTTCTTCATAACAAGACGTTAGCATTTAACAAAATAAAAAATCATCAATCAATCCATATTTTGAATCATCTAGCCTAGGTTCTATAAAAACAAAAAATAGAATAATTATGGCAGGAATGTCAAGACTAAGAGCAGATCCAAAAACAAATATTCCAAATGATTTAATGGCTGAGTACTACTCATAAAGGGCATCTTTTGGAGCTATCATCACCGAAAGTAGTGCTATATCATCTAATTCAAATGCTTTTCCTGGTTCTGGAAATATTTACACTTTGGAGTAAGTTGAGGGTTGGAAGAAAGTTGTTGATAAAGTACATCAAAATGGAGGTAAAATTATAATTTAGCTCTTTCATTGTGGGAGAGTTGCTCTACCTTCATTTATAGGAGGAGAATTACCTATAGCTCCGAGTCCTATAGGTTTAACAACCCCTCATTTTTTTACCAAACAGAGCTATCCAGTTCCTAAAGAAATGAATAAATAAGATATATTGAATGTCATTGAATAATTCAAGAATGCTGCTATTAATGCTAAAAAAGCTAACTTTGATGGAATTCAATTACATGCTGGAAATGGATACTTAATTGATTAATTTTTAAGAGATGGTACTAACAAAAGGACTGACGATTATGGAGGAAGTATTCCAAACAGAGCTAGATTCTTACTTGAAGTTATTGATTCTATAAGCTAAGTTTTTGGATATGATAAAATAGGTGTAAGACTTACTCCAACTGGTAGATACAATGAAATGTATGATTCAAATCCTCTGGAATTAGTTTAATATCTTTTAAAAGTAATTATTTATTTTTAATTTTAATTTTATCTTCAATTATTAATTTTAATCAATAGCAATTTGAAAAGAGAAATCTTGGTTTTGTTGAACTAAAAAGACATGATAAAACAAATCGTAAAAACATTTAATAATCAGCTGCTGATGATGGGTTAGTTGATCCTGAATTATAAATGCCTAACTTTTTCGATTCGATAAGAGGACTATATAAAGGTTGCATCATTCTAAATGATGGAATTACTTATGAAGAGGGACTAAAACTCTTATAACAGAACAAAGGAGACTTTATTAGCTTTGGAAGATATGCTGTAAGCAATCCAGATTTACCACAAAGATTTTAAAATAATTGGGAATTAAGTGATGCAGATTAAAATACGTTTTATAGAGGAGGAGATAAAGGTTATGTTGATTATTTAACATATGAATAATCCTAAAGTAAAAATAAATCTTGATAAAAATGATTTCTTAATTTAAGGTTGATAAAATTTATTTTTGTCAATTTATATTTTATATGCCAGCTAAATTTATTTAATTTTTTTCAATATATTTATATTTTGAAGTAAAATTTATTTCAGTTATCAATTTTCAAATTCTGCCTAATCAATCTCAAAATTTAAAGTGTCTTTTAAGCAAAAAAAATAGAGTTAAATGCCTTTTTAATTTTGGATAGGCTATAATAATGAAAATTTAATTAAAAGAAATTTAGGCAAATGTTTAGCTTAAAAAAAAAAATTAGATTAAATTTTGAAAATTTATTTATTTAACTATGTTAATGCAGTTAATATATATTGTAAGTCTTCTTTAAACAATTTAATTTGAAAGCTAAAATGTAATTTTACAGCCACAAGCTAATATAAATATATTTATTTTATATGAATTTATTGCACTTCTGATTAAAGTGAGTCTACCTCTCTATCTATGTTGTGAAAGCTAGCATTTTAAATAAATTATTTAGTATTTAGAGTGAAGCTATAGATAAATAGATGATATCATTTGTGATAATCTTTTGAAAATATAACTAATTAAATAATTACCATTAATTTTAAAGAAGACACAATATGGAGAGTAGGAATTAATTTCTGATTTTTAAACAAACTAATAAGAAGTCTAAGATCAGAAAGCCTCATCACTTATTATATGGAAAAATGAATTTAGAATTTTCAGATGTGCTAATTAGTATTTTTTTATAATTTGAAGATTTTTATTCTAAAATCAAAATATTCTAAAAAGTTTTTGAGATTAACACCTTTTAAATGATTAATTGAATTTAGAATATTTTATTTTGATTTTCTTTTTAGAAGAAGTTGAAGGATTGATTCAAAAACAAAGATTAGTCTATCTATTAATATTTGAATATACTAACAAATAAAATATAAAGAAATTAGCCTAAATAATATATTTTTTGAAGTTTAAAAAAATAAATTAAAAGAACATTCAAGTTAATAAAGATGCATACAATCAAAATTGGTTATGGATAAGCAATTTTTAAAGCAGTGACTTTTGGAGTAGTTAATCTCACAAAATACGGGGTTGTTTTTAAAGATCCAATAACTGGGATATCTGATATTTTAAAGAGTGGTATGGATTGTTTAAGAGATTTTAATGAAGGTGTGTGGACTGGGACAAGGGGTTTGAACGAAGGTAATATTGGTTTGTCAAGTGGCGTCTTGAGATTGTTTAATGCAGATATGATTCATTAGGCAGTTAGAATAAATGGAATATCATATTCTATCACAAATCAAAAATAGGATTAAATCTAGGTAAAAGAAATATCTTAAAATGAAACTGAAACTTATGATTGGAAATATCGAGGAAAGAGTAAGGTAAGTGATTCTGAGATGAAAAGTATCATAAAGGATGTGAATAATTATTCTGTAAGTTATAATTTATTATTAGCTAATTGTCAAGATGTTAGTGACTCTCTTTCAAAGTATGCTATGGGTTTATATGATAAATATTTTTGCCTCTATATCATTTTTCCAAAAATGGATTCTCTATCTGATGCAATTTTTTAAGGAATCGCAACAAGTGGATAAGTCAAGACTGTGATAAGATTATATAATGATATTGTGGCAAAATTATTCAAATGAATAAAAAAAACTTCTTTATGTTGCTAAAAGTTTATTAATTGTTCATCTATATTACTCAAGATAGAATAATATATATTTATTAATTAAGAAAAAATTAAACAAATAATCATAGTTATCAAAGCAAATTAATATTTTATTGTGGATGATGAGATTTTGATATTTTTAAAAATCTGATTATTTTTTTAATTCTAAATAATTTTTTTTTATTTTATAGAAATTAATGAATAAAAAAAAAAATAGACTAATCTGATTAAAATAGATTTTTAAACAAATATCATCTAAAATGATTATTAATATTAAAATTATTTTATTTTGAATTTAAGATTAGCTTTATAACATTTAATCTTATTCTGGTAGGGTAGCAACATTATACTTTATGAAATAATATTATTAAATATACTTCAATATATCAGATATTTATTCATTTATTATAAAAAGATTTTTTATAGATTAAAATACAAAGTTGAAAGTAAATATCTGCCTTTAAATTAAATCTCTTAATTTTTCAGTTTAGAACTATTACAGAATATTTTCAATTTTGTATATATCTATTTTATTTATTTATTTTTGACTATAAATAAGATAAGGGCTTGCAAAAAATTAGAGTGTTTTAAGAAGGATAGACGGAATATAATACTTTTTCCGATAAGAAATAAATTAATTTTAAATTTGGTATGGTAGAATAAAGAATCTAATTTAGAGATTTTACAACTTATGTATTAATATTATGTATAAAGTTTAAATATAAATTTGGTAAAACTAATAATAAAAATTCTAAAATTACATTTATTCAAGTAAATTTAATCTAAATATAAACAGCAATTATTATTATTAATAAAAAAAACAAATATAAAATTAAGTATTTAAAGATCAATTTATAAAAATAAAAAGCTATTAAACACTTTAATTTATTAAAAATATAATTCTATAAGAAAATATAAAAATGTAAAAGTCATTTTAAAGATTATTATGTTATTTATTTCTCACTATTAAAAACTCTTTAAAATATTAATAATTGAAAAATGAAAAGCAATTATTTACAAATAATATCAAAAAATATTTTTATTTTATAATCTAGAATTCTTGTATTTTTTAATAATTTATTAAAACTAAATAAAATTTAAATCAATTTTTATAACATTTAAATCTATTGATAAGTTGAAAAAATTTCATAATTTTATTATCATGACAATTTAATTTTATTTAAAGCTAGTTATTTTTTAAAAATTTATGAATTTAGAATTGAATTTCAAATATTCCTATTATTTTATGTAATAAAACTATAAAAGATAAATGATTTAAATAATATAATAGCTCTTCTAATTTTGAGATTAAGCTATTATATCATTATCTTTTTTATGTACATTAGGCAAATAGATTTTGTGAAGAAATTTTAAGAAAGAATAAATTAATTTAAATTACTAATTAAACTTTTAAATTTTCAGTTTACTATTTAAAAATAATGTAAAATAACTTTATATAATTCTATTTAATTGTAGTATTTTTATAATCAACTTTTGTAGTATTTTTACTATAATTTTGTTTTTAATTTTTGCATTCGAGCTTATTAAAACAGAATTACCATAATAATTTACAGAATAATTAACTCTATTTATAGTATCAAAAACTTAAAATTGTTTTTTTTCTTTTTACGTTTATACCTTCCTTAAGTTATCATAAGTATTTTTTTAGATATATTTATAATTTTTTTTTAAAATGAGGGAGGATATTGTAAATTATTATGATTTTAAAAATTGATAAATTATTTCTAATATTTGATTATATAAACTACTCTTTTCTATATCCTTTAAAATTAAATTTTAAAAAAAGTAGGTAAAATAAAGTATTTTATTATACATAAATAATAAATAAATCATTTAAAATTTAAATTAATCGAAAATTTTAAAGAACAAAAAATTGATATAAAAATATGATTTATAAAAAAATCTTAATAAATTAATTTTAGAAATATCTTTGATTAAATAATAAAACATACACTAAGATTTAAAAAAATTAGTATCAAAAAACAAGTATTATACAAATCTAATTTTTAAAGTGAATAATATTATGAGTCAAAAAGCTATTGAAGTAACAGAAATTAAATAATTATTAACTCTTCTCTCTTCTATATAAGAAGATAAAGAATTATATGCTTTTTTAGTTGGAACACAGTATGCGTATAATAAAATATAAAGAGACGATTTAATTTTATTTGTCACATCGATAACCTAATTATATTGGCAGTGCTTAAATTAGGATTACTATATTATATTAGAGCAAGCTTTTTCTAAGCTTTTTAATGATTAAGAACAAGAACCATTAATTTATTTGTAAAAAATATAAGATGATATTTAAAAATAAATAAATTTGTCCAATAGAACTAATAGAACTAAAGAAAAAATAGAAGTAAACTTACTTTTTAAAATATTTATTAAATAAAATAAGTTTAGAAAAAATTAAGATTTTAAAATATAAATAATAAATGAAAAATAAATTATTTTTAAAAATACAAATAAAAAATAAAGGAATAAAAGCTATTTATATTTTTTTTATTTTAGAAATTCACATTTTTATTCAAATCAAACACTCTTTTTAGCATTTTTTTAAAATATTTAAAAAATTAAAAAATTTTTTTTAATAAGGATTAAGAATTGCAATAAATTACATTTAACTAGAAAAACTAACTTAGCACTTCTAATTCTGAAATTTATGAGAGTGAAGAGTGTAAAGAAGAATAAAAAATCTGTAATAATTATGTGCAATCAAACTGTGACATCTGCTTAGAACAAATAAAAACTTAAGAACATTACCCAGTTGAGTGCTGCAGTCAAATGTTTCATAAAGTTTGTCTTAAAATGTACTTTAATAGCTAAGTAGAGCGAAGAAGGTTTCCTATAAAATGTCTTAATTAGAAGTGCTCTTCAGAGATTTCTTAAAAAGATATTAGAAAAATACTTAATGATTTAGATTTCTAAAAATTTGAGTAGTTTTAACTTAAAAATTACATAGACTGTTTAGGAGATTAAGTAAAATATACTCATTCTTATTATAGTTTTACATATTATTTATTTAATAAGGCTTCTTGGTGTCCTACTCCAGATTGCTAATTCGCATTTATTTTAGATGACGATTAAACTATACTAAATTGCCCTTGTTGTAAAAAAGTATATTGCTTGGCATGTAAGGTACTGTACCATGAAAATTACACTTGCAAATAATTTTAAACTTCAAAAAATAAATTAGTATGCTTAAATTAAAGTTAAATAAAGATGAAATTAAATTTTTAATTTAAAAAGGACGAAGATAGATAATTTGAGTCATTTGTAAGAGGTAAAAAATTTAAACAATGCAATTAATGTAAAATGTGGGTTGAAAAAAATGAAGGGTAAATTTCAAGAGTTATTTGAAATCTTAAAAAATTATTTTTTAAATAACAGTTGTGATCACATGACTTGCAGATGCAGCTATGAGTTTTGTTATAAATGTGGAGGACCTTACAAATAATGCATTTGTTAATCTAATTAATATAATTAGACTTAAGTGGTTGATAGGATTTCCGTCTAAAATTAAAATAATAATTTTTTGTAAAATAATAGAATATAGAATAAAAGCTCATTTTTTTTTATGAGTTAATAAGGCCATTAAAATAATAATTTAAATAATTATCAATATAATCCTGATTAATTAATATCTGATAATAACTTTAATATGTATGATGAAAAATACTCAACTTCGTACAATTAAATTAATAATTTTAACTTTAATAATAGCAATAACATTTATAATAGATAATAAAATAATGTCGATTATTAATAAACAGATTTTTTAGATTAAGGTTTTTTATTTCAAAATTAAGATATCTATTCAGAAATACCAAATAAAAATGAGAATATACTAAATTTTTTAGATTCAAGCTTCGAATTAGATTTTTTAGATGATGAAAAACAGCTTGGATAGCTTCATAGATAATACAAAACTAGGATTGGAAATTCTTCATCTAGAAGAATAAAAAGTTAAGACAATTAGAATTTTGTGCCAAGCTTAAGAGATGTCAAATAGTATGCATAAAGAACTAGCATTACGAACTGTAATTTGAAAAGAAATTTAAAGTAACATACTGAAATAAATAAATTTCAATAAAAAGAAATAAAAAAAATAGAGCAAAACCAAGATAACAATTAATAAAAATTTTAAAAACCAATATAGAAATTAAATAAATAGCCCTTAAATAATACCAGCATAATAAATTAACAAGAAAGTCAATCAAAATAAATGGAAAGTATGATTGGCTATTAGAAAAATAAGCACTCAATTCACTATAAAGAGGATTTTTGCTCATATTTGATTGCTGAATTCTATGGTGATGTAATGAATTAAAACTTTTATCAAATTTTTGATAATTATAAATTACTTGATAACAATAAAAAATAGATATCTGGATAAGGATAAATTTAATTATAAAGGTATAATAATAACAAACCTTATATAAATCTAATTTAATAAGTTAAAAAAAAAGAATTTAAAATAAATTAATTTCCTTAGAAGTTTCGAATTAAAACTGATTTAAAAAAGTATATTTGAAAATCATAAAATTTCTTTAATATTAGTAAAAAATTTTGAATCTTAGATAATTAGATTTTATTTACCAAATTTACTCAAATCCTATATAATAGTCATTTTTAACCTTATTGGATTAGCCTTAAAAAATAAGTTTTTCTTTCTTAAGAAATTATCTAGAATTTTAAATATAAATATTATTTGTTTAATTTTAATAAGATAATATATTAAAATGAAAAAATTGAAAGATAATATGTATGTTTAATAAGTTGAATACATAAATATTAAATATTTTATAAAAATTTCTGTAAATTTGGAGAATTTTAGAAAATATCTTTTTGATAACCGTATTCTGCTTTTTTCTAATCAAAGTATTAAAATAAAAAATAGAAAATATCTCAAATTTTAAATACTCTGATCATTTAAAAATTTTTAAATATTTATCTTAATAATTTTAAAAGAATAAAATTAGAAATGAATTCATGCATTTACTATTTTTAGTCTAAAAGTTGTTTTACAAGTTAAAATATACAAATTTTACTCATTTGATTAGTAATTAAAGTTATTTAGTTAAGAATCAGATTCAAAATATTATCAATAATATAAGTCTTAAAGTAAAATAGATTTTTTATAAATTTCAATATCTTTAAATTATTTAGCTAAAGCTTATTGTTAGAGGTAAATTGAATGCTATTCAAGCAATAATTAAAAGAATGTAGAATATTGCTTCAATTCTATTTTCTTTTTTTCAGAGATACGAAAACGAGATTTATTTTCCTTTTGCTATAATTTTTTTTCATATTGTTAAATTAAGCAATCTAATTCATCTATAATATAGATCGAGTGATCAATAAATGTTAATTCTAAATTTTTCTAATTAAAATCAAATTTATCAAAAACAAACGAATCTATTTTATCTTTGTTTTTCATTTTTAGTTCTATCCAATTTTAATAATCTTTCTGTTCGATATATATTTACAAAACTTATTCATAAATTTAAGATTCAATTGAAGAGTCTTTTTCCTCTTTTAATTTATATCTATTATATAATTATATTAATCTTTCATATTAGCCTTATTTCAAATAAGCATTTGATAATTAATCATAAAAACGATAGTTTTCAAAATCCAATTCTATAGCCTATTCGTAAATTTAAATTTAAAAATCATTTTCAAATAATTCATCTACTTATATACTAAACCATTAAAAATAATCTTAATTTATTTCTTGCTTAACTTCTTTATTTTTTAAAGAGTTTATTATACATTCAAAAGCCTCAAATGATTTATGATTGTCTACTAAATATTCTGCATAAGCTAAAGCAACACGATGGTGATTTTTGTTAATTAGTTTAACTTAATCGTAAACTTATAAAAATTTCATATGGTTTTTGTTTAAAACTAAAAACTTCAAATAATAAGTGTTGCAATAAATATTTTTGTTGTAGAGTTCAAATTATTTATTAAAGTAATCAAAAGATTTGTCTATATCTCTGTAAAAATAATGAAATCCTAAAAAATAACACATTAAAGGATGTTTTGGATTTATTTAATAAGCTTATTCACCACATACTACTAATAAATCATAGAATGGTTTTTTTGATGGAGCAAAGTGTAAATGGTTTACTGTTGCATATACTAATAAATCTTCTAGTAATCTACCTGAAAAAGATTGAAGTAACTTATCTTATTAATCTGCTTCTCCATCTAAAAAAATTTTAAATAATAAATTTTCTTGTTCAGATAACTAAGAATTCTATATTTCTAAAATTTTTTTAAAAACATAAAGTAAATCTTGGGTTTCTGCTCCTGCTCCACCACCTTGCAGGAAAATAGTATGATAGGACCAAATGCAAATAATCAAAATGATTTCCTCTAAATTTAGTTTATATGTTTTTAGAGTATCATCTTCACACCATTTTAAGCGTAAGTATTAATTTAAAATTTGATTTCTTAAATCTCTAGCTTAGCCCAAATCTCCTTAAGCTATAAGATTAAGAAGTAAATATCTTTTTTAAATCACTTAATCAATGAATTATAAATCCTTTTATTCAATCTTATTTAAAACTTCTAAGCTTTCATCTATTTAAGATTCATAATAAAGGTTAATAGCTTGCTATAGCATGCATCTACTTAAATTTTGTTAAGAATTTTTAATGCTCATACTTAAAGTGTTTATATTTGATTTTTTATTATATTATTTACATTTTAATAATTTAAATTGTTTTTAAATACGATCTAATCTATAAAAAGATATTTTTATAATATTTCATCAGAATAATTTAATAATAAATCTTCTTAATTTTCATATTTTTATTGCTATTTCTTCTATTACATAATTCTAATATGATCTTTATCATTAGGTAAATTAAAAATTGTGTAAAAGTAAGGCTATTCGAAAATCAAAATTACGTAAAAGCAAATAAGTTAATCCTATAAATAATTATTCATATTTTTCTTATTAAAGATATTAAATTATTGTTTATTTTAAATGACCCTTATTATTATTGTTTAGAGTAAAAATATAAATATAAAATAATAAAAAAGGTAATTTATTATTTTTAGTAGCATAAACTTACTCTTTTTTATATATTTTATTAGTTAAATTAAATAAAAACATTTAAATATTAGGGTACTTCCACAAATAAAAATTTAGTCATTATATCATAGATTAATATTTGAAAGTTTGAAGAAGCTTTTATTTAATTAAAATTTTCTATGTTTATCCTTCTATTAAAGAAATATAAATTTATATAAACTAGTAATTAATTAATTATTATTTATTTTTATATATTCAGATCTACAATTAATTATATCGAAAATTATCAATAATTAAAAAATAAAAAATATCTTTGAATATTTATTTTATTATTATAATTTAATTAAGATTAAAATTCTTCCTTTAATAAATTAAAAGGGCATCTAACTTCAAATATAAAGATTTATTCTTTCTAATTTTAACTCTTAATTATTCATTGAATAATTAAATAAAATAATTACTTTATTGAAGAATTTTAGTATACATTTTTTTAAATTAATTGGACTATTTCAAAAAATTTATAACATAAAGAGTTTAAGTTTAACAATTTTGTTATTTGTAAGCTGATTCTATAAATTTTCCAAATAATTTAATTATGTAAGGAAAGATCTTTTTAATATATCTACTTAGAATTTTAGAAGAAACAAAGATCAATTATAATGTAGAACTTGATCAACTTACAATATACTTTAAAAAGTGTTTTTAAAAAATATATCTTTCTTAACTAATTTAATTAAAATTTTGTTTTTACAAAAGATACTGTTTAAATTTTTAGATTTTTATTTTTCAAAATGATATCAAACTTATTTTAGAATAAGACAATTTTAGTTACTGGTGCTGCCAGAGGTATTGGACATGCAATTGCTAGTGCATTTCATAATTAAGGTGCAACGGTTTGGTCAGCTGATATAATTGATCCAGTTAATAAAATTTAAGGCGTAAATTATGAAAAAGTTAATCTTGAAGATGAAAATTAAATTAAGTCTTTGATGGATAAGATTGGTACTTTTTACTTTACAATGTGTGCTGTAAATTGTTTTAAAATTAAATAATATAGGTGAAAAGTTGGATGTCCTCATAAATAATGCAGCTTTCATTAAAATGACAGACATAAGAAATATTTAGATTGAGGAATTTGATAAAATATTTGCTGTTAATTTAAGAGCTCCTTTTATTTTATCTAAGTTAGCAATTCCAAAATTTGAAAAAACTGGAAAGGGAAGCATAATAAACATTTCTTCAACTAGATCTTTAATGTCAGAGGCAAACAATGAAGCATATACTTCTACAAAAAGTATTCTAAAATTTTATTAAAATATATTGTTTTATTTATAATAAATTAAAATAAAGGTGGCTTGAATGGTTTAACACACGCATTAGCCAATAGTTTAGGTCCTTTGGTAAGAGTAAATTCAATTTGCCCAGGATGGATTGAATGTGGTGATTATTAAGCTCTCAGAGAAGAAGACCATTCTTAGCATCCAGTAGGGAGAGTAGGAAAACCAGAAGATATTGCAAACGCTTGTTTATTTTTAGCTGATGATTCTAAATCAGGATTTATTACAGGATAAACATTAGTTATTGATGGAGGTATTTAATTTATTGAAGTTTTTTATTAATCTTAAAAAAAAAGTAGCTTTTGATTTATCTTTATTGCCATAATAAAATTATAAAATATATCGAAATCTTAAATTAATTTTATTAAAATAGGTATGACTGTTAAGATGATTTATAATGAGTGAGCTTAATAGATCCAAAGATAAAGAAAGCAAATATTTAATATATAAAAAAAGTTTAAGTACTTGAAGATATATTTATGTGATTGTTTACAATTTTGATATAAAAATTTATTAAATAACTTAATTCAATTTGTCAATGTGTGCCTTCTTCTATAAGATCTATACATTCTAAAGATTACTAAAATCCAGTTAACTAGAAATACACTTACTATAATAATTATAATTATAAAAATAATTATTTTGTTGTTTGTTTTTTAATAATTACTTGTAAGAGGTACTAAAGCGAATTTAGTTCGTACAAGCTAATTTCTATGCTGTGAAAATATCCATTTTCTGTATGTGTTTAATCTGCCTATTATAGAATATATTTTACAATTTTTATTCTCACTTTTTAATAGAAAAGTTCTTACTTCCATTGAGATCTTTACTTTATTTGAGTTGCTGGTCTTCTCTATTACCAGCCTTTTAACTTATTCAGCTTATTTAAGTCTATATTAAATATCTAAAAAAAAAATGACTTTTCTAAAATCAAATAAAAATGTTTGATTTACTATAAATCTAGGCATTTTCTTCTGTAAATTTTAAATAGATTAATTTTGGTAATTGCTTTGGATAAATCACGAAACTTTTTCTAAGGTCATACTGTACTCTATTTCCCTGTTTTTATTAATATTTTGAATTTTAAAGCTTAGAATTTATAATATTTAATTTACTTTTTTAGGTAGAAATGTCAAATATAAATTACTTGCTTAAACCATGCTTGCTAAATCTTGGCCAACTTGCTTCACTTTGATCTGTAGATTAATTTTAGAATTTTTTATAAGCTCATTTTAAATAAAGCTTTTAATAATTTATAGTAGAAATTAAGATTATGTTATCTAGTAGAAAAAATTTAAATAGCTAATCTACATTGTTGGCACCAAGTTTTAAAATATATTAGCTATTTTCAGATACTGTCAAAGGAGATACTCTCAAATTTGAATCTTGATTTTAGTTTTAAAACTCGAAATATTTATCTTTTTTTTGTAATTAAATAAATAATGGCTTTGTAATTGATAAATAATTAGCAAGTAAAAAGATTATTTACTGCTGTAATTGTCATAAGAGAACTTGAAACATACATTATTATGAAGGAATATTTATGAAGGTTTGAAGATAAATGGTCTATAGATAAATTTGCTTAACATCTTAGCTTATATTTTCAAATTTATTGAAAAGAAAAATGATTGTTTTTTATAGTTTTTATTAACTAAATGAATACAAAAAATAGAAATTTCCTTATGATATTTAAAATTTTTTCAGCTTTGCTTATTATATTTAATTACATATTCAAAAATACCAAATAAATACCCTCTAGATTATATTTATTCATTTATACCTAAATGCATTTCTTTATATCTTTAAGCAAGAGTGAACAATTTTAATTATTTTACATTCATTAAACAAGTTTTTTGTTTCCTCAAATAACTGGATATAGCAATTTTTTATAATCATATTAATAAAAATAGAATTTCTTTTATAAATTTCTACTTTAAGATAAATAACAAAGTTGATACTTACATTAAAATTAAAAAATAAATATTAATATTATTCTATATACTAGAGATTTTATCGATTATTGATTATTAGACTTTATTAAACATTATAAATATTTTATAATAAATAAATCACTGTAATCAATATAAAAAATTGTTAAAGTACCATATGAATACCATCCGTATATTTATTTATTTGATTTTTTTTTTTTTGTAAATAAAAAAATTAATTACTCAAATTTTGCAAGCAGTTTACGAATCGCTTGAACAAAAAAATAAATTTAGTTATTTATAGAGTTTCCCTCAAAAAAAAGTTGAAATTTTATTTGATTTTAGAGTGATCAGATCCTGATTATTAATTTGATTTGAAATTTTAATGATTGATTGATCCAATAAATCTAGATTTTAATTTTTAAAGTCTTGTAAGGAAAGTAAAAAATGTAATTTTTTGCATGAAATTTTAATTAATCTATAGGAAAAAATTAGATGCAAATATATAAGAAAGATATAATTCAATACATATTTAATATAATAATTATTTTAATAGGCAGTTTGGTATAATTATGCATGTATTTACTGTATTTATTATTAGTATGTGAATGAATTTAATCTACTAGAGTCATTTGTTGTTTAGGTTTAGAATACTTATTACTGTAGATAATTCAAATAATTAAAAGCAGCAATTCACTTATTTTAGTGCTAAAAATAAATACTCTTTTGATATAACATGTGAATAATAATGATAAGATAATTTATGAGAGCTAAAAATGCATGATCAAGCCCAATATTAGAGGTAATCAAGGAAAACAGCGGTTTCAATGATAAGGAGCTTTTGTTCAACAGTGCAGTCATCAGGGAATTAAATACCGAACTAATCAGCTCTAGTGCAGCATTCTTCAAGGATACCATTGTAGATATTTACGATCTTACCAACAACAACCTTATCAGCATTTCTGATTTCATATTCCCTAGTCTTGCATGGTTCAAGGATACCAAGAACAGGGCAGATGAAACCAAGTTAGAGGCAGTTAGCAGTAATATTGTAGATAATGTTACCTTAAGCGTCCTTAATATCGAATTCTTGGCAACTCAATAAACCTCTAGCTATTTATATTATAAATTAAATTTAGTTTATGTTTTTTATTTTAAGAATAATGTAAGCTTTTGCAGTAGCAAAAGGTATTATAACATCAACTGAGATAACTTCTATTCAGAAGCAATGACAAATTAAAAAATTCATATATTGGATAAGATTATTTGTTTAATTGTAAGTTGATTTGGTATTTTGTTATAATAGTATTTTTCATTAATATATAATTAAATAATTACCAGGCCAGCAAGGATGCCAGCAAGGCCATTCAGCCTTACCAATGTGTTAACCACCTCTTTGGACATCAATTTCAGGTTTGCACAAAGGAATGAAAGCATATTGGCAGATAGGGATCCTATTTTGTTAAAAAAAATATGGTATTAGATGATAAGTCTTTATTAAAAATTAAAGTAAGAGAGTATTATATTATAAAATAATAGATAAACTCATATTAAATATTTTACTTGTAAGGACGGTGAGAGGTAGCAACAGTGAGACCTGAGTGTTGATATTCATTTTCGTATTCTCTGAAAGCTTTGCAGCAGAAGAGACAGCAAAGACTTCCACGCTTTTCAATGACGGTAGCAATAGGATTTTAAGATGGAGAAGTGAAATCGGAGGCACAAGTGTGGATTTCATACCTTTTTTATTATAAAGTATTTTATTTAGAAGATAATTCTTTCATTTTATTAAAAATATATCAGGTATTATAAATTTTTTAGTTAAAATCCCAGTAAAAAACAAATTTTAAGTGCTGGCTAATATGTTTGATGATATTTTATGAGGGACATAGTATTGATTATTATGATTATTTTAATAAAAGTTATTTGATAAATGAATAAAGTAATCAAGTACGAGTTTTCTTCTTCATAGCAAGGAATGATTTCCAACCATTCAATTCTTTGTTTAATAAGGACGTGCTTAGCGTTGGCTAATTCGGTTTAGTCGCTCATTTATTTATTAATCTTTTTTTATATTTTTTAATATTGCTATTGTTTTTATCTTAATTATTTGTTTTATAAAAAAAAAGGATTATTAACTTTTCTTGGCTTTGAAATTGTTTATAGATCTTTGATCAAAATTGAAGTCTTGTTAGGATTTATTTAGTTATTTATAAATTTTGGTAAACTATAATCACATTAAATATAGATTGATATTTGAATTAATTTTGTTTGGTCTCATTTAATTTTTTAATAAATAAGTAAAGCAATCAATTTTTTATAAAATTAAACTAGGGATGACAAATCAAGATATGAATTATCTTTCTTCTAATCAAAAATAAACTAAATTTTATATCATAAAAATTCACTAAAATCTTAATTGCACTAATCAAAAAGATAAAAAAAGAAAGATAGGGGATTATATCTTTTGTTTTCCTTAGGTAATTTAATTTCTTTAAAATAGCACAAAAACTTCTTCCGTCAATATAAAACAATGAATCAACTGCACTCCTTCAACCTCCTCTGGTTTTGCTTATTTTAATCCTTAACATATCTAAATATTTTATCTATACTAGATTTTAATTAAATTTAAGTTAAATTTGTTAATTAAAATTCTATTTAATTTGTAATCTGTTATTAATTTCAATAATCCCATCTTATAATTTGTTAAAAATTTATTGTAAACCAGCAAACATTTGCTATTTGTTCTGTAAAGATTTTTTTTGAATGGAGATTTCTATTTTTAATTAACTTTATGAGAATGAATTTTATTTTATTTCTCAACTATTAATTTCGTACTTACTTTATTTTTCTTTGCTGATGAGCATATGTTTAAGTTTAAATTTTATAATTATTCCCTTACAACACAACTCACGATAAGTAATATTGTAGTAAAATTGTAAACAAGGATACTGATAGGTCGATTATCAACGACACATTTTATTTAATTAAACCTCTTTCTAAAAGTTTCTAAAAAAACAATTTATTAATCTACTTTTATTAAATATATCTGCCAACTAATTTATAGATACTTTTAGAGGACAAAAATAAATGGATTTTTCATTTTGCCTTAACTTACTTTAAAGCATCTCCTTCTATTATTTAATTACTTCTTGAAATATTGCAATAAATATCTTATTTATTTACTCGATAAAAATAAATTTTTAAAGTGAATTCGAATTAGTTAATTGCCAAACTTTTTATTCAAAACACTCGTTGATTATCACCCATCAATTTATTTTCAAAAACATCAAATTTACAATTTTCCTAATTGTTTGTATATTTTGAGGTATTTGACTCATAACAATATGAGCTTCATAAAAATTGATAAATTCTTAAGCATAATTCTCCCGCAAAGCAAATAAATAAATACAATTCATCTTAGTGTCAAATTTAACTCTATATTCAAAAAAGACAGAAAATAAATAGGAAAAAATTTGAAAGTATAAATTCACGCTATCGAAACATCAAAAAAAAAAGTAATTATCATAAATGATTATTTGTAATATCATAGAAGTATACATAAAATATATAAACAATGTCGTTATCACAAATAAAAGATAATAGAATTTGCCTTAATTTCAAAACTATAAACAAAAAATAAGAAAATTTTCTTTTTAATTGAATTTGATCTATAGACTTATTAAAAATTTATAATTTATTTGTTCTTGATGTATTTATTTGATCAACATAACTAATGAAGCAATCAAATTGTTAAATTTAATTTAATTTTATTTCTTTTTTATTAAGATTTATATTTGTTGAATATTCAATGATTTATTATTAAATCATATAACTAATATTTGTAAATCTATCTATCTATCTCATAGGTTTAGCATAAAACTAGATGCTTTTTATTTTAATATCTAGATTGCTTCCTTTACTATCTCGTGAGGTTCGTAGATTCCAACGCTTTCTACAGTAACTATTTGCATATTAAAAATATAAATTAATATAAGGTAATTATTGTAATTTTAACTAATAAATATATTAAATTAGCTTAAATCCAAATTAATTAATTTTTCTATATCTTCCCTTTCCGATCAGTAAAATTATTATTTCTTATATAAATTCCTATCAATTTAATCTAAATATAATGAATATTTTACAAATAAAATGCTCTTTCTTTTTGGCCAATTCAATCTTTGAATTGAATTCTTCATCTTCTCTTATGCATTCTCTGCACATAGTGCAAGCTCTTTCGTTAGAAACAATAGCCTTATTATCTATTTATAAAAATTAATTTAATTTAAGTAAACAAAAAATTTTTTAAGCTATATAAAGTCTTAGATATTTTTTTTAGATCATAATTTTAGACCAATAAATTTTAGAATATAATTAATATTTGATTTGTATTAGCTGTGTCTTTTTATTTATATCTAACAAACAAGTAATTTTTTGATAATTATAATTTAGCAAGAAATCAATTTTTAGTTATCAGAAATTGACTTGATACTTGTTTGGTATTTGTTTACAGAATAATAAAAAATATTAAATATCTATTAAAATAGATAGTTTTATTTATATTAGCTGATGTTAATTTAATATTAATTATTTTAAATTACTTTAAACATCATAAACTTTAAGAGGGCAACGTTCTTTCAATTCTTGAGCTTTAGCTCCGGTGATATCACTATTTATGTTTATTTCAGGCATTAAACGATAGTAAGCAGTACAAACAGGAGACCATTTGGCATGTGTTTTTCCAATACCCTTTTAACAAATAACTTCACAAATAATTTCTTGGTTTTCTCTTAACTTAGCTACAATAATATTATCATGGACCATTCTGATTGGATTCTCTTCAAATTTTTTATTTTATTCTCCTTAAGAAACCCATTTGAAATCACCGCTATAGACCTAATTAAAATGTATTAGATCATTTAAAAATTCGCTTCCTAAATCAAAAAATTTATCTTACAATAGCATTTTCTAAGTAGGTTTCAGGTGTTAAATTTTCTAAATCAGCTTCAGAGTAATTTTTGTACTATTCTTTCTTAGAGCATTTAATCTTTAATGTAAACTTTAAAGAATTTTTTTCATTATACTCGTCTTCTTCTAAATTTATTATTTAAAATTTGATTATTATTAAATTCAAAAGCAGTAAATAAAATAATTTATATAAAAATTAAGAATTAATTAATTTAGCTATCTATCCACTTTACTTTTTTATTGCTATAAAATCTTGTTTATAAATAAATCTTCTTCTTTAATTTTATAAAATGAATTTACCTTGCTTTTCTTCGAAAAGACGAGGGTCAGCATAAATAGGAATTAAACCAAGTCTGTGAGCCAAAACTTCATCAGGAATAATAGAAGTATTTTAGTAAATATAAACCTTGTGGATAGCCATTGTAGGAACCTATTAATTTTTAATAGTATTTTAGAAACTAATGATAATTTTCGCTCAAGAAAACTAAAAATTTGAAAAAAAGAAAAATAATATACTTCTGCAATCATAATTCTTCTCAAAGCGTTAGCAATAGGAGCATCGACACCCATTAAATCAAATTCTAATTCTTTATTTTTATTATCATATCTAATAACTTCTATTTTAATGTTTTCCTTGAATGTATTGAAATCTTCTTCACTAGTAAAAGCAGCGCTATAGTTCATTTCCTAGCTCTTTTGATAAGATAAAATATGTTTAAGCTCATTTAAATTTGATATAGAATTTTTATTTGATTAAATTTGTTAATTCATTTTCTAATTCATCAAATTTAGAAATCATTTTTTAGATTTCCTGATTAAATACTTCATTAAAGATTCTAATTTAGTAAATATGATGAAATTGGCTAAAATTGCTTAGTTCTTTGAACACTTTTATTTAAAATAAAAAAATGATTTTTAATCTATACGTGTTGAATGCCTTCGTTGGTGAAGACAATATTTTTCTTCATTTTTTAAGTTTTATTTGACATATTTTAATATTAGTTAGCTATATATTTTGTATTCTACTACTTAAAAGTTTTTATTATTTAAAAATCTTTTTTATTGCTCTTTATTTTTTAACTTAAAGACAAATTTAATAATTATTTTTTACATTAATAAATCAATTCAGCTCACTCTTCTGTAGCCTTTGTGCATTTATTTAGCTATAATTTAGTAAATTATTCATTATAATCTAAATCTACTAGGAATAAAAAATATTCATTCTACCTACTACTTCTTTAGTAGTTAAAATATTAAAGATGCAGTAATATATCTTCTAAAGTTAGTTAAATTTATTATTTTTATGCCTCATATTTCATTTATATTAGTTATTATTTGTCAATTTAGTAATTCTAACATGCATTTTAAATGTTAACTACAAATACTGTAATTAAAAACAATAGAATATCTTTCTAAAATTTATTTTTACTAAAAATATTAATATCTGTAATAATTTTTAATATTAGCATTTTTATTTAAAATGAATATCTTTTATCAACAATCTTTTTTAAATATTTATAATTATAACAGTTTTCTATATTGAGAGAAATCAAAATTTATTTATTATTAATGCGATAAAATATATTGTAAGATTAATTAAATTCAATAAAAATTAATTTTTTTATCTAACAGATTTATATAAAGTATTAGCAATCAGATTAGATAAAGATTCTTGAATTAAAATTTTATATAAACTTCTATTAAGTTATATTTTGAAATATCAAACAAATCTTTAAAATGATAAAAAAGTCTTTATTTTTGTTTAATTTTAAAGAAATGAATATATTGAAAAACAATATTTGAAAAATAAAATTCTAACTTTTATTTGACATTTGTTATTTAAAAAAAAATTTTTAGTTCAATTAAAATAATTGTCTTCTTCTTTATTGTTATAATCATTGGTGTTAGGGTTATTTTCTTCATTTATTTCTGAATTATTATGTTCACCTGTATTATTTCTTCTATTCATCATACTAACACTTCTCAAAAGATTATCTAGTTGCATACTTAGCCTGTTATATTTTTAAGACTTATTTCTTTCAGAAGGTTAGTAAATACCACTCGGACGAACATCCCTTTCTTCTTATTGATAAGTGGGTTGATAATTTTATTATTATGCTAACTTTGACTAGGCTGGATATTATCTGACTTAATAATTTTTTTCTGATTATTGATCAGTTAAATCAGTTAATCCTGAGGAAATCATATTCTTTCTTTCTCTTTTCTTTTCAGCTTTTACATTTCTTTACTTTTTAATCCACAGTATAATAAATACCAATGCAATAATTGCAACTAAAGAAATAACTACAATTAGTATAATGAACCATATTTCGTTTTTATTTTCTGATTGGGTATCATCATACTTAATTGTAAAGTTCATTTATTTATCAGTGAAGCCATTTAATAGAATGATAGATAATTCATCAGCTTAATTTTAAGCAAGAGTTAAATTTAAATTAAGGTTTGAATGCGCCTAGAACTCAACAAGGAAATAAGAGTAATTAGAAACCAAGACACGTGATTCACCTAAATCGTTTGTAAAACCCTCAAATATGTAAGATGTCGCTATTGACTGTTATGGTAAAGTAAGAATCCTGACTGGCCAAGACTTACTTGTTCTGTTTTTGACAAAATATTAAATGTAAAACATACTTTCAGTTTATTTTTAGAAAATTGAAGGTTCAGGATCAAAAACAGGTCTGTTTTAAGTAGGCTATCTGGAGCATGAGGACATTATTGATTTTATTTAGAATTAAGGGTTTTCAGAAGTAGACTATAAATTTAAATCAAAAATAGTTTTGTAATTCAGAGGCGCTCCATTTAAATTGAATATAACGGGTTTATAACCTGATATATATTCACACTAGTAATACTTGCCATAGGTATAAACCAATATGTATTAATTATTTAAATATTAAATTTCGTACATGTTAATATTGGTTCCCATCAAGAAAGTAAAGTTATCAAATGAAACTACATTAATTAGTTTTATAAATATGAGGCTCAGATTATCTTCTTAATTTGCAGTAAGATTTAATAAGAGTTTTATCTAGCTTGAATTAAAAACTGTGTTGTCATATGCCTAAAATGTTTTATCAACATATTAGAAATAGATTATGTTTAATTCTGCTTCTGATAAGAAAAGTCCAAATATTTGTTAGTTAACTTACTGTTAAGCATCTTAACTGACTATTAATTAAACATCATAATCAACTATGTAAGCGCCTGTAAGTTAGAAGTTATCAGTCGGGAATGTTTAAGTAACTTAAAGTGAGCACCCATTTTCTTCATTTTTGTGATTGTTTTTATTTGGTTCTGTACAATTAATAGTTGCAATTTTGAAAATACTTGTTTTTTAATTCTAAATGTAGTGTGTTTATATAGCTAAGTATACTATATTGTCATATTCAAAAGGTATAATATAGTCTACATATCCTATATAACCTCCAGTAGAGCTTATTTACCTAAGTTCTACAGTAGCAGAAAAAGGATTATTTTTGCTATATTGAACTTAATAAAGCTTAAATGTTGTGGATTTTTTCTTCGAAACACAATAAATAAGTATCTAGCTATTACTGTTTAATGTCATCCTGCAATAAGAGGAATTATCATTTCCGACTTTCTAATTTAATTATTTAATTATTTTAAAATTTGAGTTAAAATTATTTTTTTTAAATTACATCTAATTCTGATAAGTTAAACTCTTTAATAATTCTTGAAACTGGAATATGTTAACCTGAGTTATATTAATTTTTCTCAATCAAAATGAGATATTAAGAGGAAAGCACTACAATTAGATTTTGACAATCTTAGCAGTTTGAATCTTAAAGACTCATTGAATTATTCGAAAATTAATAAGATGAAAAGTTTATAATGTCTTAGACATCCTTATATTTGAAATAAGTTTCACTGAAAGAGAAGTAATATTTTTATAGAGAAAGATAGTCTCCAAAAAAACTATTTTAGGAAGTCAGTTAATCATTAGTATTTGTTACTTTTCCATTGTTGAAAAGTTAAACTTAGTAACTTTCTATTGGGCCAGTTATATTATCAAGTGGAAATAATGATTATTGTGAGTATACATTTGACTGTTGCTATTTTATTTAAAAATGTAATTTAATAAAAATAAAATAAGACAATTAATGCTAGCTAAATAATTCAAAACTGTAATAGTTATTAATTTATAAAAAATGAGATTAAATGTTTAATAATTAGAATATAATTAATTGATAAAAATCAAAAAATACCTTTGAATTTTAGACTACTATTTCATTTTAGTTTTAATTATCACTAATTTAAATTTATGAGTCAGTAAAATCAAATGTGAGAGTATATTGATTAAAATGGATATCATAGAGATTGATTTTAGATATTATCATATTCAAATTAATTTAATCATTATTAGTTAAAAATGCATTTGCATATAATGTAGGAATATAATTTAAATAGGTAATAATTGTTTAGCCTTCAAAAGAAAAGAGACACATTGTTATTGATTTCTTAACGTTGTTAGTAAATGGTGCCGCATAAAGCGAAGGATTAGGATTATCTTAGTAAAATTTCTAAAATTAAAAGTAAGTAAAAGGGATTTTACTTCTTGCCAATTTTTTTGTTTTAGAGGCTTCATTTTATGATTCACAAAATGAAAATTGATCTGGATACTATTACGGATAATAAGTAATAACTTCAAATATAACACTATTAGGAGTAAAATCATAGATATTGAACATTAAATAGGCTTTCATTTCACCTATTCTTAACTTATAATTTGTAAAAATGTAAATAATTTTCCCATCAGTGAAATGTGGAGCTTCAGAATCAACAATATAATTAAAGAATGGGAATTATCTATTCCAAGTACAGTAGAAAGGATTTTAAAAAACGAACTCTTGCATTATTTATACAGAATTACCATAGCATAACACAACTAAAGAAATGGTATTATCATCAAATCCAAATAAACTGAAAATCTATTAGTATTTAGAATTTAAACAGCCCGATCCTTGTACTTATTAGACCTAATTTTTTAAGTCTATTACATAAGATACATGCACTAATCTGTCAAGACTTGGTAGTTAATCATCTGAATTTTCTATATTTTTTTCATTATTTTTTTTTTAATTTTCATAGTTTTCATCAGGACATTCTGATTATTTTTACATATAAAGCTACTATATTCTTGTCAATGTATAAATCTAATGTTAAATATTTTAATAATTTAGATTTTTAATTTGAAAACTTTTATTTTTTCTTATACTGAAAAGTTCTTTGCAAATATAACTATTTTTGCAATGTAAATATTTGCATAGAAAAATATTTATTAATAATATTTTTGACTAATAAATCTAATTAAATGATTAATGAAGAAAAATCTTATCTAGACCTAAAAATACATATAAATTAAAGGCATAAAAAGTAATAAAATATCTTTAATTTACCTTTAGATCAGAAGTCAGTAAAAAAATAAAATCTTCTACTAGAAAATTATTATCAACTTAAATTATTTTTCCTTCATCTAAAGAGCTTAATTTATATTTGTCTACCACTAAGAAAATTTAAGAGCAGTAAGCTATAACCTCAAACTAATCATTGTATTTAGGAATTAATAAATATAATATTAATTTTTTGCTATCTTTCGTAACTGTGACAAGTATTCTATGAACCAATTTTTAGTAAAAAAATATTAATAAATTAAAATTTAAATCATTTTATATTTAAATCTAAAAAAATAAATCAAATCAATTTAACAAATAATTTTAATGAAATAATACGATTGTTATGAATAAGAAAAGAAATCAACTTATGAATATCCTTGTATCTAACCATTAATGTCTAACAATTCATCATTTTTAACAAAGTCACCTTCAACTTTAATACATGAATATGATTATTCTTACTTATTAGTTACTATTTCACATACGTAACCTAATCTCTCAGTTTTATCAGCAACGAATGATGATTCTCTACCCTCTGAATATGTGTCCAAATTACACTACTATCCTTATCTTTTTTAATGTATACATTATTAACACTTTTACTATTTCTTTAATAATTTTACACTGATAAGTCTTTAAAGAAGTTTCTGATACAAGAGTCTCCTGTAAAATATTTCTTATTGTTATTTGTAATAGGGCAATAATATGACTCTATCACACAAGGAGTTGAGTAGGTTGCTAATACAACTCTAAAATTAGGAGGGTTATATAGCTTATTACTGTCATTAATTTAGAGATAAAATATAGTCTTGCTATCAAAAAAGTTGGTCGTTACTGATATTGTTTAATTAAAATCTATCAAGCTTTAGAATTTATCGTTTTACACACTTGGTTCATAGATAAAATATAATAGAGAGCCTTTTTAAAGTAATAATAATTAATTTAAATACTTATTTGACTTAGACTAAATATACCTGTAACACCTTTCTTAATTGGCAAGCTAACAGTTTATTGTTCCCAATATGAGTTTATTTAAAATGTTTATTCTGGATCTAAAACCTATTAATTGTATGGAACTAGCTATATAATTAACAAATTTTATAAGCTTTTTGTCTCAAATATCTGCTGAGCATTCATTGCAAGGTATGTACCTTGAACTTAAAATTTTATGACACTCATTTATGGCAAATTGTATTTCTCTTACAATTACTAAGTTGAAATTATAAGAGGTTTCTGAGTTACCCTTGTTACTTATAGAATGCAAGTATTTGGCATATACACCATTATATAATTTCCCATGTCATAGAAGTTATCATTTTAGAATAGATTAACTGGAGACTCTAGTTTTTAATAATAATGCATAAAGCTATTATCATTAGTTCTAGAAAATATCTTGATCACAACATCAATATTTCCATTTTACTTATTTGTAAATGATGTATCTTTCATTTATGCCATGATATATTAAGAGTTAACAGTTACTTTTGTTAAAATTAAATTAGCTTCTCCTATCGATAATGATCCAACAATCAAATTTTAACCATCTTCATTTTTAGTATCAACAACCTATTTATTATTTTATAAAGAGTATTAATTTTTATATGTATTATCACACAAAGATAAAATTGCACAAAATCATAAATAAAATCTGATTCATACCTATATTTCATCAATACAAGAATCACTTCCTACAAATAGAGTGACATTATCTTCTTAGATGTAAGTCATTTCATGATAGCATGAGTCAGAAAGCCTTTTAAAAGGTTAAATAAAAATTAAAAATGGGCGTTTAATCATAATGATTACTGGATAAATGAGCAAACAATATTCATATCATCTTCTGAAAGAACACACTTGCAAATACTACTGCATGTGCACTTGTTATCTTCTTATTTAGAAACAAGCATAGCGAATTACCAATAACTCTAACTTACATCATTATTGCTATATAGTGGATTGGTAACCATTGCTTTGATTTAGAAAGAAGACACATTTTAACATTAAGGATTCTAAAAGGGATCAAGGTTAATGAAAACAATATCTGCATCACTTGGAAAATTAGCTCCTTTTTCTAAGCTCTTTAAAAATAGAAGATTTGAGTTTATATCTAAATCTTAAGGATTCGGACAGAACATAACCAAAGTGTTTGAGTATGTATTGCTGATTCTTTATTTACAAGTATAAAAATATTCTGATGCTAGTTTATTTTTCAATCCATATCTATTGACATTGACCTCTCCAACAGAATTTATTATATCATTATTTGGATCTTTTTTTAATGGTATAAATACCATAGCAAATATTTATTCATTTGGCTAAGTGCTATCCTATATATTACAATCTACATATAAATAGCAGTCTTATGAATTATCAGGTAAATCTTAAAATCTTTATTCGTTTGAAGATTAATCATCAAAGTCATAGACCTCAATATCAAAGCAAGCAAGCTTTTCATTAGCATTTATGTATGAATTTAAATTTTCTTTAAAAATAGATTATTTTTAAACAGGATGCTGAGTATCATCAAATATTATTATATATACCTAGTTATCAGAGCTAAGAAAAACATGAACAGGTTAATCTTCAGGTGCTTTTGATGCAATAATATTGATACCTTCAGCAGGACAACTATCATCCTCGTCTTTCTCTGATTTTTATTCCAAACTATTATTGTTTATGTTTGTTATATTTATTTGTTAGTCAATTATAATAGGCGATGAAGGAGTAAAAATAAGTTTTTATATTCGCTTATCTGGTTCTGAAAAAGAAGGGTATGCAAAGCAAAATTGAGTTTCTTAATCACATGGAACTTGAACCCATTCACTATCTAATGATTAAATATCAGTTACTGCAAAGTTGTTAAATGGGAAGTATTTATCTAAATAAAAGTAATATTATTCAGTTTCATCTGAATTCATTGTTAATAAATAGCAATCAGTGTCTTCACATGTTATTTCATCATCAGATACTTATTATTGTAATTTATTTGAGAATTTTGTTTTATTTTTCACTTTTAAATCTCTCAAATTTCTATCTATTTATCTTTTTACATTATCCACTCTTTTCAGCTTTGAGGCGTTTGATGAGTTAGTAAAAAGAAATAGAAATAAAAAGTAAAAAAATGCTAATAGCTAAGCTAACTTTTTCATTGTTTTCTTCTATATATTTGCTAAATTTTTAGACTTTTTTATTTGCTTTATTGAATTTGTTTCCAAAATTGTATTGTATTGTTTTGCTATTTAGGCTTAGCTTATAATTTCTTTTATAATAAACTAAATTCAATTATTTATTGTTAAAATTATCGCTACATTTTAACTTTAATAAATATAAAGATTTATGAATCTTTTTATGTGTTTTTTTAATCATTTTTTAATTAATCAAAAAAATATGTTGCCTAATTTGTAACCACTTAAAAATACTTAAATTTTTTATTCTATATAATTTAAAATTATGTCTACTCATTATTATTTTTCTATTCATATATACTTTCATTTTCAGTAATAAATTATTGAAAGTTCAATTTACTTTATGGGTTAAAAAGATGATAAATTTTTACCATTTAACTCCAAATTATTAATTGCTCATCATGTTAATAAATATTTATGGTAATAAAATTTCAATTTATTATTATATAAATAAAATTAGCATCCCAAGAATCTATAAAAAGAAAATTTATTTTATTTATTTGTTACTTGTTTCTTTTTTGAATAAATAAATCTTTTATTTGCAAAATCTAAATAGCAGATAAAATACTTTAAAAATAAACAATAAAGATGTTTAAACAGAATCATAAAATATAGTGAAAATTAACCCTCCTTTAAACAGATAATTAAGGGTAATGATAATAGTAAAGAAAAAGATAAATAATAAAATGATTAGCTATAAAATTAATATAGTAAAAGATTGGTTGATTATTAAATGATAATTATAATTATAATAATAATAATATTAACAATTCTACGAAATGATAATCTCTTTTTTAGTAGTTTGGTTGTTATTTTATTTGTCTGATTAGATTGTTAGTTTTTTGTATTTTTATGAATACTCTCAAATTTTTAAATAGAAGAAAGAATTAAATAATTAAAGAAAAAAAGATAATATCGAAATTAATATTTTAACTTAAAGAAAAAGGTTATCAACGAAACTTAAAAGAATAGCTTTTATATTAGGTAAAGAAAGAATCATAAAAATTGCTAAAGTAGATTAAGCCATCTAAAATAATAAGAAATAGTGTAAAATGGAAGATATTGTTGACTTTCGTACTGAAGGTACTTTTTAAGGATAGGATTATATTGTTATTATAAAGGCATTCAACGAACAACTGCAAATTCATTTAGAAAGTAAATACGAGCCTGTTTGGTGGAATAATACTTTCACTGCTAGCTATTTAGAAGATCTTACTCAGAAAACAGGAATTCGCAGAAAATTTAATGAGTTTGTAGAAGCAGTAGTTCATGGATTGTCCAAAAGAACAGAATCTAGCAACGTTGATATTTTGACTTTCTAAGATTTAGAAAATATGAGAAATGGTATCCCAACTGCTTCTTAAAGCTAGTAGCAATCAGGAGGTAAAAATACTTCTTTGACTTCTTCAAGCAGTAGTGGATTAAGCAGTGCTTCTAAAAAGAGCTCCAATAATAAGCGTTACATTATAGTTACAACTGAAGTCAATGGAGAAAGAGTTCATTATCCCTTAAGCTTAAACTTGGATGACATAGATAATGTTGACGTTCTAAAGCAACAAATTCGTAAAATGAAACTTGAAGTTGAAGAACTAAAAGAAAAATCAATCAGAGGATTTAGTGAAATGGATGGTGCATAAAGTTCAAAAGGAAGCTTTAGTACAAGCAAAGGAAATGTACACATAATGCCTGGAGGCTTCTTCTTAACTGACAATAATACCAATTCTTAAAATCTAGGAGGATTAGATCGAAAGAACAGCACTCAGAACTCGCTCAACACCACCCAGTAAAGCGTTGTTGATTAGCTTAAAAGTGAGAATGAAATGCTGAAAACAAAAATTAAAAGAATAGAAGAAAGTAGCTTGTAAAAGAAAGGTGCTGTCGAGTTAGACAATATAGTGAAGACTAAATATGAGTTAGAAGAAGAACTCGAAATGGTTCGTAAGGAAAGCCAGTAAACAATTGAGCGCCTCAAAGTGTCTTTAGAAGAAAAGGAAGAAGAGCTTCTAAGAAGTAGAACATAGTTTTTAAGTTTTTAGAAAGAAATTACTCTCAGCCAGTCATAAATCCTAAAAGGTGGCTCTGAAGCAGATGAAAGCACTCGCCGCTTAAGAGAGTTTATAGTGAAACTGACAGAATAAACTGAAAATGAAGTTCTCAACTCTCGTAAAGTGATTCAAAAGCAATCCAAGGAAATTGAAAAATCAGCTAGTGAGATTGATTTCTTTAAGTAAAATGATCGCAAGCAAAAACAACGTATCAAATAATTAGAAATTGAACTTGAATCTGCTATTAAAAGAGTCTCCACTAAAGGTACAACAGACCGCTTATATTCTCCATATACAAGAAACACACCTGGAAGTAGCGCTTCTAATACAAGTAATCGTAGAGCAACAAGTGTTCCTACTAAAGGATATTCTCCATCTAACAGAACCACTCCTACATCTACAACAAATAATTAAAATAAATACGGTTAGAGAAATGCAAGTAATTCAGCAGGTTCTAGAACTGGTATATCGCCATCATATTAGTTTAATGCTAAGAAAACACCAACTACTACATCAGCAACTTAAATTTAAAATAGAAGTCCAGGAGTGACAGGAAATCGCTATGGTTCAGGAAGCAACACTTAAGGCCTCAATTATAGAAGAAACTCACCTTCAGGAGGTACATAATCAACTACAAATACTTCTAATCGTTACGGGTCTTAGACTAATCAAACTAACTCTGCAACAAATATTTAAAGTAACTCAAGAAATAGATACAATGGTAGTGGAGGAATAAGTGGAATAACAGGTACATAAACAGGAACAACTGCAAGTGCCTCATAAAGGTAATTTGGAACAAATAAAACAAATAACACAGCTACTTCTAATAGATTAACCAACTCTAACAAGGGTTTATCACCAAAACCAAATGCTGTTAATGCAACCAGATAAAGTCCTTCTAGTTAGAGATTAAATGGAAACCCTACTATGTAAAGGACAAACAGCAATTCTAGGCTATCCCCTGCTTCCAGATACAATCTTACTAATAACAACAATAAAACAGGTAATAATAAACAAAGCCCAGGAACTCGCATAAATAACTACCTTTCTTCAAACGATTAAAAATTAATGAAAAAAATAGATGATATGCAAGGAAATAAAGTAGGAAATAATAGTGGCACTAATAATACCAATAACTTAATTAAGGAATATCAAGATGTTAAAGTTGATTCTGCTCCTAATAGAATAGATGAAATTGATTAAAGATTAAACAAATTGCAAAATTTATTAAAAATGGCTAAAAATTGAATTACTCTCAATTCTCAATAGATTTATTAACATCAAAAAAGTTAGAAAATTTGCCAAACAAACAGAATAACTAATTAATTAATTAATGACATGAAAATATATTTTTTATTATTATTAAATGTTCTTTTACTATAAATTATATATATTTTTTATTCTAATTAAATGTACTTTTACAATAAAATAGTGTTTATTTTTTTATAAAAAATGCAGTTTAATACAAAAATTTGTTTGTTTTAATTTTCTTGCATAGTTTATTTACTATTTTTTTCTTTTTTCCCTGATAAAATTATTTTTACTAATAAATAAAATGAAATTTGAGTAGCTTAAGAAGCTTATTGTCAATATCATTTTGATCATTTAAATTCAAAAGTAAAGAATTTTTTTGTCTTTTCTGATATTTTAAATTTTAATCAGAAATAAATTATTAAAGGCAAATAAATCTTATTATAAATAACTTAGTTGAAAATCATATTAAATATTTACAAATTTATATTTATTTGAAATGTGTTTAATTTCTGGGATTAGTAAGAAGGGTTGTATAAATCTGACTATATTTGTATTACCATAAATCCTAATTATAAGTTATATAGTTTTTGTACTTCATATTACTCATCTAGCCAAGCGAATTCAGTTATTACCTTGTAAGATAAATTTATTTTCATTTAAATTCTGTTTTTGATAAAACATAGTTTTATATAATTTTATATTACTATAGAATATTATTAAGATGAAGTTTAGTAAGGCGAGGATTAATAATATTTGAATGATGAATTTGAAATAAATAGTGGTGAAGTAACTAAAAAGATAGAGTAATATATAGAAGCATATGATAATAGATTTGATAAAGACGAAAAATTGGATGGAGATTTTAGCTAAATAGCTGAAGTTGATATGTAGGTCTTAGAAAATGGAAAAAAGCTCATTGATTTTTAGAAGTTCTATCACGATTTCTAGAGCTATAATATGCCTATAGTTTTAAGAAATGCAGTAAAACATTGGAAGGCAATTTTTAAATGGTAGAGTGATGAATATTTAGTTAGTAAAATTGGGGATAGAGAAGTTTAAGTTGAAGTTAGAGAAGATGGAGAAAACAAGTTTGCATATTTTTAAAAAAATTTTGTAAAATCCAGCATGAAATATAATGAATTCATATAGATATATAAAGATCCAAATAGAAAAGCTAATTATTATTTAGCTGAGTTTGGTATCCCTGAGGAGATAGTTGAAGATATTGAAGAGATAGAATTAGGTTTGTTCATGAATTTAGAATATACTAATTTCTGGCAAGTAATAATTAAATATCTTTCTTTAAAACATTAGTTTTTATTATTTTTAAAATTAAATCCTAAATGTATTTCAAAATTTAATATGATTAAAGTATGTAAATTTAATTATATATTAATAATATGTATAATATATAGGGAGCAAGCGGTACTGAATCTCTTCCTCATACTGATGATAAAGATAATTTCCTATGTCAAATTACTGGAAAAAAAACAATAATATTAATTCCACCAACATAGAGATCAAAACTATATGTGGGAGATGGAAAAAATAAAATAAGAAACTACAGCTAAGTTGATTTCTTTAATCCAAATTTATAAAATTTTCCTTTGTTTTCTCAAATAAAAGGAAAAATGAAGGTTGAAATAAATCCTGGTGATGCTCTTTTTATTCCAGCTTTTTGGTGGCATCACGTCAAGTCTTCTAATGAAAGAAATTTGGCTATTAATTTTTGGTATACACCTAACTTTATGCACAGTTTATTTTAGTCTATATTGGAGTCAGATGAATTTAATTAATGAGTTATACTTTATAAATTTTGTTCTTTTATATTTTATAAACTTAATTGGTTGTATCAAACAATACTTTCCTAAATTAAAATTATAATTTATTTGTATATTTATTGGTCTGAATAAGGCTCTTCATAAACTTTTTCTAAACTTGTCAGAAAGATATCTGTTAAATAGTTTGATAATTATTAATTACTAAAAATTAGAGAGATGATAATCGAAAATTTTAATATCATTCAAATGAAATTTTTATAAAATCGAAAAAAAAATTTTGTTTACTCTTTTTTTTAGATGATAATGTAAGAATTAGATTTTTTACTGGTAAATAATTTTTTTAATAAAGAGGATAATTTATATTAATGTCAAAAGACAATCATAAACATTACAAAATTCAAAAATATTTTAGAAATTGAATAAATATTTGTTAGTTCCTTTTTTTTAATAAATCTATTTTTTTAAAAACTATTAAACATAGTATTTATAAAAACATTATTAGACATAATTAGTCAAGAAGAAAATTGTCAATATTATAAATAGTAAATATTTTAAATTTAAATATTAAGATTAATTTTATAAAATGTTTAATTTGATTTCTTTGAATTTAATAATTTCAGTTTTTAATTCTTCATAGTTAAATCATTATTGATTGATTCATAATATTTTTTTGCAATCAATTGTCGGAATTATATTTTTTATATCACAAATCGTTTTTTACTCTGTAGAAATTTATTTAGGCTTAAATTAAGATTTTGGTATTGATGATTTTTGGTTTAGATTAATGCTATTCTTCAAATAACTTGATCTTTTTTTATGATAATCTTAAGATTTCAAAGAATTTCTTCCATTAAATTCCAAGGCATTTGAATTAAATAAGAGCTAGGCGTCAACATTATTCATAAAATTTTGAGGATCATCTTTGTCTTTTATTTATTCAATTTCTTTTGAATTTAAATCTTGGTCAAATGAAAGGTTTTTTCTTATTTTTGATGATATATTTTCATAGATTGTTTTATTGTTACTTGGAACTCCAGACATTTATCTCCTATAGTTTAAAAAAGGAGATTTAGCTGTTCTAGGAGCGAGTATACTATCTGCTATGTTATTAAAATCATTATTTTAATAATTATTATCACTGTTTTCTTTGTTAAAATTACTCTTTTTATTTAAATTTTATATTATTGTATCATTATTAGAACTAGCTTAAGTATATGTTTGTAATGAGAATCTTTTTTTTTCTTCTTAGTGATGAGATTATGCAGAAAGCACTCTTCTATTTTTGAGCAGTTTTGAATTATACTAATCCCCTTTTTAGCTGTTTTATTTATCTAAAAAAACTACATCATTTTGATTAAGCTAATCAATTTAACTCAGCTTATAATTACTTTGTTAATCATCCATTTCTTCATCACTATTTTAAGTATTTAATTATTTTAGGATACCATTCGGCTTGCCTTTAAATTGTAAATTTTCAAAACCTGATTAATTTATTTAATCGTTAATACCAATTTGACTGATTGCTTAACTTATTTTTCTTTATACAGCTGAAGTGCTGTTATTTTTACTTCTATTATCTAATAATGCATAATTTTGAACTTGGAAGGCATTATTTGTATAAACTCCACTTTAAGATAAATTTAGTCTTTCATTTTGATGCTAACTAATAATTGACTTTCCTCTGTGATATGAAAGCTTAAATTGTATTGAAATATTTTTTCCTTCATTTGACAAATTTTCACGAGCTATTTTTCCTTTTTGTTGCGAATTAGGTCTACTTTAAGAAGAATTCTTTTAAACTATAACCATACCTTTTTTATCAGTTAACTGACTTTAATGTTGAAAATTAAGGCTAACACGCTGCATATCTTCACCATTAGTTTAAGTGGGATGAACAGCATGAGGGTTAATAGTCAATAAATTCCCGTTAGTTTATTTAATTAAAATAGGAATCTTTTCTTGCTGCTTTTGATTAAAATTTTATATATTATTAGAAGTAACTTGATTTAATTCATCTACTGTTGTAGCTGTTTGTTAAATTTCTAGGAGAATCCTATTCACATTGTTACCTTTCTTATTGATAATTTTTCCTTATCTGAAAGAAGGAGAATTTGATTCTGTTTTTGCTTCATAAATTGCATTTTATTCATTATTGTTTGGACTCTAACCTTCCTCTAATTGATCAATCTAATTTTTAATATCCTCATTAGAGTATCTGCTTTTAATCCTTTCAATATTCGATGTTCCAGCAGCTCCTGAGTGACTTGCTTTATATTATTATTTTGAAACCACTTTGATTTAAGGTGCATTTTAGAAAGAGTTGTTATTTTCTAGACTTATTTTTTTTGTAGGAGAGGCAGATTTTTTAGATTTTAAGACAGGAGAATATCTTGATATTTGAGAATTTTAAGGGTTAAGTCTCATAAATTCAGCCTCGTTAGTATCTATGACATTATTAAAATTAAATGTGTTTATAGTTTTATTTAATAAATCAGATATTTCTTAATAGTAGATATCCTAGCTCTTTTTCTATCCATCTTCTATGGTTTTTCCATTAATATTATTATACATATTTTAAGAGTGTCCTTTAATATATTAATTATAATCATTCTTTATTTTCTAAGCAGTTTTCTTTAAAAACCTAGGTAATGTATTTCTCAAAGGCATGTTATAGCAGTTTTTTTTGCTTTCAGGTTGCTTTTGAATAGGGTTATAAACCTAATTCTAAGTAAATAAAGGAACTATTATAGAATCATTTTATTCGCTTATACTATTCTTTTTATTAAATTTACTATGCTACTATTGTCCTTATTAATAGTTACTTTACTAAGTAAACAACCTCTAGTTGGATTCTTAGCAAGTCTAGGATCTCTTTTCTAATAGCTATTTAGGATTTATAGGAGCACCTCCTTTTCTTTAAGGAGACATTTTAAAAATTTTATTGTTATAAGAGAGGCAAGCATCTTAGCAATCGTTTTCAGTGCTAATAAATCCTTACTTTGCTATATTTAAATTATTTACATCTACATCGCTAAAACTTATATTTTTAACAGAAGCTATTTATTTTTTTTAGTCTTTCCCCATTTTTCCTAATAAAGTATTTTATTGTAATAAACTTTAGTCTTAGGTGTGTGAATGAATTATGCATAAACCATTTTTATCTCCATTATTTTAATCATCTTAATAAATAGGATTCAAATCAACATTAAACCCTTATTATACATGAAAATTATCTTCTGTATATTAATGCTAAGTAGAAAGAGGTCTTTTTAATAAATTTCTCTATGAGATTGAAGATTTTTAGTTTCTATTTGCATTTCTGCTTTCATTTTTTGAATGAGATCGTACTTTTAACTACTACTTTGGTGGCGGTAGCCAAGGCCCAAATGAATCTTTACTCCTAGCTGAATCAGCTATATCTAACAAATCCTACTATATTTTTAAATCCTATAACTCTAAAGTAGTCATTTCTTTTTTATATGAGTTCTCTTTTATATTTTACAGCTATTAATTCTAAAAGTCAAAATTGTTTTAATTTATATCATCTAAATTATTATTTTTTTTATTATCATTTTCTAATTTGTTATTAAAAGTATTATCCTTTTCATTTCCTGACATGTAAGGACTTTCCTCATCGTTGCTATATTAGCCTTTTCTGCATTAGCTTCCTTTCTTTTTTAATTTTTTAATATTGAGAGTTCTCTTCATTTAGTTTTAAATAAATTTGTATCCACTTAAGTATCTAACGTAGTGCTTCTTGTTTGATAACTTTGTTGGCTTATTTGAAGAGAATGCTAATAATAAATACAAGAATAAATAATCTTTTTAATAAATAATCTGTAAATTAAATTATTGATTTATTAATTACTAAATGAAATTGATGAAAACTAAAATATTCAAACAAAAAGCACATCTTATATGTAATAAACGAATGATAGTTGTTTAATTTCAACATTTTTAAAGTAAAAAAATTACATCGTCCTTAAGGTTATAAAAAATCAATACAAATTAAATTACTTGTTTAATATTTGTAAGCTTAGATCTAATCCAATGTGTTTAAATTTATTTATAAACAAATATATAGGTTATATCCGTCTGTTAAAGCCAACATTCATTTAATATCAACTTACATAAAATATTTTTTCATAAGTAAAAAAATTTGCAAAAGAAGATTTACTTTTAACTGTTCAGCATCTAATTTATATTTAAAATATAATAAATTTTTCAGATAAAATTTAATTTAATAAAAAGTAAGAATAGAAATATAATAAAATGCTATTTTCATTCAAAAATTAAAATTAATATTAAAAGAAATATAAAAATATATTGGTTATAATTTTAAATATAATATATTAAAAGCAATATTTTAAAACTGAATAAATTTTAAATCTATACTTAAAACATATTTATTTTTACAGTAAAAATTGAGAAAAAAACGTATGTACCTATTTTTTTTTAAAATTAATAAGAAAATGGAAGAAAAAATAAAAATATTTTAAATTTAAATAAAAAATTAATGAATTTATAAATATTTGATTTTAATTGTTTGTTTAAATTAAATAAAATGCAATATATTTAATATTTTTATTGTTGCAATATAGCTTATATTTAAGTAAAGTCTTACAAAATTTAATTTGAATTTAGTGTATTTATAAAAAAATATATTATTCATAGTTTAATCCTTTAATAAATTAATCATCTATTTTTCCGAAAAATTACTACTTGACTACCTTAATTATAAAATAATTTTTTTTAATTATTATATAGAAATAAGGAAATTTTTGTGAATACAAAAAATATATATAATCTTTAATAAAATTATTACTTAAAACAAGAATTTTGAGAATGTATAATAAAAGATTAAATATTTATTCAAATAAGTCAAAAGTTTTAAAATACATAGAAAATATTAATTAGAAATAAATTTACATTATAGTTTATTTTTACTTAAAGTAAGGATTATTAATTAGTCTATACAATGTTGAATTATATTATTAATAATTTAAAGATTTGGTAAGAAGAATTATTAATTAATTAATTTATAAATATAATATTTTAGGATTGTTTTTCTTATTCATTCATTTTATTTAAAATATTTCATGACAAATTTATTAATTTAACAATACTTATCTATTTATTGATTTATTTATCTAATATCTAAATACTTATGCTTTATTTGCTCAAATAAGTTAAATGTCAAATTTTAAATTTATTTTTTTTAAAAATTATTAACGATTTCATTCATTTTTATTTTACTGATCTTTATGCTGTTAATTTTGGTAATATTAGAAGTTTAAATTTATTTTTGAGTTTTCTATAGAATTTCTTAAGCTACTATTTGCTGTGAAATGTTTGAATTTACTCAAAACATCTGTTGTACTGTTATTACCTGAATAATTAGTTATTTTTTATGAGTATGAAGGTGTAAATGAAAATTAGCTATTTAACTGACCTGATGAATTTGAATTATATTGAGGAGGCAATCCTAGATTCGTTTTACCTGATGCTTATTATTAACTTTATTATTATTATAGTTCAGTTGAATTTTAGCTTTGTCCAGCTTCATTTGAGTGAGTTTGATTTTTCAGAAGCTAATTAATGGAAACAAATTGTTATTATTTTTAGAAGTTAGTTTAGCACTATATAGATTAATTATTTGGTAGTTAGTTTTTTATTTATATTGGAGTTGTATATATAACAGTTTATCCAGTGGAGCTGTTTTGCTATGAAGTTAATTGTTAAGGAGCAATTTATAGTTAATTTTTATGCTTTACTTCTAGGTTTGGTAAGTTATTCAACGTATTTGTGGATAAATTCTGTTAAGAATTTGAATTATTAGTCTTGGCCTAGAAGCTTGAAACATCAAAATTATTAAAATGATTCCCTTGCATTTACTTAATTTCAGAAGGCTTAGTTGAGACTTAGGGTCTTATAGGAGATACAGCTAGATCAGTGTTTTAGCTATACTGATTTTAAAAAGATGAGGGCTTGAATTAAAGAATTGAGTCCTATTGCTATTTCTAAGTGTTGTCCATAATAAAGAGCTAGTCATTTATTTATTTACTCATTTGCAGTTTAAGCATATTTGATCTGCTATTTGTGATCTATTCAGCCATAGCGTGCTATTATTTTTTTTGACTTAGAGGTGAATTAACTAGATAAGCTTATTATTATTCTTTATCTACTAGTTCTATTTAAGTTGGCTTTTTTCTTTAGAAGTTATCATTATTTGAGCCAATTATTGGATATTTCTCTTTTTACAGAGCTTCTGATTATTCATAATTTTTTTCTGTAAGGTTATTTTAAGTCGTTTAAGTATTATTTTAATTTTATTCTGTTGAGTTTTTATCATTAGTGTAGGTATATTGATTTCTTACTGCATTTATTATGTCCTAATAGTATTAAATATCTGCATCAATTGAGGCATTTTATGGTCTTATTTTGAAAAGATTGTTTTTTTACTAAACCTAATTATTTTTTGTGCTCTATGATGTTACATTTTATTAAAGGATTCCAAAATCAACACTTTATGGCTTGTTATGTTAAATATGTTAGTGGTAATTGCTAGTACTTTAAATTTGAGTATTTTTTCCTAGAGAAATATTCGAAGTTGAAGAAGAGTTAGAATGCAACGAGTTGTTTGAACTCTGAGGATTATTTTATTACTATTAAGGTTATTAAAGTGAGTTTGGTTAAGTCTAGTAGATTTATTGTGCAGTTGAATTTGTTTGATACTAGCTGATCGTGTTATTAAGAATAGGATTATAATTAGAATTCAGAGAATAAGCATAAGAGTTACTATGTTGATGATGGTTATGATGAGCTGAATTAGATTATAATTATCTATTCGTCACATTACCAGCTTAATTACTAGAATCTACATTTTAAGCTTTATTTTAATATTTAGGAGGTAAATGAGCACTCTATTATCTAGTGTGATATTATTGCGTTTAAATAGCTGGCTATTATTGTTGTTAAATATTAAAAGATGCATTAGGAAATTAAGCAAGCTACTATATAGGTAAAGAATACTACTAAGCTAAAGAAGTATTTTTAGTAACATTGTTTGTATTTGAAGTACTTTGATTGTTTATATTGTAACCAGCTAAGATATTGTTAGAAAGAATATTTTAGGTATTTGAAATATTATATTAGGTTTAGAAATCAACATTTTAGTAGCTTGTTTTAGCAGGAAGAGGAACTGAAGAATCTCTATAACCTCTTATAGCTTTTTACTATTTAGTATTTGGAGAATCACCACCTTCTATAACTTCATCAGGTTTATTTGCGTCTAAAGAGGGATATTCTTACATTTGGGGATTATTTGGGTTTTTATTTTGTAGACAATTAGTTGGGCTTGGATCAAGACTAGAATAGTATCTAGGAACTTTTACAGTTTATTCTACTTTTGAATTTCTTAGAGTTTAAGTACCTGTGATTATTTTATTATTATTAGTCATTTAAGTTGATTGAAAAGATAAAGTTTGATCATTAGAGAAAGAAGTAAAATTAATTTTATTAAGGTCTTTTTGAGCATTAGAAGAGCTATCTATTGCTGAATTGCTATTATAGTTATCTTAATTACTGTTATAATTGTTGTTTGTAGTTGTATTATTGTTGTTTGTAGAAGGTACTTCGTACTTGTAGTTGTATTAACTTTCAGTAGATTATTGCTTTACAAAATCCAAATTGTAAGGATTGTTAGACAATAAATTTGATTAAGAATTATGAGTGTTATTATTTTTGTTGTTCATATTTGCAATACTATTACTTGTGGTAATTTAAGTCGATACAGTGGCTTAATTATTTAAATTTTATAAGGGTTTTTCAATTGAAATGTGTGTTTAAGATGTATTTTTCTACATTTATAACCCTGATTTAGGTTCCTAGGATTAAAATTCAAAATTCTATTAATCAGGTCTTGACTTTCCTTGTAAATAGTAAAGCTATGAAATTTCTTTTTCATGTATTTATTATTAAGAGGTTAAATTTTTATTATTTTGTTAACATTCTTGCAATTTTTAATTTGTTGAAATCTAATCATTTTCTGTATGTATGAGACTGGTAGAATCTACAGCTGATATACTTGGAATGTAGTTTGTTGTTTTATTAGAGTCATTTGATATGTAATTATTTCTATTTTAACTGAGTAATGTTTCAATAAGCTTTTTGTTTTCATTATCTTCACTTGCACAAGCTTTAACCCCTTCATACTTATTTTAGTTTTTGTCAATTTAGTTGTAACTATTTATTCCTAACAATTCATTTTGCTTACCTAACAAGGTGTTCATTTGCTCTAATATAACATTCTTTTTACGAGACATTCCAAATTCATTGAAAGTTGAGGTTTGTCCTTGAGCATCATTAAAAGAAGGTAGTTAATTTTAAGAAATTGAGAATGAATTAGCTGTTTGGTTATGATATAAATCATCTGCAGTTTTATTTTAAATGTAGGTAGTGTTATGTGAATAAGCAGCTGCAACTCTGCTCTTTTCGTAACCAAAATTCTGTGAGCATTCATCAATATGATTAAACTAGACTCTCTTTACTAACTCTTAATCTAGCTCTACATTAGAGATATCTCCTAATGTTTCAATAATGCAATTCAATTTATTTTTATCAGCAACAGTTTTATCAACAATCCCCTCATCTGAAGATTATTCATCACTGCTCTCAACTCTATCTTTCTAATTTTAATCTAAAGATTCTACTTATTTTTCTTCTACTCTTGGAGATTTCAATAAATACTGAGGTTAATTTGCAAAATTATTTAAAGTTTATTGTTTTGGAAGAAAATTTAAACTTAATTAATTATAAGAAAGTTGATTTTCTGATTTAACTTAGTTGTTTTCATTTTAAGCATTCATATTTTGTTATTTCTCATTTGTGTTTTAATTTTAATTATTATTAAGATTTATTTGAGCTTATGAAGCAAAATTTTTGAAATGACTAAATTATTCTTTATTCCTATTTGATCTAGGTTTAGAACCTGGAGTTGAGTCATCTTTCAGATCCTAACTGAAGTTGATTACTTCAAATTCTTAGAATTCATCGTTTACCGATTGCATAGTGCTTTGTCTATTTTCAGGTGTAGAAGGATTAAACTCTCTCTTCTTTTAATATTTTTAATATATCAATTTTTTTGAATGAGCTCTGATATTATCTTCTAAATTCTTTTCAAAATTATTCTCAGATATTTTGTTGCTATTTTTAATTTAATTATAAGTATGTTTTAAACTGTTATTATTCGGACCTTACTTTAAGTTATTTTTTTCAGAAGAATCCATATTTAGATTTGAAATACTGTGTACTTTATTTCCTCCCTAAGAATACTCGTTTGGTTTGATTAATTTTTCACTAATAACTTTTCCATTTTCACTACGCTCGTTTTTAGGAGAGATCTTTTTAGTGGGAGATTTACTGGATTTGTAATTTCTAACATTATCGTATGTTTTGAAAAATTGTTTATTTTAAAAATCATCAAATTTATTTTTAGAGTCGATGACAGCTTGTCTATCTTGGTTGCTATTTTATTGATTTGTGTTATTTCCTCCAGCGGTGCTTGATTGGGTGTTTTGATATATTGAAGATATGTCATTTTAATTGATATACAATAATTTAGACAAATCAGTATTTGAATTAGTGTTTATTTCATTAGTATAAATTGTTGTTTATTTGCAAAGGGTAGAAGTAGAAGAGCTGTTTTAAGTATTTAAAGGGCGAGATTTGTTAGATACTTCATATCTTCCTTCAGCTTAATTAAAGCTGACATTTTATATATAGTTTTGTACATTAAAAGCTAAGTTGTTGTTATTACTTTGCTATTATTATGATTGATTAGATAATTATGATATTGTAGTCTATTGATTATTTGTACTTGTTTGTTGATATCTTGCTTCAGAATGAGGTCTTTACTCATTACCTTTAATTCTATTTATTTCTTGCTATCTTAGTGTATTGCTTGAAGAGTTATCAATTAATTTATTGTTATTCAAGTTGCTTAAAGTATAGTAATCTGGTATTTTAGAGCTAATTGATACACTCTTCTAATGATAACTTTTTATACTTCTAGCTGAAATGTTACCATCGTTTTATTAGCTTTGTTATTGCTAATTCTGATATTGAGCATCTTAATTGGGCTTCTGACTAGGTTATTCATTAGAACGATTTGACACATTCCTATCAAATAAGTCTATTGTAACATAAGCAGGTTGATTATTAGCCTGCTCTTTCTTTTGTTACTCTTAAGCTTATTATGTAATATTTTGGTATTTACTATCATTACCTGAATAGTTATCTTTGTAGTTATCATTAAAACTCTATGCTGCATTGAATTATGGGTTATTAATTAAATCTAAAGCAGAAGTTGATCTATTGTATGTATTTGCAGTGTTATAATTCTAGTTTTATTGAATTTATTAAGATCCAATATATTTCGTATTTTGTTACAACAATGTATTTTGGCTAAAAGGAATAGAATTGCTTGATACACTTCTTTCTTAGCGCGCAGTAGAAGATTATTGTTGAAACATGTTAATTTGCTCATATTTTTAAATATCCTACTATTAAATTTCTTTTTATTCACTAGATACTTTCTTTTGAAGATATTTAGAAATTTGCTCTTCAAAAAAATCAGCAATTTATTTTTTATAAGTGGCATTTCTTTCTTCGTTGTGATCACCAGTAATCATTTTAATTTAAGAAGGACCTTTGTAAAGAGATTAAAGTTTTTTTGGATGCTCCTACTTAACTAATCTATCTTCAGCAGATGTAACAAAAATAGCTGGAATTTCTATTTTTCCTACTATTTTTGTTAGATCGAGCTAATCTAACCTGAATCCTGCTCTTTCTTAAATTGAATTGTTAACAATACTCAATAAGCCTTCAATTATAAAGTTTGGAAGAGATATTTTTTAATCTGCGACTTCCAAAGCCAGCTATTTTAAATTAGAAAAAGGACTATCTAATACCAATGCAGCAAAATCTTGATCTGTTGAAGCATAAAGAAGAGTAGTGACAGCTCCCATACTTTTTATAAAAAAAATTCACTAAATATAGTAAATTGGATTAAATTTGTTTTAAATTTTCTATCATCTTATATTTTTAGATCCATTTTATTTAAATATATAAATGGAGCTAGTAAAAAATTTTTGTATTCTCTTAATCAGTTAAAAATAAAGATTAACTGCTTGGTAAATAGAGAAGGAAAATTAATATTTTTTAGAAATTTAATATTGCAGTACCAAACATTATTTTGAGTAAATTAAAGCTGTTTTTGTGTTTCGATAATTTATAAAATACTTGAAAATATAGCAAATAAATAATCCACTAAATTAATTAGGTTCGCTAAAATATCATAAAAAGCTATATTAAGTAATTCTAAATGATGAAATCTTTCTCCACTCAAAAAAATATCTAAAAAACACTTAAGAACATAATATTGCCAGTGAGAGAATACAAACAGAAAAAATTAGTTTTTAATCAGTGAAAAATTTGATGCATTTTTTAGCTAGTAAATATTATGAATTTAAGTCGCTCGTTAGAGATAAAAATTTATTTGTTTACACTAACCAAATAAAAGAATTATTGATTTCTATGTTTTGATAGCTTGTTAAATATATTTATTTAAATTTTATGTTTAAATTGATTGGCAATTTACTAATTGAATGGAAAAGATTAAAACCATAATTATAATAATCTATTTGAAGACAAATCTAAATCTTAGGAATCAGTGAAATTCAACTGATATCTCTTTTGATAATTTAATTATTGATAAATTATTTAATAGATCAAATTGATTGATAGCAATTTTCATTAAAATACAACAGATTATTAAATTAATTTACTTTGCATAAAATTAATTATTATTTGCATGCTTTTTAATTAGCTAGTTATTTAATCTTACATTATATGATAATAAATTTTATTTTATTTTTCAAGATCATTTTGCTACTTTCATTTATCTTTTTTTGGATTCTTTAAAAATTTTAAATTTTGATCTAAAATTTGTTAATTGAGAATTTTTTTGTTTTGGTATTTTAAAACTCAGCTTAAGCCTACCTAGCTATCAAGCTTTTAAGTTTTTCAAATTATAACTAAAGCTTTTTTTATAAAATTAATGAACTAATAATATGTTTACCTTCTTCCAAATAAGCTTAAAGATGTTATTTTTGGCTAATCTCTTAAGTATTTGACTATGTCTGCTAAATCATTTTGCTCTCTGAATCCTAATGTTACGTATTCTCCTTCGCTCATTCCGCTACCATAAAAATCGAAACAGAAGAGACCAATACCTCTTTAGATAAAGTGATCTAGATAAGGCACAGCATCTAGCCTACATCCACTATTTCCATGGCAATAAATGATGCAAGGAAATCTATTCGAATCACCTGGTGCTTCGTTTGATACTATTTTGCTTATATGTAGTGGCTCAAATAAAGAGCACTTAATAATTTTGTTATCTCTATTTTTTAACTCTATATCTTGTCTGTATGCTCTATATTCTTTGAATTACTGGCGTGAAGGACCTTTTAAATATCATCAAAAAGAATTACTTAAATGTAGCTTTAAATAATCTTATATCATTAATATAAAGAATTTTTGATTGGCTCTCTATTGGCTTTAATGCTAATTAGGAAATCTAAATTTTAAATAAATTTAAATTCAATTATTTTTAAATATTTGAGTGTCGCTTTCTACATGATTTGCTAGTTTGCTTTTTACCTAAAAAAGTCTATGCCATTACAAAATTCTTTGCATTAAAAATAAAAAATGCTAAATAATTACCTAAATCAAACTCGGAATAAGTTTATCTGGTTGGTCTGATGAATGCCTTCCATAAGCTTTCATAATTTGAAAACATAGCTTTCCCTAAATTAAATGAATCGACCTACTTTTTTGTGTTTGTTTTTTGCTAGCGCTTTGTTTATTTATAAACACTTTGAGTGTAAGAATGAATGAAATTGTATATGAATAATTTATTATGCTTCTTGGAATAATTAATTACTTATTAATTTGTTAATTAATTAATTATTAAATTAATTGATTTGCTTACTTTTTCCTATTATTATTTATCTTTTTAAAGTATAATAAAAAATGAATGATATCTCCTTGATTCTTTTTAATATTTGAATTAGTTAGTAGTTTTTTAACAATTATGATTGTTTGTTTATTTTTTTTCTAAATTAACAAATATATATGATACTATTTTGGGTAATACAGATGATCAATTATTAGATTTCTGTTTTGAAAAAAATGAAATATTGGTTGATTTTACACTTTTTATTTTATAGATATATTCTTAGCTGATCGATTTCTTAATCTTATTAAATTTCTTCTCCTTCTTCTTATTTTTAATTATTGCTAATTATTTACAAACAATTTTATTTATTGGCTTCTTTTTATTTGTGATTGGCTTCAATTAATTTCTCATTAAATATTAATTCTTATATTAAAATTGGAATGGTATCCTTCTAAACAAATGAAAGAATGAATTAATATTCATTATTAACTATTCATCAATATATCTTGCCTAAAAGTTTAATTATATTTTAAATTTTCCTTGTTAAATTTTAAATTCTGATTTTCTACTTTTTTTATGATGAAAATTTATTTATTATTAATATTTAAATTTTCTTCTTAAAAAGTGGTGTCCATTAAATACTTTATTACTCCCACTTATTTATTCTTTTAGGTAGTTCAGGCCAACAAAATAATTACTTTTATCCATCCGTTTCCAATAATAAATAGGAATTTAAGAGGTATCTTTAACTACTGTAAATACAATTTACGAATTACAAAAATATTTAATATTTTGTATTTTTAAATTAAAAAAGTATTCCAAAAAGCACATTATTTATAACCATTTATTTTATTAGAAAAAGGGTTTACGAATAATTTAAACTAAAAGTGCCTATTTATTATTCATTTTTATATTGAGATGAAATCTAAGTTACATCTAAAATAAAAGGAACTAAAAATATATAAAATACTCCAAATATAATTGTAGAGTCAGTAAAAATCTAATATCTTTATATTGAATTTTTCATATAAATTTTGATTATAAATACTACTGGCTAACTTTTAAATAGACATCAGATCAAATTATACAAATCTTAAATATTACTTACTAGTTTTATGAATTTTAATATTAATAAAATTTAATTTTAATTAAAAAAAAAACACAGACAGATACTTGGGAAAACTCTTTAAGAAAGTATTTCTTTTACTTTTTTTCAAATTAAAATAAGTAATGTTAAATCTAGTGAATAAATCAATGGTGGATTTTATATTTTTTATCTGATTATTCTGTAAATTATTTAAAGTAATATCTAAATGCAAATAAAATAAATATGTTTTAAGACAAAATTAATTTTTAAAATAAAAAAACTATTTTTTAGGAAATATTAACAAATGAATTTGTTATTAATTACTCATAAATAATCTATGATAAATTGAATAAATTCAATAATTTAGATTAAAAGGAAATACTACAAAATGAATTTTAATTAATTTTTAAAATTAAATTTTATTAATGCACAAAAAAATTTACTTAACTTTAAATTATTTTTATTTGAAATTTACAAAAATCTAAAATTAAATAAATTTAATCTTTTCCTAATGAAAGCAAAGTAAGCTTAAAAGAATTAATAATATAAACTATCACTAAGATAGTACATTTTTATTTAAACAAGAAAAAATAATACAAAAATAAAATCTTTAATAATTTTTAATTTTGCAAATAATATTTAATATTCTTAAATATTAAATTAAAAAATACTATATTCTAAAGTTATTATTTTAATATTTTATTTAATCTTTATTGATTTTTAACATTAAAATATATTATTACTTTGTTCATATCTATAAATAGATAAATTTGCTTTAGAGTTATCTTTTCGTCTGACAAAATAACTGGAAACAAAAATAATTTTGTTTTAAATTTTAATTAGATTTTTATAATTAGTTTTTTAAATGAAATGTTTTAAAATTGAACATCAAGATATAACAAAGAATTCATAAGTTAAATATAAATAACTTTTTTACAGTGTTAAAAATAATAATAAATTTAATGTAAGGTTTTTAAGACACATTGAGTAACTTTTAGTGTGTATATGTGTATATATATATATGTATGTATAGTTGATAAATGTTTAAATGTAATATATTTAATATCAAACAATTTAAATCTTTTGTACCATGTTTATAAATATTATCCATCCATCATATTATGTTTGTCTTTTTTGTTTATTGGTTCGTTTATTTTTAAGTTGGTTTTTTCTAAAATTAATTTAATTAATTAATTGTAGGTTGGTTGGTTAATTAGTAAATCAATAAATCCGTTTGTTTATTTAATTTTTCAGTCAAACAAATAAATAAATGATATTTTATCATGAAAAAACTGCTTCTAAATCTATATGATAGTCTTTTCTAAATTTGTCTAATTAACTGCAGCTTGTGTTTTTCAGAGAATTAAGTTTGTTATTGTAATATGTTTTATCGTTATCACTACGGGCAGCCTAAAGCTAAACAGTTAGCTGTTTTCTAGTTTATTCATATTAGAAACACTATTCTTTTAACTTTTAGACTGTTTCGGATTCGATTTACCTTTCTATTTCTTTTAACCAAGTTGGTTCTGCTCTCATTTTATCTACAAAGGCTTATGCAACATAATAATTTACGTGCAATAATTTAGTTTCTCTCTTTATATCATATGACTTAGAGTATTCCATTGAATAAAGAGGACTCTAAGAAGCTAAATTATTGAAAAATATGCTAAAGAAAAGCAAAAAGAGAGGTAAAAGCTATAGAAGCGAAAATAATTTATTTTTATTTTGTTGCTAAGATTGATTGTTTTATTGATTTTATTATTATCCTTACTATTACTAATGTCCTAAATCTTCACCATTTTCATCACTAACATGACTTTCACGGTGAGAATTTCTATTAGATTGGCGAAAACCTTATACATTTCTTCGTTGTTATTGTTAGCCCATTTGATTGAAAATTTCAAATATTGTTGGCATTCCTCCATTCATAGGATTTCCTCCAAATGATGTGTAAAAGACTTATGCTCCTCCAGGTCCTGTTGCCCTAAAGCTTGCTTAATCAAATTAAAAAAAGGGATTCCTGTTTCCAAAAAGCTTTTCAAAGAGATTTTCAGCGGAAATATCATCATGGAATTACTAACGATAATGATGATAATGTTATTCAGGCTCTTCATCTCCATACCTATCATAAACAGCTCTTTTATCAGGATTTGTTAAACAATCATAAGCTTATGCAATTTTTTTGAATACTTCCTTTGATCCTTCAGCTTTGTTTTTATCTGGATGGAATTTTAATGCTAATTTTTTATATGCCTTTTTAATTTATTCTTGATTAGCATCTTTAGGGACTCCAAGTAACTCATAAAAGTCTTTAATTTTCAAATATTTTTTAACTTCATCAATCTATTCTTGAGACATTTTTGTTGTCAATCTATCTACTGAAAATGTATGGGACTAAAGTATTAATTATTCTTTGTGACTTGTTGTGATAGTTAAATTAAGATGCAGAAAAACTAAAAAATTCAGAATTTTTTTAATTTAAACTTTTTTTTCTTTTTTTTTTGCTTTTAAATAATAATGTGATTTGTCTTTCAAAATATGACTAATTCCATTCAAAACACATTGAACTTATATTCCTTATAATTCATTTATATTGCTAATCCAGGTATTAAAATATGATGAACTGGATAGCATTATATTTTAATACCTGGATTATTCTTAATTTATTATTTAAAAAATAAATAAAAGAATTTATGAAAAAGTATGTAAAGGCAAGATTCAATAAAATTCATAAATTGTATTTAATATATAAATATATAGTATAAAAAGCGTTCAAATACAATATTCAATATTTTTTCAAAATTTTGGTGGTTTTCATTATGTTTAACATTTTATCTTTTTTAAATTTCAAATCTGAGCTTTTTTCTTAGAAGATAAGGTATATTCTAATTACTATGAAATAAAATAGTTTGTAAATTTGATCTTATTTTTAATTTGTGCGTGATTGATTGTTTGATCATAATTATATATTTGTTAAATTGCTAATATAAACTACAATTATATCAAATTGTTAATATTTTCTTAATCTTACAAAAATATAAATTTTCTTTAATGAAATAGATAGATTTGAGTTAGTAAATAAGCTCAGTTGAATTGGTTTAGCATTCTTTTGCAAATAAAGCTAAATCAAAGTGAAATATCAATAATTTTTTTTTTCATTTTTAGTCTTACAAAGGAACAATCTAAATTTATTTTAAATAAAAATTGTTTATAAATTTGTTTAAAAAAATGTTTTATATCTGTAAAAATAATACACTATGTGGATATTTTGAATTTTTATAATAGTTTATGATATATTTGATTAATAATAATTTGTTAATAAATACTAATTTTCAAAATAAAAAATAACTTCAAATTTAATTGTTTATTAATCTTGCTGCTATAAAATATACTTAATTTAAATTCTTATTTTGTTACAGGTGAATTAGGAAAGTAAAAAATACATTTCAGTTTAATATCTAAGGTTCATTTTTATATAGAAATTTGTATATTTTTGAAATAAAGAATAAAAAAAATGTAGTGAGGAAGAATTATTGATAAAATCATTCAACCAAATACTTTGTTTAATATCCAATCATTAAAAATTTAATTATAAATAATTTATTATTCCTACTTAATAACCTTAAGTAGAATACTTTAAAGATCCAGATATTTAATTATAAAAGCTTTTAGATATTAAGAATTGATTGGTTTACTCGAATCTAATAAGATGCCAGTGCTTTTTTTTAAAGCATCAAAAAATAAAACAGTATTATTAGGCTAATTTTTTAGATCAGCAAAACATTCTTTTGTTTAAAAGTGAAAGGTGTAAAGTGAGTTGATATTTTTTTTAATTGGATTAATTTTTTAATTGTAGATATCACAAATATAAATTTAGATAGGAAATATACAATTTCTATCTCAAATGAGTTAGAGAAATGTTAATGATAAAAATAACACCAAATACTGCTTAAAAAAGATATATATAAAACACAAAATTGTGATAATTAAAAGCTTTAAATACTTAGAGTAATTTAAAATTACAAACATAAATAGCATGATTTTAATGGTAAATTAATTTGAAAACCATTCACAATATGTTCACTAATTTTTTCCATTCAACTATCTTTGAATATAAATTTATGAATTTATGCTCATCTGCTGCTCAATTATTTGGATAACTAAGGAAAGCAAATGATAATTATTTATTTTTAGAAAGAAAAACAAAAACTTTAAGAAAGAGAGCGAAATTGACTATATTATAAACAAGAGTGAATCAAATAAAAAATAAATTAAAAAAAGCACCATTAGTATAATTTATATAATTAAAATTGCTCACAAAAAAGAAGATAATAAGACTGAATTATTTGATATATTTATTTATTTATAAATATCTTGAAGAGAATTAGTTTTAGTGATCAAATAATTAAAAAATAAATAGAAGAAGATATTCATACATACATACGCACATAAATTCATATATCCTATTTAAAATACAAAACAAAACATAGATTTTACTGAAATTTAAAGAGGTTGAAAATGAGTACTGCAACCAATAATATAACCCAATCAGTAGCACAGTAGTAACAGCAACAACAATAGTAGATTTCAAAGAATATGTTAAGTAGCGTTCCGATGCAGCTCAATAAAGATTAGGCCTTGATTTAAAATACAGTGCAGCCAAATCAAGCAAATTTTCAGTTTATAAGTCATCGCAAACAAGTTTCTACAAATGAAAGATAAAATTTTAGCAGCTCCCCTGTTAAAATTACTAATAAGGCAGCAGAAATATCACCTCTGGTTGTTGCTAACCCTTCTTAATTAGCGAAACTAAATTTGTTTTAGACCGTAAACGATCCCTCCTATTTTAAAAAAATTATATAGGCACCTACAAGCGGTGAAAACAATTAGTAAATATTTTTGTATTTGATTTTATGCTTTTTAGATATAATTTAGTAATAGCATTGTATATTACTTTAGTTAGAAATTTTTACTTACTCTTCAAAAGAATAAATAAGCAAACAAACAAACAATTATTATATATTTAATATTATCAATAGGAAATAATAATAGAAAATAAAGTATACAGTTTATTTAAATTATATATTATATTAAATTAAATAGGATAATACCAATAGGCTAACCTAGACCATAGAATTTAACTACAAAATATATTCGAAATTTCAGTCAGTTTTTGATTGAGATTTAGAAAAATAAGTAAGAAAGTTAGTATTTGTGTTCTCACTGCAAAGACTTATTATGGGATCCAGTAAAATGCACAGAGTGTCCTACCTACTATTGTCACTCATGCGCAAATAAAAACTATACAAAATAAAATAAAAAATGCAATACTTGCTAAAAGATATTAATTACCATTCGTGCAGGAGAAAATATTTTGAAATAACTTTAAAAAATTAATTTAATGTGCCCAAACAGCTTAAATGGCTGCTAAGCTTACTTATCTTACAATTCATTTGAATTGCACTAGCAGGATTGCAGGTTTAAGAAATCTAAAGGTTCAGAAAATTTTGTAAAACCCCCAATTACCCAAGAAAGCAAAAAGAGAGAATCAGCTCCAATAATTCCGATGTCTGCACTTCCTACTACTAAAAAAGAAAAGAAGGACTTAGTGAGCTGTATCCATTGCTATAAAAATGTTTTAAGACAGCAAATTGAATAGGTAATGAATATATATTTAAAAATGTTAAAATAGAGAGAATAAATAAGTAAGCATGATTTGATTAATTCCAGCTATCTGAAAAGCCAATAATATTAATGACAACATAATTTATTTTGAAGATTTTATATAACCTAGCTATAAATAACCTAAGGTTTGACAATAAATGCTGAGAATAATTTCAAACATAAACAATTTCTAAAAAGACAAAATTAATCACATAAAATATCATGAATTCATTTTTAATAGTTAAAAATTATTTTTAAGACAAAGTATTAATAATTTTATTAAATAAGGAATGCAACCAACTAAAGTAATTTTACATAACAAGCTTTTCATACTTCATCTTTTGCTTTAAATTTAAGCTAAATATTTGAATTAAATGGTTAGTGAAAAGATATTGTATGAGGAAAAATAAAAATATGAACAGTATTGTTTTTTTATACTTTATTTTTATTTCTCATGTATTAATATCAATCATATTAACCTACCTTTCTATGTATATATTTGGAGGATATGAGCAAATGAAATAAATACTACCAGGAGATAAAGATATAGATAATTAAACAAATAAATAAATACGCAACTAAAAACCACTGGTATATAAATAATTATCTTCATATAATTAAAAGTACTAGAATCTGAATTAATTAGTGTAAATTAAAACTAATGCATTCGAATAATAGAAAACTAATTTAATTTTTTATCGGTAATCTTCGATCATGCTTTACTTAGATTGAAATGTCTCTCTTTAAATATTTTTACATAATTTTATACAAAATTAAATATTTAATTAAAATATTTATCTCTTCTCTTTAAATTATAAATAGCACTAAAATTCATGTCCTTTAAAGTTAATCCCATGCCAATTTTGTAAAAATGAAGTTCCATCTTCTCATTTGAGCGTCCATGTTCAATATCGCTGCACGAAAACTATTTTTTGCTCGAAATGCTCTGTTAATGTACCATACGAGTAATTTAACACACACATAGGAAACTGCAGCATGTATCCTTCTATTAAGTGTTCTTTTTGTGACCAAAGTTTTTACAAGTCAAGCATTTCTGATCATATTGCTGCCTGTTCTCAAAACCCTACTAACAAATAAAAAAAAATTATGAAATCTGAAAACATAAGCTCTAACAAAATGTATAATTTAGAATTGAATTAAATCTAAAATCCTATAAGCAAAAGCTAACCTTAAAGTGTGAATAGCCAAGCTTAGAATAACAGTTTGCAGAGCGATTAAAATTCTCTTTTAATTAAGGGAATGACTCTATAATCGCCTCCAAGCAAAGTTTGTCCTTCAAGCGAAAAGCTTAAATTCATGATCAAGGAAAATATGTATAAAATAAAAGGAAAAGCAGATGAACAAAGCTTTGACCACGATTTTGACTAAGATAGGTCAATTAGGACTAAAATGAATACTGATGCTAGCTTGTCAACTGAATAATCCTAAAATAACATAAATATGCATGATGCTAAATTTAATTCTATTTTTAACAATAGTCTTTAAATGAATACTACCATGCCTTTAAGTCCATTACCCGTCCAAAGTAAATTCAAAGGTGATGTGTAAACAGGAGTTATTAATTTTTAGTAAAATATTAATTAATCATAAAAACAATAAACCAATTTGATAAAACTACAAATTGAAAATCCTGAAAACTATTCAAGCAACTAATAAAACTCCTACAAAATAAATAGCAGTAATAATATAGGCGCATCATTACCAGGAGCTATGAATGCTTTTATGTCTCCTCAAATGACTTCTTCCACACGCCTTAACCAAGCCCAAAAGCTATTCAATAATTAAATAAATCCTGCTTTGAATACTATCCTTCAACATTTCTTGAATAAAAATGATAATGGTGGTAGAAGCAATAGCTTTTAAGTACTAAGCACAGCTCCTTCAGCTAAGATTTAATCAAGTTAAAATCTTGAAACTAAATCATGAGATATAAAATATTTCTAAAATTTGCAAAAATGATAATAAAATAAAATAATTTTTATCAAGAATGCTTTATTCTCCTTTACACATCTAAGCAAATAATAAGTAAAATATAATAATAATCAATTTTGAGTTTAATTTAATTAATAATACAACTTATATAAAAAATATTAAATCTTCAATTATTAATTAATTAATTTTTTAGTCCATTAATATGGAAAATACTACCAAATAAATACATAAATCCTAAACTAAATTAGATATTCATTGTTGTTTTTGTTTGTATTCTTACAAACAACTAAATAAATACACACATACTGACAATCAATTTTTAAAGTCAATAAAAAATGAGGAATAAGAGGAAAATTCATATGTTTGTGCTGCTTTTAAACAATGAATATGAAGAAATTTGAATAGTATGGTTTAAGATGTTTAACTTTTAAATCATAAACTATTTTCTACTAAAATATAAATAAATTTATTTATAATTAAAATCCTTTTGATTCATAAATTAAATAAATTAACATTAAATTATCTCAAGAGAAAACAATCTACTTAAGCAATTTATATTAATATGTACTAAATATATACACTTTAACTAACTTTATACCACATATTAACTATACTAAAACAAAAGAACTTTAACAAATAAGAGGATATGGCAAGTTTTATAATAGAAACAAACGCAAGTTTTATATTTAAATTGTTATCAATAATTATTACTTAAAATGCATTTTTCGTTTGCCTTTGAAACTTTTTTTGTATCTAAAATATCAATTAATGTTAATTGTCTATTTCAGTTTTTCCTTTTTATATTTTTTATAAAAAAAATTATATTTTTTTAGGAATTACTTTCGAGCATTTGAAATTATTTAAATAAAATTTGCATCAAATAACTCCTTAATTTTACTTTCTATTTTCATTTAAAGTTCATATTTAAATAAGCTAAATGAATAATTTTTATCATTGATAAAAAAAGTTATGATATGCATTTATTTTTTTAATTTTTGATTTAATCTTCAAAACAAAAGCAGATAAAATTTTTGCTAATTTTTTTTTGAAGATTTAATTTATTTTTCTTAAAATCTTCTTTTATAAAATATATTTTGACCTTTTCATTTACAGAGAAGTAATTTTATTTATTATAGAGATTTAATTTAATACATAAAAATACCTTTATGGAAAACATTAACTAAGAATTAAAAAAAGATCTTTTGTGATCTAAGTGATGATATGACATAGGTAATTTACTTTAAAATTTTCAGGTTCTTATCTAAAAATATTCTATATATAGACAGTTTTTGCCAACACAAATATATTTATAGAAATTTTGTAACATTTCTATCAGAATAGATAAAGAAAAATATATTGGATTGAATTCCTTGTTGTAAACCATTAAACTCAACTAAAATAGCATAATATCAATGTAATTAATTTAAAATAGGAGAAATAAGTTAGTTTATGAAGGAGCATGCTTAAAGAAAAATACTATTTTATTAACAATTAAGCTATTTGCTTAGTAGATTATAGTGTATTTAAGAAACTAACTAATAGACCTGAAGTTAGAAAATAAATGTTTAGTTTGTTCTATTAAATTATTAATTGATCGAAAAAAATACATCAATTTATCAAACAAAAAATAGATACTAACATACTTTTTAAAAAGAATCTATATATTAGCTATTACATATTATTTTGCTGACTGGCTAATTCCTTCCATTCCTTTATAATTAGTAAAAAAACATTAAAAATAACATAAATATAATTTCTATCAATAAGAATCTAAAAAAAATATATTCAAGAATCAAAAGCTAGCAAAAATTATATCAAATTTTCACAAGAAAACTTAAATTTAGTAGCAGTTTTATAACTAAACAAATTCGTTTAGATGACAGAATTGAGATAATAAACAAGCTTCGAGATGGAGAACTTAGAAGCTTAGTTTAATTTAGTAGATTAGGTAGATGACATCAAAGAAATAGAGCAAAATAATAATAAATTGATTAAGAGTCTAAATAGATTCAAAAGGTAGTCTTGTATCTTCGTTGATTCAAATCAAAAAGATATCAACTAAAAGTACAATTAACTCCTTAACAAAGAATATGTTGATTTAACAAATGAATTAGATAGTTCAGTAAAGTTTTATATCTAATCAATAGCTGTTCTTTTGCTAAACATTTTTTATTAACATAATTAGGCTGTTATCCATATTTTGATGAAATAAGAAAAGAATAAATAAGAGCAGAACTTCATTAAAAATGCAATTTAAGGACTTTAGTTATTTAAAGAGCATAAAAATTTATTAACAGCTCAAGGATTTGGAAATCACTTGCTAACATAAATGAAAGTGGAGTTTCACGAAAAAAATAATGTTATCTTTCACTATGGTATTAATATTAATTTTTAATTGGTTCTTTTTGTAGCAAAAATTGCTTTATAAAATTAATTAAATACTGAAAAATATGTTAAATGTTTCGAAAAATAAATGAATTATCTTATACTTTTATCTTGATTAAGATATTCCAGTGTATTCATTCCAAATAAATGAATAAATACATAAACATTCATAAGCTTTATTAAGCGAATTTATTTTTTATGAAAGTTTAGTAGGATTTTTCTAAATATTATTTGTTTTTATTAAAAATCAGGTGAATACGGTAATAAATACTACATTTTACTCAAAGGTAATTTTAAGATTATATTTAATCTCTCTATTTAATTCTTAATTAATACTATAAATTTAAGGAAAGCTTGATCTTATGATGCCAAAAAGTGAATGCATTGAAGAAAATAACTTAAGAATGGAAAAAGGCTTACCTTCAATTCCTTATTTCTAAGAATACAAGTAATATTATATTTATGTAATAACTTAGATATTTATGTTAAGTTGTTTAGAAACACACCTGAAGAATTACCAGATGAAACATTTGAATAATACATGGAGAGAATATATCCTAGATTAGGACATATTAAAACATTTCTACCTGGTGAAGCATTTGGTGAAATTGCATTAATGACAAACCAGCAAAGGTAAAGTTTTTTCAAATTAAACTATGATTAAAATAATTTTAATATAGAACTGGATCTATTATAGCAAGGGAAGATTCTTACACTTTGGTTATAACTAAGTCAGCCTTTCATGAACTTTTAGGAAAATTTCACGAATTCATGCAAATGCAGAAATTAATTTTTTTGCAATAATTCTTTTTCTTAAAGTAGATTCCTAGTTCAAAATTGCTATCTATTATTTAGCTCATGAAAATCTTTACATTCCAGAGAAACAATGTTATATATAATTAAAATTAAAGTATTAGTGGAATTTACTTTATTAAAGAAGGAGAAGTATAAATATCCACAAAAATAACTTAAATTGATGAAGAAAACTAAGATGAAAGTTAAAAACTCAAAATAAGATTTAGAAACATCAAAAAATCAGAAAAAGTCATTATTAAAGCCACAAATTCTTTCTTCGGAGAAGAAGAAATTATTTTAGGATAACATAGTAGAAACTCAAAAGCTATTTGTATTAGTGAAACTTGCTAAGTATTCCTTCTTTCAAGAGATGTATAAATCATTATTAAATTCTAATTAAATTAATTTTACATACCATAGATTTCTATAATTATTCCACAATTTTAATTCATTTTTTTTCGAAAATTTTTTTTTTAAAACTCAAGTAAAAAATCTTAAAATTAACATTTTTTAATTTTAATAAATTTAAAATTTACAAAAAAATATTAAAAATAAAAATTGTTGTTTTAATTTTATATATAAATTAAAATAATTAGATCTTGCAAACTTATGGAAAATTATATGATATTGTTAAGAAGCTTAAATAAAATTATGATTTAAAATTAAAATGGGAGGAATAACGCACTTAAAATATACAAAATGTGCAAAAATAGAATGAGGAGAATATTAATACTCTTAATTAGAACAAAGTCAAAGAGATAAATTTATCAAAATACATTTTAGAAAGTAGTCTACCTAAAGGCAGAGTAAATTAAAGTGGCATTCCTATATACACAAATGGCAGTGATGATTAATTAGAAAATAATGCATCTTCTTAGATGGAAGGATAAGGTATGTCAATGAGTTCCAAAAAGTATAGAAAATTATCTTACAATATGGAAATATAAACCATGTCTAGTCCTAAGAATTAAAATAAACTTGAATTAAACAATAATTTCCTTTAGGTTCAAAATTAAGAGAGAGATAATAATTTTCATATTTAAAATGGTTTTTCTAGTTAAAGTTCAAGTTTGAAACGCCAGTAGCCATACTTAAGTCCTTAACCTTCTTAAATGAAAACTTAAAATTAAACAATGACCCCAGAAACTAACTACACAGGCCGTAAGAGTTTTCAGAGTAATATTTTTAAAAAACAAGGGAGCAAGGAAGATATCTTAGAATCCTACAATGGATTTGGCGATAATATAAAAGAAAAAAATAAATTATAAAAATCTCCATCTTTTAATTATCAATTCAAGTAAAGAAATCCCAACTAAGATATTTAACTCAATCTACAAACAAACAATTAATAAAATTCAAATACAAGTTCATAATTATCTATTCAAAGCTTTCAAAATACTTATGCCTTTGGTAATCCTTCGTCAAACAATAAAATTTAATCCAGTACTAACAACAGTAGAGAAACTTCAGCTGAAAGATTATTTTTTGATTCGAGCCATAATGAATTTGAGTCAATGCTCAAAAAATAAACTTAACTTAAGCAAGAAATTTTAAAATAAATCAGTAAATCTAAAAATCCAACTCTTGATGGACTCACAGAAATAAATAAATAAAGAATAGATTTTAAAATACGCAAATAGAACAATTAATTTTTGCCAACAACACCCAAAACAATGAGAAACTCGTAATCATAAAGTCTTAACTACATTTAAAGTTCAAGCAAAATTTCTTAAGCTAAAAGCTAAACTTTCATTCCTTTAGATGCTCAAGGAATGAATGATAACATATTTAGTTTAAATTCAGAAAGCAAAAATAGCATAAATAGTAACAATGGAGTTTAGTAATATGCCAGCTTTTCTTATTTTCCTCCAAATGGTAGCAATACTAACATTACTGATAGAGTTGTAGTGGTACCTGCTTCAATGGCTAATTAAAAAATGCAATTGAATTTTTTCTCAACTAAAGTCTAAGGAAATGATTAGCTTTAACTACCTTCTTTATCTCAATAATAATAATAATAATTATAACAGTAATAAACTTTAGAGAAACCAATTTAGCTGCATAATCAACCCTCAATTTAAATAAATAACAACTAACCCACTTTATATTAATTGGACACTCTTTTAGAAGAAGATGATGAAAATAGTCCTCTTAAATTTGGTAAAAAACTTAGAATATAAATGGCAAGCTAGTAAAATATGACAGAAAATGGGTCTCATCCAGCTTCTTAGTTAAATTTCAATTACAATTAAAATGAAAAAGATTTAGAATTATAAAAAAATGCTTAGATTTTATGTAAAAAATTTTAACTTGGTAAAAAAGTGGTAAAATATATCTAAAACAGAAAGTTCTACAATGAAAAGTTAGTTATTGACTTAGAAAAATAAATGAAGATACCTTCAAATTCCAATACATTTAATTAATTTGATGAATTTATAAACCAGAAAAACTCTTCTTAGGTATCACCGTTGAATAATCTGGTAGATCAAAACCCATAGAAAGAAGTTATCATACAGGTTAAAGTACATAAGAGGGGTGGTAGTATAATTTAACCTCCTACTTAATAAATTTAACACCACAATGTATAGTAGCCCATCCAATCTAATGCATAAAATCAGCTTTTGTAATAAGATGAAAAGCAAAGTCATAGAAGAAGATTTACATATGATGCAAATTTCCATAGAGTATAGGTTAAAAAAGATTAGCTCAATTAACAATAATAAAACCAAAATAATAGTTGAATATTTAAAGCCTAATTCATCATTTTTTTGTTGATAAGATGAGATTTATTCAAGTTGAAAACAACATGTTTTATCAAAAATAAAAATAATTATGAATGAATTAGTTATAAATAAAAAATAATCAAATAAAACAAATAAATATATTATTATCATCTTTAAATTAAATAATTATATCAAATTTATTCCCTATAATAAAAAATATTAACAATTTATTCTTATCTTAGTCAATTTTTTACAAAAATGTAGCAATTAAATTAATAAATTTATATTAGTATCAAATGGTAGACAATTTATTAGTTAGTTTTTCTTATTGTAATGAAAATTAAAATATTGTTATTTTTTATACATACTTAATTTTTATAAAAAACTAATTTAAATTTTGCAAAGAAATATTATAATATTAAAGTTTTTACTTTTTATATTTTAATTTTTTAAATGAAAACATAAAATGGTTTTTAAATATATCTATTAATACAATTTGTATTGGATAACATTGAATTCAATTAATAATAAAGTGTTTAATAATGACTTAAAAAAATGATAAGATAGAGCATTTAAATATTAAAAATCTTATAGAATTTGAGGATATCTCTCCCTCCTAATTCAATTTTTGAAATAAATTCAAATTATCAAAAATTGAAAATAAATTAAAGAATCTATCTATCTATTTATTATTTATATCAATAATTTAAAGAATTAAGTAATAATCAATTTTACAAAATTTCAGATATTTATTTCTAAGATAAACTTCATAGTTTTTAGAAAATTTTAAAAAGTCAAACAGATCTTTAAAAGGAATTAATATATTAGGTCACTAATAACAGTATTAAAATGAGCTATAGAGTTTATATAGGTAAGACAGCAGGAGTAAGCAAAGAAGATCTTTTTGCTCTTTGTCAAACATTCGGCAGCATTAGTGATTTTATGATGAAGGAAACTTATGCCTTTGTAGAATACTCAAATGAAATTGATGCAAAAAAAGCTGTTATTGAGCTTGATGGACGTTTTATTAATGGTCACAGAATTATGGCAGAACCAGCTAAGATAAAGGGAGTAAGTGAAAATGTTGATTTAGCACAACATCCTAGAATATATGTTGGTAGACTTTAAAAAAGTGTCCAAAGAGAAGACCTTTTAAACTTATTTGGACGTTATGGCGAAATTACAGATATTATGAGAAAAGAAGACTATGCTTTTATAGAATTTGGAGATAGTTCTTTTGCTGCTTAAGCTGTTAAAGAAATGAATGGATATAATCTCAATGGAACAAAGATAGTGGTAGAAGGAGCTAGACCCAAAGATGAAGCAAAAGAAATCAAAACAACTCGTTTGTACATTGGTAAAATAGGTCCTTAAATTAAGAAGCAAGATCTTGTAATTACATTTGGAGGTTATGGTGAATTAGTTGATATATTAATGAAAGATGATTATGCTTTTGTTGAATTTACAACTACTCATGCTGCAGCCAAAGCTTTAGCTTCAATGAATGGAGCTCGTTTAGCTGGTACCAAAATTGTAGTTGAAGAAGCCAGACCAAAAGAAGGAGCTTCAGTTTAAACACAGTAAAGCACAACAAACAAAAGAGTACCATTAAATCCTCTTTTATAATAGTAACAATTATTTTCTAGCACAGATGCTTCAACAGGATAAGCAGCTAAATTTAACATGAGGGGAAGAAGATTATCTCCAAGAAGATCAATTTCTCGTTCCCGCTCTAGATCTTATGAAAAGAAAAATAGTAAAAAGATTTGAAAAATGTTATTTTAATAAAGCAAGTTGAAACTTGTTATCTTATATTAGAGTTATGATTAAAGAGGTATTAGAGTTTGAAAAATGATTAAAAACAAGCAAATTTTTCTTTTAAAAAGAAATGAATTTGATTACTAAATTAACTAATTAACCAATAATAATGCATACATTTATTTACAGATAAAAAATATTCGTTCAATATAAATTAATAATTTTATTTTAAAGCTATTTGATATTATGCTAATACTGTTTGTTTAATTATTTTAATTGTTATTTATTATCCTAAAATTATATTTTATTACAATTTATTGCTTTTCATTGCATAAAAATAAAGTTTTTTATTTAATAAATAAAAATCATAAATAAAAAAATAATTTTAATCCAGTTTTTTTTAATTTTATTAATAAAAATTCATTAAAAGAAAATAATATAATTAAATTATAACTTAATATGTATTACAAATTTAATTAACCTTAAAATTGATGAAAATAATAAATAAATTAACAAAATTAATATATTTATCAGTTTTCAGAAGAAATATAATAAAGCTATAAAATTATAGGCAATAAAGAAATGATGATAGTGACGTGATATGATGAAGAGTAATGTTGGTGATGATAATTATAAATTGTTTTTTTAACTTCACTATATTAAACCTGTTTCGTTTTATTTAGAATAAAATTCTTTAGGTAATTAAAGTAATTCTTCTATTGGGACTTAGTCACAACTTTTTTCTAATTCACTTAAGTTTGATAAAATCTCAACTTTAAAACACTTTTCTTTACATTTTATTTGTTGAAATTCTTAAGTGCAATAATTAGTGTTGTTAGTTTATTACATTTTATATTAGGGGGAGTATGATTCTGAAGCATTCTCTTAAGAAGCTTCATCCTTGATTGAATTATTATTGGTGATATCTTCATCGCTTGACAAACCTCCAAAGATTCCAATCAAATTTGAATCCAGTAAATTCATAATTTTGTAATCTAAAATAGAAGGATCTTATTTATTTAATATATTCTTATATGCAAAATAAGCATCTTTTGCCTTTTCAATTTCAGATCGGTTATCCTGATAAAGCAAATCTAATTCACTCTGCTATTTATCTTTCCCACTCTTATATTAAGCTATATCAGGATTTATTGTTGGTTTTGGCATATATTCAAATAGCTATATTTGATCAGAGTCAAGTAAAAGTCTTTTTAATTTATCCACTTCAAATAACTTTTTTACTATGTAAAAGATGTCAAGTTTTTAATAGAGCTTTTCTAGACTATAATCAATGATTTTTTGCTTTTTTTTCATCTTCCCAAAAGGAAAAATAAGGGATTTGAAGTAGTCCCAAACAGTCATTTTCATGCTGTTTGTTTATTCATTCATTAATTTTTAAAAATAATCTTCAACAAGCTTGCCATCTTACTTTTAAATTATTTTTTTCAATTTATTTGCTTACTTTTAGCTTAAGTTTTGTAATATTTCAGTATTTTTTTTTGAAGGACTCCTAATGAAACTCCCGCACTTTTCTGAAAGAAGGTAACCTAAAATTTGCTTTTGTTCATTTTATGTTATATTTCTATTTTCTGTGTCTTTTTGTTTTTTAGAAAATCTTCGATTTGGGGAACTAGTTTTACAATCTTGCAAATTTATTTATTTGCCTAAATCCTGTATTTTTATGCCTTGCTCATTCACTTTATTGCTTGATTCGATTGTTTTTTAGTTCAAATCACTAACTCTAAATTTTAAATCAAAGAGTTGATTTTCATTCTTTTACTTTGTTTTATGCAAAAATTAAAATTGCGATTATTGATCAATCTAAATATTAGTAGCACTTTGATATGATTAAGTAGGAGTATTAATAACTGAATGTTTTCTGCTATTCTAGCCACTTACAGAAATATCAAATCGTTTTTTTAAATCAGTTAATTTCCTATGAGGACTGAATTAATTCTAATTTATTTGTGTGTATTCTGCTTAGAGTTACTAAGTAGTATTCATTTGCTAAGTATTATTTTATTTATTGAATCTCAGTTTTTCTTTAAGCTCATTTACAACAATTTATTTTTCATTTGTATTGTTATCTGATTTAACTGAGTCTTCAAAATTAAATGCCTGCTTAATTAATCTTTGATTTAGTTTTAGCTATGAAACCTTTGTACATATCAAATATCCTATTGCTAAGAGACTTTAAGTAAAACCACCTATTTCAGATATTATATTGTTAAAACTTTAATATGACCTTTTGAAGGAGCCCTCTTTTTGCTTTTCAAACCTAAACACTATGCTCAAGTAGTAATCTTAGAACTATGGTGGAAAAATCTTTATTATAAATATCAAAATGTTAATTCAATCCCACAAACAAAATTAATGAATGAAAAAGAAAACAATAATTTATTAGAAAATACTTGCAAAAATTAAACATAAATTTAATCAAAATTTGATTGGTTATTTAAAATTAATCTCTTTGATTAGTGGAAATAAATAAGGCTAAAATATAAGTTACAGAAGACTCGTAAAAACTGTATGCTGGAAATCTTTAAGAAATAAAATCTGAAAAAAACCAACCAAAATCAGAGTAGACATAGTTATTTCTCAGATACAAATACACTATTTTTGGCATAAGAATGCTTGTCGGCCAGAACATATCTCTTGAATAGACCTTAAACGGATTATCTTTCACAGTTGGGTCCACATAAGAGTCAGATAATTGCATTGCAAAATTAGAATTCAGCAGTTATTTATTAATCACATCATCTGGCTTGCAATTTTATGTGCATTTTTTAACTTTTAGTTGAATTTCTGAATAAATGTCAGATGTATAATCTCCTTAGATTTAAAAAATTGAATCTGGTGGCAGGCAATACATATTTGTGTAATTCAATTTTAGATAATAATGAAGATTGTCTTTGTTTTTGAAATTTTCTTATGTACAAGGTTTTAATTCTATATTCACCTTCTACCATTCTTATTCATATAGATTTGAAGTTTCATTCAGTTTTTTTACCTTTTGATTCCATGAAGCGGAAACAGTATAAATGCTTTCATCAATATAATAATTAGATGTAACAGTATCTTCCATACCGAAAGCTATAGGAAAAGTTTCACTTGATACCTAAAAAGGAGCTGGATCATCAACTTATCTTTCACTATAAATAACTTAAGGATTAACTCTTTAAACAACGTCTTAAATTATGAAAAACAAACGAAAGAATATGAACCCAATAATCAAAATAGTGACAAACGAGCCAAATTTAGTTTTATATGTTGAATACTTGTTAAATCTTAGCTAAATTTAACTACCGAAAATGTCCAATTTTGTTAGCATTTGTATTAATTTGAGTTATTAGTTTATTTACTTCTTTTATACTGCTATTTTTTATAATTTAATTTTTACTTATTAATTTGTTTAGTTTTTTTTTATTTTACTGGGTAAAGAATGCATAACATTTAAATTTGTATGGCTATAAATACTCAAACATTGAAGTTTTATTAAAAAAGATGTGTTATCATGTTTAAAAATTGCAAATTATTGTTGCTAAAAGGGCTATTTTACATTAATTGAATAATTCAATTTAATCCTATTTGTTGCCTTAAAGGTTGTCTTTCTTTCTACCTTCACTATTTTACACATCTTATAAAAAAACTCAATCAAAATTTTGATCAAAAAGAATATTTTACACCAATAAACAAAAAATTTAATCAAAGCATTTTAATAAATTCAATTTTCATAATTCAAGCAATTCATAACCTTTACTAAAAAAACATTGTTTCTTTCAAACAAAATAAATTAACAAATTAAAACCATATTTAAAAAACAGAACTCAATATTTATCATCTAGTTTTTAGATATACTTATTTTTAATTCAAGAGAATATTTTTTTGTGCTTAAAAATAAATATAAATATGTTCTTACTTATCTTTAAACTTAGTGTAAACTCTTGCTTGGCAATTAAAAATTTTTTTACTTTTACAAAAGTCTGTAAATTTAAATTTTGTTATTTTATTTTCTAAATCATTGACTAACTCTGAACAAATTTACAGTTTTTATAATTTCAAAAGTAAATTTTAAAAATGTTAAATTTATAGTTAGAATTTGACTTTTATTTAATTTTCATAAAATAGCCGATGGATGCTGATAATAATGAATTTTAAATCTCTAAAGGAAGTGTAAATTATTGTATTGTTTTTCCATTTAGAAATAAATTATAAAAAAATAAAGTTTAGTATTTAAAAATTTAATCTTGCATTTTTATTTAATTTATATGATTTTCATTGGCATATTAAAAATATGCGGCAAAATGGATTTAGATACAATGATTAATAAATTTTTTGTTGAGACACGCTCATTCCTAGTTTTCCTACTCTAAGCTTTCTAAAAATTATTTTAGTTTTTTATAATTTTTTAAAGTGTTAAAAAAATAATATTTTTTAATTACAATTAAAATTATTTATTCATTTTTTATAACCAAAAGTAAAAATATTTCTCTCAAAAATTTAGTCTTTATGCTTTTAAAATTTTCATGAGCTTTTTTAATTATTACTTGCTTTTGATTAATTTTAAGTAAATTTGTACTACTTAGCTCTTGTTTGTTTCATTTTTTTTTTTTGAGTTTACTCTGTTGTATCTTTTTTTAAACAAATTATTTGACATGCCATAATTAAAAAATAATTTTCATTTAAATTACAATTAAATGCAAAAGATACTTTTTCTTACCCCTCCTTTCTCCTCATAACTTTGAAATTTTTAATTATTTTATCGTTTATTGGAAACAGGAGGGTTTGTTTAAGAGGAATTAATTATTTTAAGTAAATTTAATTTTTTAATTTTTTTATTTTTACAAATAATTTATTAACTTACAAAAATATAAATGATATTAAAAATAAAAAAACAATAATAAAATCTAATATACTTTAGGTTAAAAAAAACTTTTTCAAAATATTAAAAAATAAAAAAACCTTTAATATTCAATTATTAAAACATTTAATATTTATTCGTCCTTTTTTCGTTATTTGCTTATCACTAGGAATATTTTTAAAAGACAACTAATCTTTTTGATTTAAGACACTTGCTTTTTAATTTGAATTGTTATGATTAATTCATTGAGCTAAAATTTTATAATAAATTAGTGTAAATTTTAAATAAATATCAAATATAATAAACTTTAAATTAAAAATTATTTCTTAAATTAATAAATAAATAAATAAAATAAAATTAGAGGAATAAAAAAGATAAAAAATTAATCAAATAAATTCAAAGAGCTTTATTGTTTTAAATTAGTTTTAATAATTAAAAATATCACAATCCAAAACAAATAAACTGTTTTTACCGAAGATTAAGTGTCAAATTTGAGAGATTAATGCAATTTGCTAAACCAGAACCTAAGCCTGATGCACCTTCATCACTAATTTTACTGTAAATTTTTAAATATTTAAGAAAAAATATATCATTAAATAGTATATTAGAAGGAAAAAATGTAGAAAGAATATCAATAATAAGATAAATTAATTAATAATAAAAGCAAAAGTTGAAAATAAAATGATGAGTTAAATAAACAAAGAAAGAACAAAAAAGAACTTTATTGTTTTAAATTAGTTTTAATAATTAAAAATATCACAATCCAAAACAAATAAACTGTTTTTACCCAAGATCAAGTGTCAAATTTGAGAGATTAATGCAATTTGCTAAACCAGAACCTAAGCCTGATGCATCTTCATCACTAATTTTACTGTAAATTTTTAAATATTGAAGAAAAAATATATCATTAAATAGTTAATTAGAAGGAAAAAATGAAGAAAGAATATGAAATAATAAGATAGATTAATTAATAATAAAAGCAAAAGTTGAAAATAAAATGATGAGTTAAATAAACAAAGAAAGAACAAAAAAAAATGCAAGCACAATAAAAAGAAAAAGAAAAAAGAACTTTATTGTTTTAAATTAGTTTTTATAATTTAAAATATCACAATCCAAAACAAATAAACTGTTTTTACTAAAGGTTATAAATTCATAAAAATAGTGGTTATGATGAACCGTAAACTAAGCAAAGATGAGTAGTTTGCATAGATTAATCTATGACAAATACTATCTATATGCTTTAAAATTGTTTCATCCAAGTTTTAGCTAAAAAAAGTTGCTGAAATCAACTTTTTCTAACCGGTTCCTCTTTTGTTTTCATAGAAAAATCAAAAATAATATATTTAAAGACCTAATAAATACAAAAAAAACAAACAATAATACATATAAATATAATAAATAAATAAATAATTTTTAATTTAAGTTGTATTCTGAGTGCATTTATATGTGCGAGTATTTCTATTCTATTCTATCACCAATTTTATTCTCACTTTTTAAATATTGAAGAAAAAATATATAATTAAATAGTTAATTAGAAGGAAAAAATGAAGAAAGAATATGAAATAATAAGATAGATTAATTAATAATAAAAGCAAAAGTTGAAAATAAATTGATGAGTTAAATAAACAAAAAAAAAAAAAAAAGCAAGCACAATAAAAAGAAAAAGAAAAAAGAGCTTTATTGTTTTAAATTAGTTTTTATAATTTAAAATATCACAATCCAAAACAAATAAACTGTTTTTACTAAAGGTTAAGTGTCAAATTTGAGAGATTAATGCAGTTTGCTAAACCAGAACCTAAGCCTGATGCACCTTCATCACCAATTTCATTCCCACTTTTTAAATATTGAAGAAAAAATATATAATTAAATATTTAATTAGAAGGAAAAAATGAAGAAAGAATAAAAAATAATAAGATAAATTAATTAATAATAAAAGCAAAAGTTGAAAATAAAATGATGAGTTAAATAAACAAAGAAAGAACAAAAAAAAACAAACACAATAAAAAGAAAAAGAAAAATGAGTTTTATTGTTTTAAATTAGTTTTTATAATTTAAAATATCACAATCCAAAACAAATAAACTGTTTTTACTAAAGGTTAAGTGTCAAATTTGAGAGATTAATGCAATTTGCTAAACCAGAACCTAAGCCTGATGTACTTTCATCACCAATTTTATTCTTACTTTTTAAATATTCAAGAAAAAATATATCTTTAAATAGTTAATTAGAAGGAAAAAATGAAGAAAGAATATGAAATAATAAGATAGATTAATTAATAATAAAAGCCAAAGTTGAAAATAAAATGATGAGTTAAATAAACAAATAAAGAACAAAAAAAAAAGCAAGCACAATAAAAAGAAAAAGAAAAAAGAGTTTTATTGTTTTAAATTAGTTTTTATAATTAAAAATATCACAATCCAAAACAAATAAACTGTTTTTACCGAAGATCAAGTGTCAAATTTGAGAGATTAATGCAATTTGCTAAACCAGAACCTAAGCCTGATGCACCTTCATCACCAATTTTATTCTCACTTTTTAAATATTGAAGAAAAAATATATAATTAAATAGTTAATTAGAAGGAAAAAATGAAGAAAGAATATGAAATAATAAGATAAATTAATTAATAATAAAAGCAAAAGTTGAAAATAAAATGATGAGTTAAATAAACAAAGAAAGAACAAAAAAAAGCAAGCACAATAAAAAGAAAAAGAAAAAGCGAGTTTTTTATACAGGTTTTTACATTTTATAAAACTAAAATTTTAAATATTTTTTCCGAATTTTTTTTCATCCCGAGAATTTCATATTTTGAGCAGAGTTTTTGTAAATTTTATTAATTTTTTTGAATCCACAGACTATTTATTTAAAATTTAAATAAATAATCATTATTTTTTTTTATTACTATTTATTTAAAATTCTATTTTAAATTAAAAAGAAAATTAATTTTTCTTATTAATAAAATTTTTTGCTTGATCATTATTTATCTGTGATTTGCGATTTTTAAAATAGCAAATTGCTAATATAAAACTTGATTTACTAAAGTATTTTTTAAAATGTTTAATAAGATCATATTTAAAATTACTAAATACTAATTATTATAACAATTATCAAATTTATTCCAACAGTTAATTCTCTAGTGATTTATAATAATTAACTAATAATAAGAGCAAATTAATAATTCGTATTTTTTACAAATTTAAATCAAATATGTCCCCTATTTTTAAAAATCTATAATATTTTTCAAATGATCTATCCATTAGTTCCACAAAGAATAAACTAAATATTTTGTATTAAATTTTAACTAATAAAATAAATAATTTTGGCATTTAAAAATGTTTATATGATAGTATAGAATAGAGTTTGCATAATGAAATACACTGGTAAAGAAATTTTTGAATTTAATGAAAATGATAATAAAAAAATAAGTTTCACTATTAAGTTAAGCAAATTTTCATAATAAAATATTAATTTAAATTATAAACTTAGGATGTTTATTCTTTAGGAGTAGTCTTTAAAGAATTCATTTTTGGTAGGAACTTTAAATATTAAACTGAAATTAGGAATTGAAGTAAAAGAAATAATAAATAATGTTTTAAGCAAAAGGCCTAAAACACAAAACAAAGAGGTTAAATTATCAGATATTTTTTTATTAGAAAAAAATCATTCTATGCTATATTTCTAATAAAAAATTCCTTTAGCATTATAAAAAACTTTATTAATAAGATAAAAACATATGAAACTAGTAATTTGTCAGATTATTTTTTGACTAAAATTAGATAACAGTTAAGATATACCATAGTGTTTTATTTATTTATTTGTTGCTCAGCTCTTGTTTAACTAAAATATAGTCAGAAGTTTCATTGTTTTTTTAAAAATATACTTTAGAAAAACATAGAAGCTAGGTTTTCAATAATAAATAAATAAATATACTTCACTAAAACATAAATATGTTCCTTAAAAAATTTAATACTCTATTTTCGATGCCAATATCCATCGATATATTAACCAATAAAAGGGATTTTATTTTTTAAATTTTATAAAGCTTAGCTTAAACCCAAAAAAAAATTGTAATTGAATTCATTTTTATTTTTTATTAATTTAATTATTTTTAAAAAAAATTTAACAAACGAATGAATAAATCAATAAAAATAATTTTCTTTAAAAAATACATATTTTTAAACGAATCTTTTAGCCTTTTGAAGTTTTGCAATTACTTTTCTTTAAATGCTTTCTTCTTAAATAGTATTATATAAAAAAAGCTCTAAAAATGAGATTTTGTTGCATTTTATTAAATTAGAACATAGATTTAATACTCCAAACTCTTCAATTTCATTCTACCCAAAAGAAAGTGATAAAATTGATAAATTAGAGCAGTTTTTTAAAGCAGAACCTAAAAATGAAATACCTTCGTCACTTACATAAGTAGAGCTAATATCTAGAGTCAAATTGGAAAGTAGATAAATTTTTTCTAAAGAAACACCTAAAAATTAAACTTATTCATTATCGAACTTGCTATATTTAAAACTTAGTGTCAAATTTGAAAGATTTGCCATGCTTGTTAAAGATGGATATAAATTTTTTAAATCACCAGTTTTTATTTCATATCTATCAAAATATAATTTCAATTTGGAAAGATTTATATTATTTATTAAAGCTTAGTTTAAATAAGAAATAATATCTTCATCAAATTTTATGTGATTTAAAGCAAATGAAAAAGTTGAGCAGTTTTAAATAGCTAAATCTAAATTTATAAAATCTCCTTTATCTAAAGAGTTTTCTCTGTTTGAAAAATCGAGGTTCAAATAATTTAGACTTTTGAAATTTGACAAAGCAGAGTACAAACTTTATGTATCAAGTTTAGAGTAAAACATAAGATGGTAATTAAATTCTTCCAAATTCAATGTAAAAGCATTTATTTATAAGTTTTAGGCTAAAATAGAACATAAATGTGGCAATTCATTTAAATTATTTGGATAACTAAAACATAGAGTTAAAGTTTTGAGATTTGTACACTTACTAAGAGCACAGCCTAAATTAGACAGTTTTCCTAAAACTGAGTAAATATCAAGTTTCAAAGTTAAGAGATTTTTGCAATTAGACAATGCAGTACTTAAATTAGAGATGAAATGTTCAGAATATTCATCATTGTCGCAAGATTATTAAGGGAGTATAAGATTTAATTCTGTGAGATTGGTAAAATTTACTAAATTATTACCTAAATCTTTAATATTCTTGGAAACATAGGCATTATGTTATAACTTTAGTGTTAAATTTGACAGTTTATTCAGAGTGGCTAATTTGCTACCTAAATCTATTAAACTTTTACCATTACTATAAATTCCCTTACAATAGCCAAGAGTTGTAAAACTAAGATCTAAAATTGACAATTTCAAACAACTGGTCAATGAAAAAATTAAATTTTATATACTTTCTTAGCTTACATATCGTGCATCAAGATCTATTTTTAACGATTTAAGATTATTCAGCTTCGCTAAAGCAGTACTTAAATAGAATAAATACTTATCATCCTCGTTTTATGTTTTAACATTCAAAATTAATATATTTGGCTAATTTTCTAAAGTAGGGCCAAGGTTAGACAAATCTTCGCTTTCAATCCTTAACTGAGTACTAAGATCAGATAATATAAACTTAGAAGAGTAAAATTATAAATTAAAACATCCTTGTTATGCTTTTTTAATCATTTTTACTCTTTATATTATTAATTATTTAAATTAATTTAATAATTATTATTATTTAATATGAGTAAATTTATTTTTAAAGTAACTTTTTTCGATGAAATTTTATTTGTTAAAAAAAATATGGGATAATTAATTATTAAAGTTAATTTATGATAATCTGTCTGTTTGTCTAGGTGTTCTTCTAATTAAATTAAGTTTTTTTTTATAATTCTTGTGTTAGAAATTATTCAATAAGCATATCCAATAATTATAATGATAGAAATGATTTGTAGATCATATTAATTTTTAATAGTAATAATTCTTGTGTCAGAATTGAAAATAGAAATTAATTTTTACTTGTATAAATTCTTATGTAAGAAATGATTTGTAGATCATATTAATTTTTAATAGTAATAATTCTTGTGTCAGAATTGAAAATAGAAATTAATTTTTACTTGTATAAATTCTTATGTAAGAAATGATTTGAAAATATTAATTTATGAGTAAGAATTCTTGTGTTAGAAATAGCTTAGTAAGTTAAAAGTTATTTCTTTCGATAATTAAGACAGCAAGTACTCTATTAAATCTATTTTATATTAAAGATTACAAAAATCTTAATCAAAGCTTACAAATATAACTTCTAAAATTTAATTATTTATATATCTTCAACCTGCAATTTTTATGATATTTACCAGGGAAATACCTAATATTTGATTTTTGATGAATGTTAGTTATTTTACTTATGAATAAGTAAAAAATGTTTATTATTTTTGTATTTTGCAAGTAATACCTCCCTGATTTATAACTTCTGTTGATTGGCAATAATAGTTACTTATTTACTAAAGCATTACAGTTAATCAAAAATGATTAAGTATTAATTAGAGTTTTATGTATGGGTAATCATAAAACAAAAATTTAAGTAGCACATCTCCCTAATTTTAAGTATCTTAAGATGAGCAATAATAAATACTTTAATATTAAATTTTTTAAGAAAAAAAAGTTAAAAGATTTTAGCAAATATTTGCTTTTAATTTTATATAAGCTAAAATAATATTTTAATATGATTTTTTCTAAGAAATAAAAACTCCAAATTAAATTATTTATTTATTTATTAAAACACAAAAATTTATTTTTATAAAACTAAACTTTTTTTTTGATGATAATGACTTTCTAAAATTGTATTTAAAAAATTTTGATTTTAAATAAAAAAACAATAATCATTCATAATGAAAGATGCTTTTATTGATGAAATTTGATAATTTGCGTTTTAAAATATCTTTAGTACCATTAAAAAAAGAGTTAAATTTTTTTTTAATTTAATTATTATCAGAATAAGAATATTAATTTTTAGTAGAAAAAAGCTTTAAAAAGAAATAGTTTAGGATAATTTTATTTATTTAGAACATTAATTAGAAATGGCAGATTAAGCTCCATTAGAAATTTCTGAGCTATTTATTAGCTACGAAGAAGATTTTTAAAATATAATATAGACATTAAATTAGAGATATAAGCAGTTTAAAAATAACTAATTAGATTTTAGTAAATGATTTTGATTCATTCATTCATTGATTCATTTATTATTGGTTAATTGAAAATTTTAATATTAAGCATAATATATGTTAAAATTGATAATTTAAATGCTTAATATCATGCAATATTTAAAAATATAGAGGAAGATTTGTAAAATGTTAAGAATTCTATTAAAGAAGCAGAGAATTGTGTAATTTTTGATGAAATTTTTATCAATCTTTCTTTAATATTGTTTATGAATTTAGGTAAAATAAATGGAATTCGAGATAAATTGTCTTCCTAATAGCATTAAAAAGAATTATACTACAATAGTTAGCAAATATAGATAAGATTATGATGATGTTTTCAAGAAATATTCTTAATTACAAGTTGAAAAATCTATTTATGTAAATATTTTAAAAGCTAGAAAAAAATACTAATGAAATTAAATAAATTTCTCTTAATTATTAAAACAGCAAAATAATACAGAAAGAAGTATATTAATTCAGTAAGGTAATAATATTTGTGAGTAAGGCTAAATGCTTAATGATATTGAGTAGCTAGCTGGTGAAACAGAGTAGATTGTTGATGAAGTTTCCACGAGATTACTTGGAGATAGGCAAGTCATTAAAAAGAATATTGATAAAGTAATTAAAATACATATTTATTTATTTATTTATAAAATTTAAAATAAATTTATTTTACCAAAAATTAAAGTTTTTAAATCAACTTTAGCAGAAATTGTTTTGAAAATTAAATTATTTTTATTAATCTTTGAATAAAAAGTATTTGATTCAAAATAATAAAACGTTTTAATTTATAATAATTCATAAAATAGTCTAAGGATATATAAGATGAGTTAAGGAAAGCAGACTTAGTTATGTCTGTAATGAATAGAACAATCGTAGTCAATAGAACTGTCATTTATTTTATTATCATAATTCTATTTGTATTAAATTTGCTTGTACTTTATTTAAAATTATGATTTATTTTCCCAAAAAAAATGTTCATAAATTGAAATAATAATTGTTATGAAATAATTTTAAGATAATTTTTTTTTAATTTGTAAGATTTTCTTATTAAAGTTGGAAAAAAAATATTATTTAATTGTGTTAATTTTTTATTTTATCATTAAGTATTTAATAATGTTTTGTTTGTTAAAATTACATTTTATAAATAATTAAATTATATCATGTTAAATACATTTAGTTAGGAGAAATTTAATAAATTAATTAAGGCTTTTAAATATTTTAAGACAAAAATTATAAGAATAAATTTACTAATTTTTATGATAAAACGTATAAAACAGAATATTATATTGATTAATATAAACCTATTATGGATTTATGATTAGTTTTTTTATTTTTGATTTTATTTATTATTTGATTAATTTTAAAAAGGAGTATTCTGTGTAGTTATTATGGTTATTATTTGTTCGTTCCCTAATGAATGAACAAATGAGTAAATGTAGTAAGAAGTATGTTATTTGATAATTAATCTATACAATTTGGTTAAATTATAATTAAACGAAATAATTTTATTTATTTGTATTTGAGGAAAGATTGATTCTTTTTAAATATAAAAGGAAGAATTTATTTTTTAGTTTCTTAATTTATTAACTTTGGTGTTGATTGATTATTACTAGTTTGTTTTTTGAGAATTTCAATTTTTTAAGACAATAGTTAGTTTTTAGATTAGCTTGTTTAGTACCAGTTTACTTACTTTATTTATTTATTTATTTACAGTTTTTAATAAAGATTTTATCTAAAAGTGAGTGACTCAGTCTTCTATTTTAATTAATTAAAAATCGATTTTAAAATTTTAAGAGTTATTTTAAAATAAATACATAATTTTATTAACAAATTTTAGTAAAATTCTAAATAAATATTTTATTTAACAATTATTTTTTAAAAAGAAATGAATTCTCTCTATAAATATTAATTCAATTTATGGTGCTAATGATATTTAGAATCTTGTATTTTTTCCCATTATTGATAAAATAAGACATCAATGTTTATTCAAAAATTTGTATAAATTGAGAAGTACCTCTTTTTTATTCTAAAATATTTCTTGCTTAAATATAAATTTCTTTTATTTTTTATGTCTTAACAGTTTAAAAAAATTTATAAATTTTGAGATTTTTTTTGCTTTAATATTTATTTCAAAAAATGAAGAATTTTGAATAATTTTTAAGTTAAATTATACTATTTGAATTTGAAATAATCAATTAATTGATTTACTTTTTTTCTTTTTTGACTATTTTTTGAATGTTGATTCTTTGAATTTAACTTTCTTTTTAGTTTTAGTACGAGGAGAGTCAGCATCTGAAAACGATGAATTAGGATCGTACTTTTTCAAAACTCCCTTTGGCTTAGATGGAGTTGTTTTTTCTGTATTTTCCCTTGCATTATTAGTGTCTGTATCAAATCTTTTTTCTGATTAGGTTGTTACAAGCTTGACTCTTTTTTCTTTTTTCTTCTCTTGCTGGTCTTCTGAAGATAATATAGATTTTGAACCACTGTTAGGGTCATCTTTTTTTGCTAGAGTATTCAATAGAATGCTTTTTCTTCCTCCATTATTCTAAAATGATTCTCTTACATTTGAATTGGAAATACCAGAGTTGAGGCTTGGAGAAGCAGGATTAGATTATGAAATACCATTTATATTTATAATGTTTGATTATAATTAAGCCGATAAAGAGGATTTCTTGTTTAAATCATTACCAAAACTTACACCTCCATTAGCTGTATTAGCATTTTAATTCTCAGCATTTTTTGTTTCTTCATCATGTACGCTGTTATTAAGACTTTCTTCATTACTTGCATAATTATATGAATTATTTGGACTCACAGATAGCTATTCTAAATGTATATCTTCTATTCCAAGTGCTTAGTTATTAACAGTCAAATTATTAGAAAGTGTGCCTTATTTGTTTATAGATTCTTATTTGGCAATCACAGAATTCTTTTTTTCAGAAGATTTCACTCTAACTAAGTCTTTTGATGTCTGAGAATTATATTTTTCAACTTTTTCCCCTGTGCTATTTTATCCCACATACTAATTCTATTCTTTCTATGCATTTTAATTATCTATCACCTTTACTTCGTAGTCTTCATATGCCGACTCTTTCTTAAGTAATTGTTTATCTGCACTCCGTTATTTCTATATTTCATTTGATAAATTCGATTAGTGGTGTGTAATATCCTTTCCATCATGATATCCCACTGTTGATCCATTATTATTACCAACATTTCCTATTTATCTTAATTGTAAAAATATTACTTATATTTTTTAACCTATTTTAAAGTTATAATTTTTAAATCTAAAAAGCAATCTAACTATTTATTGTTAAATATTTAATGACTGCTCATTTAAATCATGCTCAAAAATTATGACAAGATATTGCTTTCTACTGTATTTTCTTTCAATAATTTTGAATTTCCTTATATTTATCTCTCATGAAACTTCATTTGTATGTGTTAAATATGCAATTTGTTTAATTTAGCTTATCATTTAACCTAAATAACACAATTTATGAAATCATCTCAATCTCTTAATTAATTCATATTAACATTTTAAATAGGGTATTTATGCAATTTGATTTGATTAACTAAATTATGTACATCTATTTATTAGAAGCGTTACAATTTCTACCTTATTTGCTTATAAATTTTATTGAAACTATTTAGCTTTTTTGGTAAAAGAGATGCTATAGGAGATAAATATTGATACTATCCTATTTTATTGAGTTTAATAGATAAAATAATATTCTAATTACGATGAGGTCTCTTATGCTTCTATGATCCTGTCCTTCTCTAATTTATCTAAGTGCTCTTCTATTTCTCTACTAAACTATGCCTAATGCATATTTATTCCGTTATCTGTTTTAACAAAGCCACAACATTGACCCATCTTCGGTGTTGCCTTTGAATAAAGAAATATATATAAAGAAACTACTACTTATTTTATGAGTAATTTATATTATTTATGTAATCAATTTAGTGACTCTTATTATTTTTTTAATTTTTTAGGTAAACTTTTTTATTTGTGCTTTTATATTAAAACTTTTTCTCTTCTTTATATTTTCTTTTTGTGGTTAATACTTTTGTTTCTTCTCAAAAATTCGCTTTCTAAAAAACATACATATTTTACAAGTAAAAAATATTCAATTCTTATTAGTCCAAGCAAATATCAATATGAATGATAGTAATATAAAATAGAAGCAAAAATTTATCAAGAAACTTAAAAAAACAACTAATATACAAAATAAATAAATTATGAAAATGCTATTTTATTTATATTAAATAATAAATTTATTTACATATTTTTTAATAAAAACAAACAAATTAATTGACTGATATATATAATGAATAAAAATAATTGATCTATTAAATAGATAATTAATTTATTCAGCAACCAAATATTCTGTTTAATTAATTTTTTATCAATCAATCAATCAATCATAAATTTTTTGAAATCTGCAAATTTTAATTATTATTAATAAACTTTATTTAAAAATATTGATTTTTTCATCCATTTTATCTTTATTATCATTTTTTTAACTTTTTTCCAACTTAGTTCTATATTTACTGGAAAAAAACATTTACTTATAAATTTAGTTATCTAACAAGCAAATTTAAAGAATCACTCACACATATAAATAAATAAACCTATTATATAAAATTTATTCATTTAAAGATTGCTTTAAGTTTTAATATAAAAATATAAAGTCTTGGTAAAATTTGATAATTTTAAAAATTTTATTATTTACTATTTCATGTATTAATTTTCAAATTTTATTTTTGCTTAAATAAAGAGCTAAATTTAATTGAACTTTTCAATTTAGATTTAGTAAATCTTAAGAGTAATATGTATAAATAATCTAACTTAAAATTAGATGATTGTAAAACTTTCAAAATGTATTTATTTTTATTATTTTAGACAACATTTAAAAAAATCAAATTTATAAATTTATTTTTTTATTTTTAATGTATTCGTTATCCCTTAATACTTTGGTTTAAGATATCTTTCTGGATCCAACACTAGAATACACAATATTCTTTACTTTATATTGTTGAAATATCTAGTAGATAATACTAGGTTTACTTATGAAGAATATTAAATTTAATGTAAGTACTCATTCATATTAAAAACAAAAAAACACTAAATTTTTGAACTTTCATAATTTTATTATAAAAAGAACGTTTTTTAAAAACTTATTATTTTTACTAAGATATAATATAACATATTAGCAATAGAAATTAATTAAATTAAAATTTGAATTTTTAAAGTTTTAGTTTTTTTTATTGTTAAAATTAATTTAGCAATCTTTTTTTTTTTAAGAATTAATAAATGAAGAATAAAAAATTTTTAATAAATTAATTGATTTAGTTGTTATATGATAAAATATCAACAGATTAAAGAAATAAACAAACATTATAAATTTATTTTAATGGTTTATAGTGCTTTATTTTAAGATTAAATTTCCTTTAATAATAAATGTATGAAAATTAATTTATTTCTTCATTTCTTTTATTTATTTTAAAAAATTCATCTTAAATATTTATTTTTAAAAGAATTAAATTAAATTTACTGATTAAGCATATTGCATTTATTCTTTTTGAATTTATTCCTTTTTACGTTATTCTAAATATTTTCTTTTTGTTTCTTGGATTTCTTTGTTAAGCTTTTCTATGTCGTACTTGTATTCGTTTACCTGTTAATATTAAAATTGTAATTTAAAACTTTTACTAAAATTTAATTCGAAATAGTAATCAATACCTATGCTTAATACATATTCAACTCAGCAGCTAATGCCTTCATCTGTCTTGTTCTTTGTTTTAAGTTTTGTTGGAGACTAGATAACATCTTAGCTTCCTCTGGGCCAGGTTACTTTTACATAATTTCTCTTAATTCCTAGACTTACTTTTCTTTTTATTGAATTAAAACTTCTTTTTCAACTACCTATTCAGTTTTGCTTATTAATCTTCTTTACAATGTTTACAGTTTTTATCTCATTTCAAAGACATCAGGATCACTTCCTTCTAATTTTCTGCATCTAGATTCATTCATAGGACTTTCTAACTCTTATGAAAGAGCTTTTACTTTTAATTATTCTTCAATCAATTCTTTTCTTAAATTTTTAATATTATTTTTTAAGTCAGGAATGTCTGACACTTATTTCTTATAAATTCTCAAAGACCTAACTAAATCATTTTTCTTATATTCTAACAATTAGATATCTCCTTCTCTTTCTCTGTATGCTTTTTCACCTTCAGCTAGGGTTCTTTATTATATTTTGATTTATTCATAGAGCAATGCAGACTCATCATTTCTCCTAATTAATTAAGTACCAAGAATATCTCTTTCACTTACAACAACTTCATACTCTTCTTTTAGCTTAGCTCTTTTCCCCTCACTTTCTTTGATAATGAACTAGAGTTTGTTTATTTCACCTTTCTATTTAATTAAAAATAATTTATTAAAATCATAAAAAAACAGAAAAAATAAATTCTATTTTAAATAATTAAAAGTTATTCATTTTATTTACAAAATTTTTAATTTCTTCTTGCATTCTGTCAATATCTTTTTTATTTTTTTCTAATATGTGAGCATGTTCTTCAATAGTTTTATCTTTCTTTTTATGTTCAAAGTGTTCTTTGGCAAGAGCTATTTCTTTAGCATCTATTTCTTCTTTCAGCTAAGAAATTTAATGATTAGTAATTTTATATCTTCTTTTTATTTCAGCAATTTCATCTTAAGTTTCTGAAAGATTCTTGGAATATAAATTTTTGGCACTACGCACAGCTTCGTAAAGTGTTTATTGGCGCTTTAATTTAGCTTCAGTTTCTACATTTTTCTTTTGGAATTCAGATATGAGATTGTCTTTTAACTTAATTTCTTCAAGTCTTCTGAAATATTCAGCATTGGCTTAGGCAGCTTGTTTGCCAAACTTCTCCTTTTCTTTTTCTAAATCACCCAATTACCTTTTCATTTAATCAAGTTCCCATCCCTTTTCTCTGATTTCTTTTTCTTTTTCAGTAATTTCTCTATCAAGCTTCTTAATCTTATCACCTTATTCCTTATTTTGTTTGTCTGTCTTTTATAAACTTCTCTCAAGTAATTCTCTTGCATTCTTCAACTCTTTAATTAACTAAAGATCTTCCTCATTTAATTTTTTAGTGTCAAAAACTTATCTCTCAAGTTAGGTTGCACTTTGAATAACCATTTATTTAGAACGAATGGAATTTTCTTTTTGCTGAGTTGCTTGTTATTTTTTTGCTTCTAATTTATCAATTTCTTTCTTGAGTTGATCAGATTCTGTGTGTCTTTAGTGGAGCTCCTTTTCTCTCTGCTTTTTCTCTACTTCTCTCTATTTGTATTCTATTTCACATTCTTCCTTTTTTCTTTTCAACTCTTTTTCTATAATTTCAAGACTTATTTTATCATTTTCAAGTTGCTTCTTATTTTAATCAAGCTTCTTTATTTCATCAAGTCTAGCTTAGTATTCAATTTAATTAGAAGCCTTAGTATTTTCGAGTTATTTATTTTCGTCTTCCATCTTCTTTCTGAGGGCATCTTCTTTTTCATGGTTATCTTTCAAAATCTTTAATTCCTCTTTATTATAAATTTTGTAGAGCTCATTAAGTCATTTTTCCAATTTCATTTAAAAATAAATTACCTTCAATCTTTTTGCAACGATCATTATCTTTATTTACTTTTTCATCTATTTCCTGCTTCTATTTAGTTTCTTCTTTTATCTTGGATTTAATTATACTTGTTTCATTCTGTATTTGTTTAAGCTTATCAGTAGAATCATTTAATGCATTTCTCAATAAAGCAAGCTATTTCTAAAACTCTTCTGAGGCTATTTTTTATTTTCATACCAAAAAAATTTTTAAACAAGTTCAATCAATTTATAAATTTCTTAAATTATGTTAACAAAAAATGTATTTAATTGTTATTAAATTCCTAAAAAAAATAAAAAGATTCATGATTTTAAGATTATTTTAAAAGTTAGATTTTTGGTAAATAACAACTTACCTGCTTTTAATTCTTCATTTTATTTTGTTAATTTCTCAACAGTTTCGTTTTTATACATATTAGGATTATTTGAAGTTTCATTAAGCTATGTTAAATGTTTAATTTCAGTTTATAATTTCTCTATTTTTCCCTTTGATTTTTCTTCACGATCTCTTGAAGTTTCTAAAACTTTATAAGCTTTTTCTAATTCTGTTTTAAGCATTTAAATTGTATCTGTATCTTCTTGAGTTAGCTTTAAAGCCATTTGCAATTTTGCTGCATGCTAAACTATATCATCATTCAATTCTTTGATTCTTGCTAATTGCTTTTTTTCATTTTCGTAAGATGTTCTAAGAGCCCTGTGAAGCTTTTCATATTCTACTCTGAATCTTTCCAAACTTTATTCGCCTGCTAATTCATCTATAATCTGCAATTTTAAATTAATTTAGCAAATTCTAAAACATTTCCAAAAGTAATTCTGAAAAAATAATGCATTTAATGATAGCAAATTACTCTTCTAAAATCTGCTTCTAGCTGGTCAAAGACTTGCTAACCAAACGATATATCTTCGTACTATTTTATTTAGCAAATTATAAAATTATTTTTAATCCAAATTACTATATCTTCATTTTATATTTTTTATAATTAATTTATTTACAATATCACCCATCTTCTTTGAAAATATTATTTACTACTTTAAATTTTGTATTGATATTCTCGCTTTGAATTTGGTAACTATCCAATAACTTTTAATTATTATTGTTATATTATTTATGCCCTTTCAAATACATAATCAAAAAATTATATATTTTATAACTGCTCATGCATTTGTGATTGATTGATTGATTGAATGAATGAATGATTGATTGATTTCAGTCAGCTAACAAATTGATTTGCTAACTTGAATTCATTTTAAATAAGTAAATAATTCATTCAAATAATATTTATGAAATTGATATTTTTAAATAGATACAATTATGATTATCTATTTATATATATTTTAAGTTAAATTAATTAATATCATTTTCTTTTGCATTTTTGATTTATTTCATCTAAATCTACTTTCATTAGATAATTTAATAACAATATTTTTAAATTTTATAAAAATAATTAATTAAGTTTAAAAAAATAATATTTTATTTAAAATTGTTATAATTGATTAAAAAGTATATAGTAAAAGATGAATGAATCCCAATGGTAGTTTATTGTTTGATTGAAAGCTTGATGTAAATAATTTTATATTTAATTTATATGGATAATTTTACAAATTGATATATAATAAAATCATCATAAATTTTATATGAATTATCTTTTGGATTTTTTTACTTTTTTTTTACATCACATCTTTCTAACTCCAGTGCATGTTGATAAGAGAGAACAAGTATTTTCTTTCTTACAGATAGAAGGTAAGGTGATAGGTTAAAATTCAGTTCTTCTTGCTTGGGAGAAGTTCTAAATATCGTTAGGTTGTTAATCGATTTATAACATAACTCTATCAAGAGGGTTTTCAGCAATAGTTTCATAATAAAAGTTATTCTAGAGACCCTTTTAGTTCCATTTGTAAGCAGGAATACCGTTGAATGTTGTTTCACCTTCAAATATGGCATTTTGTAACCAAGTAGGTTTAAGGACACCGCATCCGTGTTCGTTTGAACAGCAGTAACAACAGTCATTTCTCTCAGGATAATACAAGAATCTATCTCCGTTAACAACAATTTATTCACATGCGGTGTTTCTGAAGAAATAGAGACCATTAAAACCACAATATCTATCAGTTCTTCCATTCTCTCTAGAGACCTTATAGGCTCTATTAGCGTAATCATAACTATAAGTTCCCTTTGTTGATGATTTCAAAAAACCATAGATGAACTCTTCAGTAAAATCTTACTCGAACTTTTGAGGCCATTCAGGATAAGAAGGATTGCAGAAGACAAGACCTAATAATACTAAAGCTATAATCAACTTCATAAATTCTTAGTTACTCTTAATTTAATTTGATTTATGTAATTTTTGTAAAAATTATATTTTAACAATTAATAATAAATTATTTATGTATAAATAAACAACCTCTAACACTATTTCTTTTATTATTACTTATAAAAAACCTAATAAACGTTTATCATTATTTCTTCAATTGTTGCTTAAGCATTCTACTTTTTCTTACATATTTTTGTAATAATATCTGCTAGCAAAAATACTTTTTAGAAATACTCAAAATTTATCTCAACTCATTCATTCAAGATAAAGTTTTTTATTATTTTTAATACCAATTTAGTAAAATTTGTGTATTTTCTGACTATTTTGAATTAAAAATTTTGGATATACTTTGTGCAAAAAGAAGTAATTGTAATTAAGAAATTTCCTGAAACAATAATTTTGTTTACATTTTAAATACCGCATTTGCATCAACAAATACTGTTTAAATTTAAAAGTATTTCTAAATAAATTAAATATTCAAACAATAAATAAAATTTTTGCAAGAAAGACATTTGCTTAAAAAAAAAATTATATTTTAACAAGAAAATGATAACAAAAAATTAAATTGGATTATTAATAAATACAATAAGAAATATCAAACATTTCATTAATATTTTAAAAAATAATTTTAGATTTTTAGAAATAAAAATAAACATCTTAAAAAGATAAATAAAGAAATAAATACATTTTGAAATTTAAGAAATCTAATAAAATAATTAATATATTTATTTATTTTATCAATTAAGTTTTGGTAGGAATAATTAATTAATTAATTTAGAGTTATTTTTATCCTTTTTTTGAAGTAGCCATTTAAAAACTACAAACAAATGGAATTAAATAAGCCATACGATGAAATTTTTGTAAAATTTTAAACTATTCATTTTATTTTTATGCGATATTTAAATGTTTTGTATATCTTTTGAATGTTTTAACATAAAATTAAAAAAAAACCATTTAGAGAAGCTGCAAGCTAGATAATTCAGATTGTAGATACAAGTAATTTAAAGAGCTACAAAAAGATTGGATTAAATATTGTATGTGTGATTGGGTAAAAGACCATTATTAATGCAAAATGAATACAAACTAATGTCACGAAGAGATGGAAAAACTTGCTAAACTGAGATTGTCGTACTCTTTACAATTCTATAAAAATCTTGATGAAGCACATTTAAAAGAAGTGATAGGAATTTTAAGATCTTTTGACCATCACAAAAATAAATGAAAAAATAGGAGGATATATTAATGAAAAATAAATTTAATATAAAACATTGTAATTATAGCAAAATTCACCTTAGAATTTCCATTAATTTATGTAAATTTAAATATAAATTCTATCTTGTGTAATATTAGTTTTTATATTATATCACATTTTATTTTCATTTATTTATTGAGTTTGATAAAAATCTAATGAAAGTATTTTTTAAGTGCTATAAATCTGATTGAGGCCATGAAATAAATCAAAAGAAACAAAAATTAATTTAATATTTTAAAAGTAAATTTAAAATAAGTTAAAAAATGATTTTTACATAAAAATTGAAAAAATACAGTAATGAAAATATTTAAAGCATATTTAATTCTTTAATTTAAGATATTAGAATTGAAAATTAATGTTTAAGCTAGCTTGTCATATTAGTTAGATATTAACATTTTTCATTTAGATGAGAATAGCAGATTATATTACTTACTTTCAATTTAATTTAAAGCATCATCAAAGGCCTGTTTATATTATTCTTATTTGTTTTGAGTTTTTTATCCAGGATTGTGCTTAGTATCAAATGGATCTTCAATATTGAAGTAATAATTTTCATCATAAAGTTCATATTTAAAATTGTTATTGCTGTAATTGACATCAAAGTTAAAAATGGAAATAAACCTCTTGTCTTTAAAATTAAAGCTAGATTAATAGAATTTTATAAAATCTATAAAAAGTTAGCTTAGTGATACATCATCTAAGGAAGGCAAGTTTTTTTCTTTTCTCCATATAGCTAATTTCATTTTTAAGTCTTCTACATTGCTATAAAAGTATAAATTAGTTTAAAATATTTATTCACCATCCTTTTTTTTTCTTTTAATTTTGACTTAACACTAATTTTCTTTACTTTTACTTTTTTTGACAAACTCTGAGTTCAATATCTTTTCTCTGAAAAGGAAGGAAAACATCATCAAAATAAAGGAATAGGAGGATAAGTGACTTTTACTGGATACACCTCTTTACTTAGCCCAGTGTTTAATGATAATTCCTAATTATTAAATTTTTGGATGCAGTTAGGAAAGAGTGTAAAGCATTAATGAATTAGTGCATCCCAAGATATTGTTAACACAAATATCTATATCTATTTTTATTTATTATTGATCTACTGTATCTTTCCTTGTGTATTTGAGCAACGGAGTTTAGGCCTGAAGAACTGGCTCAGTTTCAACATTCTTAATTGATTTATTACTGCAATACTGCTTTATGAAGTTATGAAGAAGTTATATAAATGAGCTCTCATCTATATAGCAGTTAGTATTAATACTGATATCAACATCGCTAGATTTTTAAGCAAATCCACTAACTATAGAACCATAAGGCTATACTGTGACATACTCTAAGCCAAATAACTCCTTAAGCCTCATCATACTAATGATCTTTCTGATAAAATTAACTTCTTATAGAAGTCTTTTTGAGAAACTCTCTTCAATTTTTTGCTGATTATATACATCTAAAAGAATTTATTCTAAATTTTATTCATTTTAAATATTTTTTTCTTAATTATTTTATTTTTTCAACAACAGATATTTTATATTTTCTTTTTTTAAATCTTTAACATTGTCTTCTATTTGCATTCTTAAGTCTGTTTTATCCTATTCGAAACGCTATAATAGCACTTCTTCATCACAATTTTCCTCCTCTTAGTCGTATTCTTCTATCAAATGATCCAAAGCATTTTTTGGGTCATCCTTAAGCTTTTATTAAATTCTTCTTAGGCGCTTCAAAATGATGATTTGTTTAGAAAGTTTACTTTTTTAAGTATTTAAAATTAGATTTTGACTGAGGCATTACTCAAGCAGTTTTTAAAGCACATCTTCTTTATCCTTTGTATCTTAATAACGCATATTTTGAAAATATTGAGCAAGTAACTAGTGGAATTCCACATCGTATTTAATTTCTATAGTCTAACAGCCCAAGCTTGTATTAATTAAGTTTAAAATATCTACTTTATCATTTTTGTAAATTTTTTCTAATGCATTTTTGATGACATTGCTATATATTTTTTACTTATCAGTCAAATTAATATTCATCTTATTTTTTTATCTCTCTCTAAATTGTATGCTTTATTATGGTTTACTAATCTTATCTTTATAATTAGCTATAGAGTGTCTGCCTATATGTATGTCTAAAAAAGAGAAAAATACTTTTTAATGGTTTTCCTTCCAGCCTATTGTTTTTTTATTTGTATTATATAAAGCTTTTATCTAAAATTAAATGCTTCACACAATATCTATTTGTATCAAATTTTTTAATTATATCTTTTCCTAATCTCACAAAAAAGTAAAATTTAATTTATTTTATTAGAATATTAATAAAAGCAAGCTTCAATCAATATCATCTATTTATTTAGATATTCAATTATTTTACTTTTAATTAAAAGAAAAATTTATCTATTAGATTATTATTAAAATAAAAATATTTTATTAAATTTGTTAACAATCTTTAAAAGCTTTTAAAATACAAATAAAAATAAATTAAAAAAGATATCAATTGAGTTTTATTTTATAAATAAAAAATGATTTAAGCTTTATATATATTTTTTTGCTTGCTTTGAATTTTAATTATTTATACATTTTTTAAATTCTCAAAAAAACAATAGTTTAATCCTAACAAAAATATCAAAAAACATCTAAAAATGGGTGAGATGAAAATAATTGCTTGATTTTAGTGATAATTAAAATTTTTAAAGAGGATAAATTACTTTTATAATTTTTATTCTATTAAAGAAATCAAAAATATTAGATTTTAATAAAGGTATTTACAATAATTCAAAAAGCAAGTTATTTAAAACTAAAAGTTTTTTGTTTCTAAAATAAGGTATTAATTAATTAATATTTTGAAATGCAAATTATTTTTCTATTTCCATATTTAATTTAGAGTAACTTTTCATTCTATATAGTAAGTGAATTAAAAAGAAGTATTTTATATTAAATCCTATGAATTAGTTAGTTTACATTTAAATTATTATTATTAATTTATATGCACAGTTGCTTCTCATAAAAAATACTCATTTTTTAAAGGTTGAAAATTTTCACTCAAAAATATTACATGCATGTCCTAAGCTTGAGTTTTTCTTAGCAGTTACTTTATTATTAAATCTGTAGTTAAATAATTTATTAATTTTACATAAATGAAAGATATTGAAGAAGTAATATTTGATAGTTATTGCTTTATTTCTACTTTAAGGGAATAGGTAATCAATATATTTGAGCAAATAAAATAAATATTTTAGCAGATTAATTAGATTTGTTTTTTAGTTTAATGGAAGATGATAAAGCAATTATGATGAGTGTTAGATAATAAAAAGGTGAAGCAGGAATATATTAATGTAAATCCTTTTTTTTTTAAATTTCAATCAGTATCAGTTAAATACTATTCTATATAAATATAGATTTTATATTACTTCTTATTTAAGCAATGTTTGTAGGATTTTTTAAAATAATTCTACAAAAAGTATTATCGAGCAAACAGGTAAAACTAAAGAAAAAAGTAGATAAAAATTGTATAAATATTATTCTTAGTCAATTAATATCGATATTAAGATAAACTAAAACTTATTATAAATGACTAAATAAGGTAAAAGAGTTGAATAAAATAAATTTTATTGTAATACTCCATTAAGCGATTAGAATCATCTCACTCATCATTTCCTTAACTCAATTCTTTGAAGTATAAAAAATGATTGATAAGCTAAACTATAGTTTTCTTTCAACAGTAAAATCTTAACTTAATAAATTGTAAAAGTCTTTTGAGACAATATGGAAAAAACTCATAAATTCAATACAAAAATCTTTGCTAATTTATACAGTAAAAAAGTAAGTCCACATAAATTTAGGTAATTTTAAATGATTTAAAATTTTAATTTAAATAAATAGCAAACATAAATATTTCAATTAATATCTATTGGCAATTCTCACTTTATTATACTAAAAAAAGAGAAAATAAATCAGAGATTTTGGCTAATTTTATAATATTCAAAAAAGTAATAAAGGTTTTAATGGAGTAATTTGATATTGATAAAATTCTATAAATCTAGGGTTTTAGTGAAAAATATTTAAACGTAATTAAAATATCATAATTAATTAATAAATTACTAAAGATAAATAATTACATTAATTAATGATATCAAAAAAAAATAAATAAGAATTCCCTAGTTTTCTCTGAACATATGCTTCTAAAAAGACAAATTTTATGATATCTAATTACTATATTAAATATATTAATTCTTAAAAAGAGTTCTATTTATAAATCTTTATTTATAAAATTAAGTCAGTATTTCTTTAGCGCCAAAATTTGTTTGATTTTTTTACTATTTGATAATAATAACTATTTTTCTACTATCAAAAATCCTGCTTAAAGGTTAATTAATTTTTTTTTCCCCTTCGCTAATTTAAAATTTTCTATTATTATATTTTTACCTAAATTAGCCAGAAGTTTTCTATGCACTAACAATGTGATCTAAATCTACATTTGCTTTTTTTCAAAGATCATTCTCTTGTAAGAGTCTGCTATATTAATCTTAATTTATTAAGTTTTTGAAATTATTAAATTTAAAAAACATACAAAATTAGCTAGTTATAAATAAATGGCGTTTGCTAAAGATTTAAAATTCCATTAAACACAAATTTATTTGTTTTAATTAGTAAATTAATTAATTATTACTCTTTAAATGAAATAGGTATTAAAAATAGTTCAAATGTTAAATATTTACTTAAATTGTTAATATTTTTCTATGCTTTAAAAAAATTACCTACCACTTATTAAATTTTCTGATTAGTAAAAATCTGAAGTAATGAAATTTGATTTTCTTTTGTCATTAAATATACTTGATAAATTAAGTGACGAAAATATTGATTAATGTTAAAAAATATTTTTTGATTTAATTTGTATTTTATCTTGCGTGAATACTTTGAATTTTCATTCATTTATTTATAAAAATCAGGTCAGATAAATTAAAGAGTCAATGTTATTTACAAAATTTAATGTAATCAATATAAATAAAATAAGTGAGGTTATTATAGAACATTTGTTCCTAGTTAAATTTATTGAAGAAAATGAAAAGAGAAAACATTAGTTTAAAGTATAAATTTAAATTGTGCGCTTTCAATTAAAATATTTTTAAATCAGGAATAATTTTTTTTTGTTTTAAGTTCTTTATGTTACCTGACAAAAAAGAGTAAAATATTCTTGAATTTTTAAAGAAATGAACTCTATCTAATTATAATTTTTTACTAAAATTTACATTTTTTCCATTCTTAAATTAAACCATAATAAAAATAATATTTTTAAATATTTTAATGCTTGAGTAAATATCTATTTTGTTAAATCATCTTAAAGAGGTTTTGTAATAAAAAAATATTTTATTTTTCTACACTTTTCAAGCACAAATTTTTGCTACTTTTTAATCATCCTCACCTTATTTTCTTATTAAATAATCTTACTTAGTAAAATTACAGAATTTCTATTGGATAAATTAATCTTTAGCAATAAATTTGTATGATTAGAAAAATACTTATATTAGTCATATTCCAACTAAATATATAATTTTAAAATATTACATTCAGAAGTGTAAGTTGAATTGAATGCTTACATAAATCTTTAAGGTTGTTTACTTTTTGCAGTAAAAGTGTTTGCTTTTTAAAAAATGTAAATTAACAATTTTACAAAAAGGGTTTTAATCTTTTATTGAAGAGATTTAAAGTCATTTTGACAATCGTCTTAGCTGATGTTCAATATGGAGATAGATTTTAAAGTCATTGATAGATTGATTAAATTTACTTATATTTTTTTTTAAACAATCATATTTTACATCAAGATGATATGATGGGGAAATATATATCGATCTCTAAGATTTTAAATCATTTAACTTGATATAATGTCTCTATTAAATAATAAATTTACTAGTTAAATAATTAAAAAGAAGGAAAACTATTTCTTTATTATATTTATATATTAACAATATGAATAATAACTTTGTTTCATTAAAAGATGATGAAGGAGAACGATAAATGCATCAACACCATTCTTAAGACGTATTTATTTCATTTATCATTCGAATTAACCCAAAATAAAATTATATTTGCAGAAATTTATCAGTTACTAAACTAAGAGAATCTTCAACATTGATAAGAAGCAGAATTTTGAATCGACTACACTCAAACCTGGAGAGAATAATATTTAAAAAAATACTTGTAACAATCTTTAAAATTTTAAATATGAACCTCTCTCAAATGGTTCTCAATAGCATATTATTAGCTAGCTTTCAGATATGAAAGATTTGAGAAATATTAGAACACGCTAATCATTATTTTAAGACTAAAAGAGCCCTTAAAGTTTTGCCTTTTTTAAGTATTAAAAAGTAAAGAGCTTAAATGGTTGTGCTTAATATTTTTATTTATAATAAAAGGTGTGACAATTCTGATTTATAGAACGATAAAAACTAAGACACATAAATATTTTATTAAAATGAATTAAACAATCCATTATTGTTACAAGCTAATTTAAATGAAAACGAAAATGAATTTTTGGGTAATTGCGATATTTAATAAATCTAAAATATGACTTAAAATGAAAATCTTTATAATTCCTTTAATCCTGTTTTTGATTATAATATGAATGCTAATTTTGATACAGATAATATCAATAGCTATAATTTTAATAATAGCAGTATTTTTAATTAAGAAAAAACTTATTATATTTAGAATTTAAATAATCAATTTGCTTTAAAAGAGGGGTAATATAATATAAAAGATTATTAGGAAAATATAAAATGCGGAGAATATGGGTAGATGCCTGAATAAATATATGAAAAATAATGTGAAATTAATTAACAAACGCAAATAAATAGAAATGAAAACACGTCTTACAAATCATAAGAAAATTAATATTAAAATATTGAAGATAAAAAAATAAGCAACAAATCGAGCATAGAAAGGTTAAGGGAATATAGGTAAATTAAGAAAAGATAAAAACAGGAATATTTAATTTCCAGACTTCAATCTCTGCCAAAAAGAGTATTAAGAAGCAGTAAGCAAGAAAATACTAAGCTCGGTGAAGGTGAAAATGAAGTGTTTTAAGAATAAATAGATATTTAAGACAAGTCTTAAACTCAAAACGAAGAAAGAGAAAGTTTAAAATTTCAAGAGTTTGTTTTGTCTAAGGAAAATAACTACTATGAAAATAACCAAAAAGTAAATAGCTTTAACAACGAAACGATGATATCAACTAGCTACTAATTTTAAAATGAGATAGACGATAATGATTTAAACGAGCAATTTTTTTAGCCTCAAACTAGCTAATTTTATCAAGATGAAGTTTTGTCTTTGTCAAATCAATATTCGTTTGAACTTAAAAATACTGCCTTTTAATCTTCCACAAATTAAACAGCAACAAATGAACAGCTCTAATAAGGGGCTAATAATTATTACTATAATACGAGTAGCTTGAATGAATATTCGAAGAATCAAAGATCTCAAAATAGGACGAGCAATCATTCAGTAGACCCAGCTCATTAAAATGGAAGTGAAAAAAAGAATATTGTTAGGAATATAATGGCGTCTTTTAAAAGGTTTATTGAATCCTTGTTTGATGAAAATAGTAGTAAAAATCAAAAAAGTTATTAATATCAAAAAACAAAGTTTGATATTTTCTTAAATCAGTAAGAAATCTTTAGCTTTGAAGAAACAAAAAAGAAGGTTTTGACAAATTTAATGGAATTATACAACCTTAAAGAGAAAGAAAAGAAAATTAATGATTAAAGAGAATTCTTTAATACTTTTAAAAAATATTATGATAAAAAACAATTTAATAATACGACCTTACATTAGCTGTTAGGTCATTCAAATTTTGGTCCTGTCTTTGTATATTTTCTTAGGAGCTTCTTTGCAAATTGGCTCGAAAAAAATCTAATTATGAACTCTCAGACTCACCTGCAGATGAGAGACTAAATTATATAACTTCACGAGGAGGCTGAATGAAGTTTACATGTTTTAAATACAAAAGTAAAGTATTTGAACAAAATAAAACATTTTAATTTAACTAAATAATTAAGTAAAGAGGTAGCTTCTTGCTATCTTAAAAAGGACAATATTTCATCTTATTTATTATTATTAAACCCTCTTTTCTGAATTGATATGATGCTTTAATAATTTGCTAGCTTTTTTGGATGGAATCTATAATTAAAAAAAATAATAAACAATATTTTCATAATGCTTTTTATTATAACATATTGTAAAGTAATTATTTATTTACTTGATTTTTAAAAATATGAATTGTTTCCAAAATTTTGGGACTATTTGCATGCTTTTTCTCATTTATTGTGTATTATAATTTCATAACTATTATTTTGTTTTCTAATTATCCAATTTTCCTTCCTTCTCATTAAAGAAAAAAAAATTTTATCACAGAAACTTGTTACTCTAAAAATTTCATTTAAATAATTCTATATAGAAGCAATATTAACTTATGCAATCCTTCAAAGTTACTTTCATTCGCTTTTTGATGCCATTTCTTTTCTCAACAAAAAATATTTTCATAGTGTTTTTAACACATAATACGTAATTTATATTAATTAAAATGGATTTTTATCGTATGTCAAAATTCATATTAAAAATTTTAGAGTTAGATTCTTTTTTATTTAATTGAATGATTGCTTTCATTCATTAATTAACATGATAGAGAAATTAATAAAAATTAGATTTCACTTGTATTATAACTTTATCTTTCACTCATTTTGATCCTTTGGTTAGGTATTAAATTTGATTCAAAATTTTAATTTTCCCTTCATTTAATAAATCTTTTTTACATTGCAAATTTCTGGTAGTAATTTAAAGAGATTTTTGGTTTTTTATCTAACTCCATTATCATGTTAAATACCTGATAAAAATTATTTTAAATTGAAAATTTTTTTTAAATTTCCTAACTCTTCAAACTAACATATTTTATGGCAAATGTACTTTAGGGCTACAATAAATTAAAAAATGTTTTATTTTTAATGATTTTAGTATTTATTATGAAATAAGTGATGATTATTAATATCAAACTTCAAATTAATGAAGATAATTAAAGAGTCAATTAATAAATATAACCAATTGCATCTTTTATTAATTGAAATTTTCATTATATAGATTACTTTACTATTGATTCTTGTTAGCATTATTTGAAGGTGGTGGGTAGGATATTTTTTTTGTCTTAATTTCCTTTTTTTCTTTATTAAAAATCAATAAATAAAAGGTTACTGAATTAAAAATTTAATTTTGAATGTGAGAAATCTTAATTTATAATAAAGTAATAATAAACATTATAAAAAATAATACATATCTCCTCAAGGTCTTAGACTAAATCAGAAAATCTAATCAGTATATAGACATTGATACTTTTTTGAGAACTTTTTTTGCATCTCTTGATAATAGTTTATTCAAAAAAGCTATTCTATTTTTTAAGTATAAAGAAATTATATGATATGATAATAATTGAAAAAGGCTTAATTAAAACATTAGTTGCCAGATAGATTTTGAATCATTCTTTAATTGTAAGAAATTTTATTTCTATATATTCATAAATATTGAATGAAATTTAATAAAAATAGTTCGAATAGATAGTATTGCTTTATGTTCTAATCTAATTTAATGTGATATTACTTTTTAAGTTTTTGCTCAATGCTAAAGTACTTTAATTAATCATTGAATAAACAATAAAAGATTATATTACATATTTGTTTATTCACTTAAATAAATTATGCCAAAAGTAGATTTATATAATTTTATTTTTAGAAAAGTATTTCTTTGCACCAATTTTTCTGAAATTAATAAGTTTTTCTCCTCTAATTTTTAAAATTTGCTTGAAAAAAAATGAAAAGATTTATCAATATTTTTCCCCTTATTTTCTGGCTTCTGTATGCTATTTGATTATTTAATATTATAGAAGTTGCTATAAATATTGGTTGATAATTTTATGAAAGTTTAAAAATAATTGCGAACGTATACTAATATCTATATTATAAAAAAATTATTTTAATTTCAACCGAAAATGTAATTTTCTTACTAGAGATCAGCCAAGTAGGAAAGTTTTTTTAAGAAGAAATATTATTCGAAAAAGGCTGTTGCATTCCAATAATCAGATGCATATATCGCAATGTTAATCAACTTATTTATGAATAAACAGATTCTTTAAAGATAGCTAAATATCATCAAATATATAAATATAAATAATAAATGAAAGTAGAAATCATATTTTGCTTCTTGCTTTCATTTCTAATATTGATTGGTTTTTGTGAAAATAATAAAATTTTTATTTTTAATTTACTCTAATTTTTTGTAAGAATTTTGTTGTCTGCATTTCATATTAGCAATGAAATAACTTTGACTGATTCATAATTAAGTGATTGTTTATACAGTATTTTCTAATTAACTTTATTCTATACTAAAACTGAAGTATTTTTTTCCAAAAAATCATGTTGAATAAATCACAAAAGTAGATCATTATGATTGAATCATGTCTGTGCTGTATGCTGAAAGTTTTTTTAAAAAGGTAAAAGTCATTTTATATATCTAATTTTATATTTTTAAAAGGATAGGGTTCAAAAATAAGTTTTTATTAATTTAGCTGGTACTTAGTAAAATTTGGATAATTATTAGTAATAACTTGTGAATCTAAGAAGCTCAAAGCCAAATCTCATTTAACATTATAAGATTTTATAAATTAAATACTTAAATTTAAATTAATAAACCAACTCACGTTCAGCGTTTCCTTATAATTATTTATTACAAGATATATTTAATTAAGATCTGAACTCAATTATTTGTTAAGTAATTCTGTGATTTCTAGATTAAGTGAAATTAACTTGTTTAACTATCAATTATTAAAGCAATTGATTGATTTATTATATACCAGAGTATAGATCACTCCTTGCAAAAAAGAAAGAAAGAAAGAAAGAAAGAAATGTCTTTGACTTATCAAGTCTCTCAGGCTGAAGCAGAATATTAAAACTGTTACTTGCAAGAACAAATATCAGACTAAGCTCAATAACAAAAACCCTACTGTAATAACTCTAATTAAGAAAATTTTATATTCTTACCTGAGGATTCATTCTTTCAATGCTGCTAACCTAACATTTAAAAGTAATTTTAATAACCCCATCAATAAATAAAAATAATTTCAATAAAAAAAGCAATTAAATTAATGAAAGCATGAATTATGATAACTCTTGTGTACTGAACTTGAATAATCAAAGAGATCCATCTTATATTTCCTTTTAACAGAATTTTCCTTACAATTAAAATAACTGCGAAAATGAATTAAATAATTATATTGGAGCTTGTTTTGAGCCAAATAGTTATTGCAAAAATTAATACTATGCTTCTTATTAAGAAAATGCAGAAAATTTTATCTCTATACAATAATACAATTTTCCTTTTGGCGCTTAAGAAAGTGAAAATGAATACAATAACTAACTAAATTAATTAAATTAATGTGATTAAAAACTTTTAAGTGATGAATAAAGGTAAGCTACTATCACCATGCCAATATAATCTAATGAATAGGTTAAAGAATCCAGTGGGAATATGGAAAATCATCAACCAAAATAAAATACCATAGAAGAGTTGATATAAAGCTCGAGTAGATGTGCTTAAGCTAAGCAGCAAAGGAAACAAAAAAAATTAGAAAAGTTAAAGAAAATTTAATAACAAATCTCTAATCTCCCAAAAAGAGACCTTAGAAGTCATTTTAAATAATTAGAATAAATAGATTTAAAGGAAAAAAATTTTTTAAATGAGCATCATAAACAAATCAATGAAGGATTATAATAAAGTAATTTTGAATATCATTAAAATAAAGAATAAAATAAGGCAACAAAGACCTCATTTTAAAATTGCTAACAGCAATAATAATAACAAGAACAACTTTAACCTTTTAACTAAATAAATTTGCTTGATGAATAAAATGCTTTGTAGAATGAATTGTCTTTTTGTAATTAATAGCTAGAAAACTAGATTGAAGATAATTAGTTGAATGCTGATAATGACTAATATTTAAATTCTTCTACGCAGCAAGCGTAAACAGATTTAGATGGATCAAACAAAGATTAATTTGAGTCTAATTTTATGAATTTTGAAGCTGAATTGGCTAAAAACGATTTAAATTATAAAGTAAATAAAAAGAATGTTGTGAAAAATATAATGTCTTCCTTTTAAAGATTTATATATAGTGCCTTTGCAGATATTACTTCAAACTAAAATAAAATAAAAAAAGAATATTTGTTTCAAAAAACAAAATTTCATGTCTATTTTAATTAGCAGTAAGAGGACTAAGTGATTTAATTAACAGAGAAAATACAAAACGAAGTGATATAAATATATAATAATGATTTCAATAACCTGCCTAAAAATGAAAATAAGGAAGAATTTATTCATAAATTTAAAAGGTATTTTACCAACAGGTAGTTCAACAATTGTACTATCAAGCATCTCATCAAACACAAATCATTCAGCAAAATTTTTTAATATTATCTACAGTTCTTCTTCAGAAACTGGCTTATCAATGTAAATATATAAAACATTGAGTCTCATATATTGATTTCAGACTTGTTTTTAAAATCTTTTCATGATAAATAACTACTAATCAACCTAACTAATCGCTAAAAATGAATATTAAACAATTTATTTTAACTTTATATTTTCTACTATCAAACTTTCCTTCCTTCTAACAATTTTCTATTTCATCTTTCCTAAAGCTTTAGTTTGCATTTTTGTTATCCTTAAACCTGTGTCATTAATTCATTCCTTTAATTTACAAAGAAGCTAAAAAATAAATTAAAAATTTTTCTTCAATTTATGTGATAGCTAGTAAGAAAGAAATTAAAAAGTAATCGAATATAAGGTTAGTTTAGTTTCTTAATCCATTTTTTGACCAAACACAATTATTTTCAATAAATTCATTAAAAAGCCTATTTTCTATTCTACCTTCTCTCTTCAAAAATAAAAAAAAAGTAAAAAAATGTATAAAGCCCTTAAATAATTGTGTCAAATTCTAATCATTCTTTTAGATAGATATATTATATGCCAATTAATATAATTAAATAGTATCAGATAATCTACTGATGCCATGAATGAATACGGCTTTAACTAAGATGCTCACTTGAAGGACTAACCTATTTCATAATAAAATCTCTAAAATGAATTTTGCTATTTTTAATTATTTATAATTAAACTTTAGTGCTTCCTGCCTACTAGTTTAAAACCTGAGGGAACAATATATAATAATTCTATTATCTATATCTTAGAGTAATATGGAATATTGCCTATCTTCTACGAAATATGATACTATATTTGGTAGTCTACATAAAATAATTAAAATAAATGACATATATCAAAAAAAAAAAAATTTCATATTTCTATCTCATTTAATTTGTCAAGCTTTTTCCTTTAAAATAAAAATGGTTAAAAATATGCACTTTTTTCCGAGGTAGACAATCAGAAGTTTAACTAAAATAATTATGGTAGCTAACTCATATAAACAATTATACTTCTCAATATTGTTATCGGAATATAATACAGAATATTTCATTTTACTAAATTATGTTATTCTATTTTTAAAAAATTGCTTTGTTCTATTAAAAATGAAGTGAGAAGGGTAGCTTTATAAAAAGTCTTTGAGCCAATAAAGAATAGGAGTTTTAAATTAACAAAATTAAATATTAGCTATAATTTAAATATTTAGGCATAAGGAAATCATACATAATTCTTCAAAATTTCCATTGACTTTTAATTGCTAAAATGTATGCAAAATATAAAAAAAGTTTTTTTTTAATTTACTGTAAAATAGACTCTGCATAATTTTGGTGAGGTGATTAAAAAAATATTTAAAAAGGTAGTCTGGATAATAAATAAATAAATAAATGTGTGGTATGACAAGCTATCTAAATTTGTAAATATACAAGGAGTGGCTTGAAATTATAATTAAAATTTCAAATTATATATTTATAATTCTAATTTTTTAATTTGTATTTATAAATGGATCAATAAATAACCAGCTATTGATTATAAAATATTGTTGTGTTCATTTGTTCATTCAGGGTTGGTATACCCATCTAATTTATATTAATTTTATTCATATATTTAAATTCCACTATTTTATAACTTTTGATTTAAATAAATTTGAGGCTGTATAATTCGATTTTAAAGTTTCACATAGAGAGTTTTTTGATTATTTAGATTTTTAAGTGTTTTTATATCAGTCAGTGTCTTACTTTGAACAGTAGTATTACACCTTGAAAGAAAATTTACAAATATAAAATTTACATCAAAAATAAAGGGAAATTCTTAAGATTTTTCCTATTAATTTATTATCAAAGATAATTTATTAAGATAAATAGAACAGCCTATTTCTAAAAACTAAAATTAAATTAAAAACAAATGATAAATTTATATATTATTACTATTCTAGAGATACTGATTTTTTAAAATCTTTAATAATAATTACATACAAAAGTATGCTGGCTGACTTGTATTATTAAATTATCTCTATAAAACAATAAATCTTTTTTTTTGTTAAACAGATTCATTTATTTCTTATTTTTGAATTGATCTTTTTGCTGATAGATTTTTAGATATCGTTTCATTTACTTTAAAAGAAGTTTTTAACTTAGCTTTTGTTTACGAAACTTGTTAAAACTTTCTTCTTTTATTGATATAATTCAATAAAATGCTTATAAATTGCAGTTGGTAAATTTTTCAAAAGTATATTTTTCTTTTTGAGGACAGAGAGAGATGATATTTTTTATTAGTATCATTTGAAGAAAAAAAGTAAGATATTTTTTATTTTATCGGACGGACTGAATGATCGGTGAAAATAAAATTTTTTGTGATAAGTTATTACTAAATACAAATGCCACCTTCTGTGGCTTTACACTTATTAAAATTTAATTTAGGTATAATCTTCTTCTAATCTATTAGGAAGAAAGAAATCTCATGACTATTATAGTTTCAAATTAAACCCCTTTTATAAAAGTGTCTCAACTCAACGAGGAAAAAAACTTGTTTTAGACAAATAAAAATATGATTTAGTCTATGTAAAAAGAGATAATAAACTTTCTTATCCCATCTTCAAGTTATAAAGTAGTTATTTAATTTATGATACTACGAATTCTTATTCATTTTTAAAGCAAAATTTTTACGATTTCATAAGAGTTTTATTGAATTTTTTAGAAAAGTCAACAATGGTTTTTTTTATATTACAATCTTAAAATAAATGAAGTATCAAGTGAAAATTATGAATAAAAATTGAAGTAAAAATTTTTATTCTTTTCATTTTGATGTATAAGTTTTTAAAAATGCATCAACTTTAATTTTATTTTGAAAAAATGCTCTTTTCTTCTTGTTAGATAAACTCTGAATTGATAAAAGTAAATCTAAAAGCCAAGATTTTGTATAAGAGTCAGAATATAATGGCCAAACTAATCAAAGAAAGAATGAAATTTACAGAAAATATAAATAATTTATCCATTTAAAATTATTTAAAATAATTTTAAAGAGGAAAGCGATTATCAAATAATTAAGCTTTTTATTGTTTGTAATAAATATTAGACAGGATAACAAAATTAAAATTTACTATTTCTTAACCTTTCCTTTATAAAATATAAGGAAATTAATATTTTTTCCTTCTTTTTATTTAGTTGTATCTTAGATTCATTAATTTTTCAGTAAATTAATCAATGAACTCTAATTAATTAATTTTTTTTTTTTCAGCAGTTAACCTACATGATTAAAGATTATATTAATGAAATCGAGCCTTCTAAATAAAAATGGTAACAAAAATAAAAAAAGAAAAATACTCTACAAAAATCTTTATATATTTTAAATATGATAGAATTTTAAATTCAAACAACAACAAATCAAATAAACAAACTAAGAAAATAAAAAGAAAAAATAGTTTTCATTGAAATTTTAATTCAAATATTTGCGAATATTGTTTGTCTTGCAATTTTTACTTAGCAAACCTAAATCTATTTATAAATATGTTATCATCTATATTCTCTACTCTGCTTCTTTCTCCTGGGTTATGATAATTATCAAATGGGTCAATAATATAAAAGAATAAATTTTTATTATATGATTTTACTATATAATTATTCATAATATCTATATATCTTCTATTCTCATCAGTGGTGTCTGAGTAATATTCAATAAACTCACTGAATAAGCTTGCAAGATTCATGTCTAATAAAGTTTTTTAGTTTGGATTGTTTTCTTTATACTTTTTTAGAGATTTCTGTAAATGCGAGGGATCTTGCACATAATAAAGGTTTGTTTAAAATTCCTAATCAGTTTCCTTTGTCCTCTTAATCAAAGTAGAATATTTTGGATCACTTTATCTTTTTTAAACTTTCTCTTAAAAATAAGGATCAATTAGCTTCTTTCTCTATAAAAAGCAGATCATTATGAGGATAAATGCATATGAACTAAGAGTTTTTTTGCTTATAAGACCATTCTACTTCGCCCAATATTTAATGATTATTCCTAGCTACTTTACTAAGGGATGAATCTAAGATATAACTTTTAGCATTTTTGAATTTGCGCATCCTAGTAGATTATTTATACATATGTCTATTGAAACTGTATTACTTTTCAAATTAACATTATCTTTCTGTTTAACAAGAGTTATTAAAGGAATACGCGCATCTAATTTTAATTCAAGTTTTTAATATTTGATTTTATATTTATGCAAATAATTTTTCATGAAATCATAAATAAGAGAAAGAAATACTCTTTCATCTAAATAGCAATCTGTATTTATGCTTATATCAATGTCACTATCATTCTAACCAAACCCACTAACAACTGACCCATACGGATGAACATACACATTTTATAGCCCAATAATTTTATTTAAATTCATCTCACTCACAATTTAATTTACCATATTGACTTCTTGATTAAGTAATTCTTCATTAAACTAAATACTGATCTTTTCTTACTTATAAATTTAATTTAATAAAATTTCTAATTAATTGCTACTGGTTATTTCATTAATATTTTCTTTATTTTATTAGATGTTCTACTCATTCTAATTAATAGACATTTACTACGATTCATTACTTTTAAGCCTCTTTAAAATCTCAGATACATGCTTTTCAATTTTTTTTAATTTTTCTCCTAGGTTGCTATCTATCTACTTTATTATTTAAATATCATTTGAAGCATTTAAAAACAAATCATAAACATTATTTTTATAGCTTAAGTAAAATGACTTTAAACACTTCTAGAGCTCCTAAAGATCAAATTTACTTGAAATATTATTCTCAAGTTTATTCAGTAAATTGAGGTAGAATCTTTTCTTAATAATTAAAATATATTTTTCAGTATCGCTTGAAAATAATAAGTCTGAATGTGCTAAATTTTCAATTAGACTAATTAGAATCCATTCATCATTATGAAAATTATATTTACGAATAAAATCATCTAAACTATTTTTTAAGCTTAATAATTAACTTTAACTTAATTACTCAACTTCTAATTTCTTCAATAAATACTAATGCACATTTATATTCTTGCTTGGTCTATACTTTATATATTTTAGAAATGTTTGCTAAAAGAAATCGCCTTCCATTGATAATAATTTTTCAAATCAATAAGATTAATTGTTGCTTTATATATTGACTAATTTGTGCCTAAACTAAACTAATTTAATTAAATTTTTTAACTTAAATCTGATACAAATAATTGCTTATTATTTCAATTAGATAATATTTTTACATAATTCTAATTACTTTCAAATTCTAATAATTTACTGCTGTTAGTTTTTATACATAAAAAAAATTCATATTTATCCAAATTTACTAAATGTTTTGTTTTTTATAAAAAACAAAGTTATTAATTTAAATAATTTAAAAATATTTATCATTCATTCTATTGTTAAAATTTCTTAATTTAAAAATAAAAATATGAGTAAATTTGATATTAATTAGTTTTACCTAAATTCTTCAAATAATTTTATTCAAATTTAGTTACTTAAAAAATAAAATTATGGTTGGAATAATAATCAAGTTTTTCCTTTTAAATTAGTAAATTTTTACTCTATTTTATATTTTCGTTGGGATTTTTTATTTTTTAAACAAGGTTACTGAAAAATGTATAAAAAAATTTATCCACAATTTTTGCCTGAAAATTTTAATTTTAAATTAAATATATCATGAAAATACTAAAATAATTATAATTTGTAAATAGTTAGCAAAATTTGATAATTTGTTTTAAACCATATTTATAAATTTAAAAAAAATCAATTAAAAATCCAACATAAAACAATAGATCAAATCAGATAATTAATCTTTAAGAATAAATAAATAAAGCCATTTAAATTTGTAAATCTAAAATAATATTTTATTTGTGAATTAATTTATTTCATATTTCAAACAAAAAATTATATTAGCTTAGAAAATTAAGCTAAAATATTGTTAAATAATTCATTAATTAATTTTCATTGGTATTTATTTATTTCTTATTTTTATTTCAATAATTAGTGATGTATTTTATTGGTTTATTATTGTTTAAAATTCATATCTATTTACTAAAAATTGGTTAGAAAATTTATTAGCTAGCTATAAATAAATTAGAATTAGATGTCTGTAAAGAAATCTGTGAGAAGAAGCTTATATGGGGATAGCATAGGATTATAAAATTTTTTACAGCAAGATATTTTAAAGAATAGCCCAAGATCTTTGTATTAGCCTTCGATTGACACTTAAAGGGAAGAATCAACGCAGGCCAGTAAATTAAATAAATACATTATGATGTTTCTCATTTTGATTTTTAGATAGTATTTCAGCCCAATCAAAAAGATTGAACTCAATTGTAAAGTCAAAAAGAAGTACATCAATAAATATAGCTAGAGGTAACTCAGCATACAACTCTAGTGAAGTAGATGTGAATAATTATGAAAAGTATTTAATTATCTTTACTGCTTTTTATACTTTAATAACTTTATCAAAAAGAAATACAAATAATTATTAGCACTTGTTTACCAGAAATCAATCGCCTACAAGCTGTAGAGATTTCGCATTCAGTCTGAGATATCCTATGAATCTGAAAACAATATAAGGATCATAAAAAAAAGAAACATCTCCTCCAAAATGCTATGAAGAAACTATCAACAAAAAATTTGTAAATGCAGATTTTTAATTGCCAAGTGAAAGAGTAAATCTATTCAGATCTATTTCATTAAAATTTATCCTTTCTCTAAATTAATTAATAAATTTTTGTATTGAAATAAACCACTAATTTTTTATTAATACAAAGTTAAATATTATTTAATAAAATAATAGCCATAAGAAGTAATTGCATTACTTTAAACGCTTTTCTTAGAATTTAAATTTATTAAATAAGTTTGACCACTTGATTAGGAAAAGAGTAGGTCCTACTATAGGACACATATAGCTAGGTTTTGAAGTAGGCTTAAGAAATTATAGCAGATCACCTAAAGAGCAGTCTTAAGAAAGAGAGTGGGATCCAACTTAGTTTAAAGACAATTCAAGTATTTTTTTTAACAAATAATAGAATTTCTTAATTAAAATTAAAAAAAGACAAAACTGTATTTTTGCCATCAATTTAGTAAGAGATCAAACTAAAAAAGACCCTGAAACGACCAGCCAAAAGAAATATCCATTTATATAAACAATATATGAAATAATTTGAAATAGATGCTTTGTATTTATTATTATTATTATAATAATTGTTAAATAAACTAACTAAATCTTTTGATAAAAGTGACGGGCAGTAAAACTATCCACAATATACTGATAAGATAGTAAGAAGTAAAAATTATAATGAGATGACACCTTTGAAAAAATATGAAAAAGATGGAGACAAACCAATAAATTAGTTGAAATGGGAATTAAATTTGAATAATTATTCAAATAAGCCTAAATAAACTTTTACAGATAAAGAAAACGAATGAATTAAATAAATACAAAATCCATTTATCTATTTATTTATTTATTTATTTATTTACTTACTTACTTATTTAATTAATTAATTAATTCATTAAAAAATTAATTTATTTAACAATATCAAAAAAATAATTTAATTTTTTATACTTTTAATTACTATTTCGATTTTAAACATTTAATAAATTACGATATTTATTTGTCATAATTTATTTGCTTTTATTTCATTTATTTATATATTTATTTTGTTTAAATAAATACTATTTAATTACTAAAAGACATTTTTTTATTCAAATAAATTTCTAGTATCAATTCGCTCCTTCTAAAATTTGTTAAGGAACAATAATAGTCTTTTCTTCAATGAATTACTTACTTTAATCATCCAAATCTTATAACCATTAAGCTAAATTGGCTTCATACATTAAATTATTTAAAATAAATGGATGGGCCTATTTAATATAAATAATTCCTTAAAATTTATTTGCATTTAAACTATAAATTTTACTAAAAGCTCTACTGCTTTAGATCTTTTAAGAGGGTCTATATATAAACTATTTATTTTAAAATAAATATTAGATAGTAATCCTATTTCAAATTAAACAATTTATAATTAAAAACATAAATTTTTGATTAAAAATGCCTAAGTTATTTATTCTTTTTGAATGTATTTACCATTTAGATACAAAATCTTTAAGTTCATTTGAAAAATTTGATTTTTCTGGTAGTCTAAAACACTTATCTTTTTCCTAATGACTTTCAAATAAGTAGTGAAGCTCTATAATTTATTTTTCTTTACCGAAAGGATATTATCCAATACACAATTCATATACTATCATGCCTTTACATATTAAATATTTTTTTAGATAAATATATTTTATAAAATTTTACCAAAACTCCATATGTCTGAGGGTTAACCATATTCAGCTCCGTCTATTCTCTCTGGAGACATATATGCAGTTGTTCCTCTTTAAGATAATAGTTTTTAATCAGTTTACTCTAACTCTTTTGTGACTCCAAAATCTGTTAATTTTACTTGACCTTATCTGTTAACCAAGATATTAGCTGGCTTTATATCTCTATGCACTTGTTTGTAAATTATATGCAAGTGCATCAATCCACATAAAATCTATTATAAAATTAAATTCTAGAAAATTTTTAAAATTAAAAAAATTACTTGCTAACAAATACGAGCTAAGATTGGCTCAGTCATTATTGTTATATGTTATTTTTATAAAATTTATATTTTTTTTATCACATCTTTTATTGAACCAAAATCCATTAATTCTAAAATAATTTAAACTTGTCCTTAGTTGAAAAACGCATCATACATGAATACGAAAAAATCACAGCCATTTTGTTATGCTTCTTTATTTTCTTGTAATATAATCAAATCATTCTCAATTTGTCTTCTTTTATTCTGATCATAAACTGTTATTTTCTATATTTAGTTTAATTGTTGATAATTAGAATCTGTCATCTCTATTTTATTTTACTTTTATTGCTACTTTCACATTAAGTGGAACAATTATTCCTTCTTCAACAGCGCTTGCAGCACCTTCTCCAATCCTTTTCCCAGAATTTTGTATATCGCTTAATTTAAGATTGTAAAACTAATATGGTTGCTCATTTTTTTTGTTAGTACTCAATCTCTCAATTCCATTGCTTGTAACTCTAATGGCAGACCTATTAAAATGCATGTATTCTTTATCAATCTTTGAATTTTAACTTTGTTCAAGCTGATCAATAACAGCTATTTCTAATGGTTTCTTTCTACCTTTTTTCATTTTATCTACAAGAATCTAAAAAACTCGCTCTTATTTTAAATTAAACTAAAAATTTAATGATATTTTATTTATTTGAAGTAAAATTTTGAAATAAATTGTTCTAAGATTTTGAATAAATTCTAGGAGCATTTAAACTTTTTCAATATTGAAATCTATTTATAAATAAATCAAATAAGTTTTGTTAAAAAATATTTTGTGTAAAAAACCGACTTAAATTTAGCAATTTTTAGGGCAGTATTTGAAAAATGTAGGAGGAAAGACAAAAAAGAGATCAAGTAAAGCATTTAGAAAAGGAATTCACTGAAAAAACTTAGTTTATGATCTAGGATATTTTTTCAAAGTTGATTTTTGAACATCATCGTAATAATATTAAAAAGATAGCTGAGTGTTTCAAAACTAATAGAAATGATTTACAAAAAGCTCATGAATGCTCCGAGCAACATGAAATAAGCTAATAAAGACTAGAAAAAAGAATATATGATTTCATTTAAAACCATCAAGAAGGAATTACAAATTGTACTTCACTATGTACTACTAATATTTATACTCCAGTTTCAGAATGTTATTAATAATGTTTCCAACAGTTCATAGAATATTCTAATATTCACATACAATAAGCAAGTCAATTTATACAAACTGAACTAGGTTAATAATGAGAAATATAATAACTAAAAAATTCAATGTATTCCTATTCAGAATCTTAATTATAATTAGTAAAAAATACACATTTTTTGGTAGTTTAAACTTGTTTTAATTCATTCATTCATAAAAAAATATTAAAAAAAAGGTTTCTGAATTAAGAATCGTAAAATCAATATATTATTTATTTAGGGTTAAATTTATGAAAACATTTATTTTAATTTGTTACTCTAAATATATACAATAAGATGATACTAATTAATATAAAATAGATTTGATATTTATTACTGATGTAATTGAATTCTTAGTTTTTATTTTTGTAAATTACTCATTTTTCATTTTTATTTTATTCTGAAGAAGAGATTTAAAATTGTTTTTTCTAATAGTTTTTATTTAATATTTTCATTGAAATATATTTTTTTTAATTGTTAAAAATCATTTTGCTATTTATTTGTTATTTATTTTGTAAATTTGTTAAAGGAGTTTTTATTTATTTTTTAAATATTTATATTTTTATTAATTAAGTTATTTAATAGAAACCTTCACTCACTCATTCATCCATTAATTAATTCCTTTTTTCTGCTGATTTTGTATAATTCTTTTATAATTATTAATTTTAATCATTTCTATAAAAAGAAATGTAAGCTATAAAATATAAGTCATTGTTACTTTTATCTATTTGTCTATTTGTAATAACAAAATTTTATGATCAAGTAAATCTAACTAAATTCACTTTTCGTTTATTAAAATTGACAATTTTCAGATTTTGCTTTATGCTTACAGGTTTCTTCAAGAGATAATTAACTCTCTCTTAATGTTTGATACTTATCCATAGTTTTTAGGAGTGAATTGCTTTTGATAGAGGTAAGTTCCCTATTTATTAGCCTTGCTAATTAAGTCTTTCGTTGCTTAAGGGACAACGTAGAGCTCATACTTTAAAGGATTATGCTCTTACAGATAGAGCTCTTTTGCAGTGTAAGTAGTTATCTTGATTTCATTCATGTTTAAGTATTTCCTCTTTCTATTTAAAAAATTTACATTTGTGGTGTAAGATGAGGGATTATCAAGTGAGAAACTGGTTCCACGAGAAGACTCTTGCAAAGTAGTTGAAGAATTTAATTAACTTCTGTTCGAAAGCTATGAATTTTATTTATCTATAAAGGAATTGTTAATTTTATTTCTAAGTTCGTTTTAGTCATATTCGTTCTCATAATCCTCTTCACCTTAGATATTTATAATTTCTGATTCGCTGATAGCAGAGTGACAAAAGTTAAATATTTGATCATTGTTTTCCATTTAAATTCTATTTTTATTATTGTAGTTACTGTTGCTAATCAATCTGCTGTTATTTGTTGCGCTTCTTTATCTCTGATTCAACTTTAAACCGTTTATTTGCAATATCTTCTCCTAATTTCTATTTAGATCAACTTCTGTATTTTTACGAGAATGGAAAGCAGTTCTTGTCGAAGGAGTTCCCAAAATAGAGGTTTTACTCCCACTTGTTGTCCTTATTCTCGAATCTAAAATTCTAGTAGAAACAGATGAATTAGTGTTATTTTAAGAAAATTTAACTCTTTCGTCAAATTTAGCCTTGGAAGACAGATGTAACTGAGGAGGTCTCTCTAATTTAATTTAGTTTTCATAAAGCGATTAATTTTAATTTACATTAGGGTCTCCCTCGATTGAATAGTAATTACTAGGAGATGAAATAATATCTTCATTATTTATTCTCAAACTCTTATTTTGAGATGAAAAATGTAAATAATTATTATTGCCCTCATATTTAATTGTCTAACTTAAATTTTATTTTTCTTAGATGTCTTGTGTTTATCTGATTTTAATACTGTATTAAGTACCACTTTTTTTGTATTTTTTACTATTTTTCTTTGGTGTATTAGCTGCAGTAGCTGCATTGAACATGCAAATCTTATCTGAAGTTTAATCTTTCTTTTAATTCTTTTTAGTGCTTAAGCTTCTTCTATAATTGGATTTCCTTTACTATTCTAAAATCTCCTGAATTAAGGCTCTTTCTTTTTATTCAAGATTCTTCTCCTACTACCTTTATATTCTAGATTTAAGCTCATCATATACATCCTTTATCTTTTTAATCCCTTAAATGTACTCGTTTGGGTTTTCTGCAGATTACGAAAACAAAAACCAATTCTTTTCAATAAACTTAACAGTTTTTTCATCATTGACAAGATCATTTTTAAGGTCTTGTAAAAAGTTAGGCTTCCTAAACATTTTTTCTTTTTTATTCTTTTATTCTTATAAAAGAGTAGGATCAAAAGAATATATGCTTTTCTTTTTATCTGCAAAATATGAGACTAGCTATTGATTTTTTATTTGCAAAATTTTCTATTTTCTAATTAGACGCTATTTCATTTCTTCTTTTTCTTCTTAAGATATTTATTTCTTAGGATTCTTCTAAAAATAAGGCATGCTGTGCATGTTATTACCACTGTTTTCTTACTTTTCTGTATCTTAATTTGAATTAGATTAAATTGGTAAGCAATTTTATCGCACTTAAAGATTATATTCGAGCAAATCTATTTTTTAATCTAATAAATCTTACTTGCACATATGTGCAATATCTGTGTACTTGTTTACATCTACAAATTTGGATGGGTCAACTGCCTTTGGGTCAGATTCTAGTTAGCTTTTTGAAATATATGTGCCAGCTGATTATGATAGATTACAAATATTCCAATTAGAATTTGCATTTAAAAATTCTTAAATATTCTCCTCTGTCTTGATATTTTCACTATTATCAGTAAGTATTTTTATGTTCGATGAAATTAAATTGGAAGGAACAGCTTTTTTTTTGACTCCAAGGACTGTTATTTTAACAGGATTCATTTAATGACACACAAATATTAAAAAAATAGCTTTTTAAAACTTGTAAATATAATTTATTTTGTATTTTTTGTATTTGCTTTTAGTTTATTTATTGTAATGATTTTTATGAGATTTATGGCTACTTTTTTGCTTATTATTAATTGAAATCAGGAACTCTAGGAGAATACTTAAATCTTTGTGTTTTCTAAATTTTTATATTATCCACTAAAATATCTTTATTATTGTTATTCCTTAATCACATATTCATATTCAAATAATCAATAAACATTAAAAATAATTTAAAAGTAAACTTTTATAATGATTTTCAATTGCTACCTATCGTCACTTCACATTATTCCTCTTAAAAAATAATTCTTATCCACTAATTAAATATTTTGTAAATAAATTACTTATTTTCTTTAATTAATTTAGATTTCTATGGTTATTTATTTATTTTAGTTTTCCTTAAAATGAATAATTATTATTTAAAATATTTAAACCAAAAGTAATTAATAATCCATTAAAAAATGTATTTCTATTACTTTATATTTCCTAAATAATTATAAATCTCATATACTTTTGTAATATTTAAATAAAATAAAATTGAACACACATCTAATAATCTAATATCATCTTTTGTAAATAAATAAATACCATAATAAAAAGACTCAAATTTATTTATTTATTTTATTCATTTAAGAAATTTTAAATAAAATAATACTTTTTTTAATTAATTAAAAATATAATTTTTATGATAAAATGACAACAAGACAACTAAATAAATCTATTAAATTAAAAACTGCCCTAAATAAACATAAAAAAAAGAATATATAACATGAGAATAATTAATTGCCTCTAATAAATAGAAGGAGTAAAATTTGAAAATTTTTATATTTTATTTTAATTTAAAAATCTATTTTAAAAAAATTGAACTAAGTATTAATAAATAAATTAAAAAAAAAAGAATATTTTTCAAAATTCGATTAATTTTTTATTTTTTTATTTCATTATTTCTATTCATTTAATAGTAAAAATGTTTTGCTTATTAGTTTGAGAAAAATTATTAACTTTTCAGAAATAAAAATATTTTTTATTTTTTTTGACAATAACCTTAATAACCTCTTACAACAACTACATTTTTTAATTTTATTAAATTCGGAGAGATATAATTCAAAATAAATATAACACTGTAAATCATAGTTTTATTTTGTATTTATGTTGTAAAATATAAATTTATCAAAAAATATCAATTATCTTTTGAAAAAAGTTGAAAGATTTTAAAAAAAAAACAAGAATGTAAAAAAAACCCATGAAATAAAATATTACTATTCAGGTGCAGCTAATTTTATAATTTAGATAAACAAAAAAACATAAATTTAATACTGAATTTTTCACTTCAAATCTTTGTGCAAATAACAATAAACACAAAAATATTAGAAAATTAATTTCTTATTGAGTATCTTTGTAAATAAAAATATCATAACTAATTTTTTAAATTTTCAAAAATAAAAAATTTAATTCATTTAACCAAATATGATAAAACAAGCAGAAAAGTAGAAAAATTTTTTATAATTTTGTTACCGTAGAGTGAAAAAAATGTATAAATATTTTAACTATTACAGAAAAAATATTTTCTACAGCAAAAATTTTATATTATAAATAATATTTATAATGATATCTTACTTGATTATATTTAATTTTTAAGGTTAAACACTAAATTTTGTGTGATCATTATACTTTTTATTAGAAATATATCATAGTATATTAGCTAAACTATAATAAAAAATCAAAATTTACAAATTTAAATAGAATTAAGTAAAATATGAATGAATTCTTCTATTAAATTAGATTGATATAAAAATAATTACTCTCTTAAATTTGAATGATATAAAAATAAATTAGTACTTTATTTTTTAATAAAAATATATATTATTAGAACTTTTTTGATCTTTTTCTAGAACATAGATTAATTAGTTAATTACTAGAATCTAAAGTTAGTAATATAAATAAATATTAAGTAAAACTTGATTATTCACATTCACAATTTGCTAAATAAATTCAATAAATTTTCTAATTATTAATTAGTTAATATTATTTTTAGCAAAAATAAACAAATTTAACTATTAAATTATGATTGATTACTTTAATTGTACTCAGATTATTATCTAGAAAATCTTTTTTCTAATAAATTCTATCTATTTACTGGGATTAGTAATTCCTTTAATTCCTCAAAAATATAAATACTTTATAATAAATTTTATCTAATAAATGATGATAATTTTATTTTTTTTATAAAAATTTATTTTAAAAAGTTATATCGCTTTAATTTTAATAAAATGAGGTGATATTTATTTATTTTATGTGTATTGTTTTAGAATGAATTAGTTAGTTTTCTAAATTAAGTAAATTTACTTAATATATCGAATGTTAGCGATTTTTATTATTTTTTTATACTAATTAAATCTGATTATTTACTTCTTTTTTTAAAATGATACAAATATAATATCCTATAACTAATCAGTTGCCATATTTAAAAGAATTAGCTCTGATTAAAAAATCCTATAAATATTTAATTATTAAAATATTAAAATCAAGATAGAGACTCAGAATTATGAATAAAATATTAATATCCTCAATAATTTGTAGATTTTTCATTTATTATTTTTAAATTTCATTTATATTAAGCTTTATTTAAATTTTTTATCAGGTTTTTCTTTTTCAGTAATTGCTCAGGCTTGTACCTAGTTTTTAAATAAGGCAGAAGCAACTTTGATCATTCCTTTGGGATAAACATGCTTGCTAGAAGACAGTTCAATTAATAATCTAGTTTTGAATAGAATTATAATCGAAGGAACACTTTCAATTTAAGATAATCTATCTTTAAAAATAAAGTACAAAGATCTTACTTTAGGTTAAAAAGGTTCTTTAGAAATAGGAAAAGATGCAACTATAATAAATAATTTAATTATTTTTGAAGATGTAAGTACTTCATAGTGCTAAGAACCAACTAACACTCAAAGCGTTGGAAAAATCAATATTCAATCAAGGTATATTGAGACCTACAGCTTGGGTGATATTTATAAATCATAAAATCTTATCAAGATGTAAAGCAAGCCGGTAAATATTCTTACCAAACAAAATTACATTTTAGTTGACAGTCTATCTTCTGCGGAATCAAATTAATTAATAAACATATAAGAAGTTTAAGAATAAAATTTAATTCTTAAAGAATCAATTCTAAAAGATAACCTAGTTGTTAAAATTAATGATGATCAAACTATAAATCCAATTCTATTTAGCGATGTTCCTACTTTATCTGGAGTTATATTCAAAAAGTAATTTTTTACATTAAATAGAAATAAATCAGATTTAATATAAACAAATTTTATCAAAATTCTAATATCCTTCTATCAATCATATTAAAATATCAATTATCAAACCAAATTTCTTCAAAAATTTTTTGTTAATTATCAAAATAAAGATTTTTTAATTTTTATTTGATTTTATTAATTAAAATTTTTTGTTCTATTAAAATAGCACTTGCTTAGTTGGTAATATAGATAAGTTCTAAGGAGTGACATTAATTAATCCTAGAGGTCTATATTTAAAGGGTGGATTAATTCAAAGCTCATTGATAAAAGTAGAAAGCTAAGATTAAAAAGTTAGTAGAATTATTAAATCAGAAGGAGGATTTCAAAAAAATATCTTTTTTAAGTGCTCATAATTGAACCTCCAAATAGGTAGCTCAGATGAAAATTCATTTATTGATAACTCATTAGTTAATTCAGATAATATTTAAATAAATGTTAAAAGCGTCTATTTCAGCAATAATTAATTCATTAAAAGCAAGGTTGTTATTAATTCTTTGGATTAGAAAAATATTAATCTTAATCAATTTAAATCTTATAATTCAGAACTATCGATTAATAGCTAAACTGATTCTACAATAAGATTTAACAAAGGTTTGATTTATAGAAATAAAATATTTACAGTTTCTAATGATATGAAACATTTTTAACTTGATTAAACCATCTTTTTTGCTACCCCTATTGATTTAAGCAAAGCAATAGTTAGCACTAAATTCTATATTTCATATTGCTTATTTGATGGAAATAATGAAGTTGATCATTTAGCTATATTTAACAGTAACTCAAAATAATAAAATATTAATATAGAAAATTCTGTTGCAGTGAAATATAATAGTTTTTTATTCACAACCTCTGATAAATTAAAATAGCCTTAGGTTAAATATTTCTCAAGGTTAACATCTGAAAATCTATTTACTATTTATTTGAGTTCATTTAAAGTAAATATTAAGGTCAAAGATTATCTACCTTTGTTTAATTTACCTATGATGAGTATTGTAAAAGATGGATCAGAAGAATACAACATAGTATAAATTGATGATGTGAATATAAACAATGAAAACATTATGTTATCCTAAATTAAATGGGCACCTGTTCAAACTTATTAGACAAGATCATTACCAACTTACTTTTAATTAAAAGATATCATTACAACTGACAGTAATAGTAATATAAAGGCATAAATTTCATTTAACAATCAGCCTAAATAAGAATTAAATTTGAACTAGTTTACTTAATTGATTGGTTAATAATCTAAGAACATTGATTTTACTGATAGTAATGGTCAAATTTTGGATCCTTCAGAACTCACAATTGAATTTAATGCTTAAAAAGGAAGTCAAAGTGATATCTACTAAAACGCTCTTATTTTTACATCCACAAAAAGAGCAATAAAAAAAATAACTGTCGTATAACTGAAGGACTCAAAAGAATAATAAGTCAAAATCATCACTAAATTAGATGGTTATTATTCGTATAGTAGTAACATTGTTACTTCGTTGTGGAGTTAAAGTCTTAATTAATTTTCTTTTACATGGAAAAAAATGGCAATTGGCTTTTCTGTTTACAAAGTCAAATTTGAGTATTGTGAAGAAAACGAATTATTTGATGGTAACAAATGCGTTGCTTAATGCAATACTTCAAAGTCTGGATTTTTCTGTTCAGATGAATGCAGTGAAGGATATTATAAAGATAGTAACAACCCTAGTACTTGCTTAAAATGCCCTTTTGGATGTAAATAATGTATAGATAGTAACACATGTACTAAATGCCATGAATTCTATCTTTAAGATGGACAGAAATGCATTGATAATTGCGGAATTAACTCATTTTAGAAAAATAATTAATGCTAAAAATGCACAGAAGGCTGTGGTCTTTGCTCATCAAACGACTATTGTATTGTCTGCCAAGATTATTATTCAATGGATGATGATGATGGAAAATGTGAAAAATGTAAAGAAAACCAAGATGAAAATTGTGATAATTGTCCTTAAAATTGTAAATAATGTGTTTATAATAGTAAATATTCTTGTTTAGAATGTGAAGATGGTTATGAGCTTGTGTTTGGTTAATGTAAAAAGATAAATACTTAAGACTCTTCAAAAATTTGTGAAAATGGATAGAGTTTTATAGATGGTTCATGCTAATAGTGCTTCTAAGGATGCTTAACATGCTCTTCACCTAATAATTCTAACAGATGTGATAGCTGTATCAGTTCTTACAAGCTAGACTATTTTGGTTATTCTTGCAAAAAGTGTAGAGGAGGAGAATACTCAGTTTAGAGAGATGTATGCTAATAATGTAATCAATTATGTGACAAAGAGTTTTCATGTTATGGTCCTTCTGCATTTTAATGTTAAAAGTGCTAGGCTGGATACTTCAAAGATTTACAAACCAACAAATGTTTAGCATGTGATTTGAGTCAATGCAAAGAGTGTTCAGAATCTCCAACACAATGTACAGATTGTCCTGAAGACAAGGTTTTATATGAGAAAAAATGCTTAGATAAATGTCCAAGCGGGTGGTATCCTGATGAGAAGAGAGTTTGTAGATAATGTAACTAGGACCTATGTTAGGAATGCTCTAATTCTCCTACTTAATGCACAGAATGCAAGAAAGATTAAGTCTTATTTGAAGAAAAGTGTTATAAAGACTGCAAACCAGGGTACTTTGCCGATATATAAAATGTATGTAGAAAATGTGATATGAATAAATGCGAGGAATGTATTTAATATGATACTAAGTGCACTAAATGCAAAGGAAATTTATACCTTGTTAATCATAGCTGCGAAGATTCATGCCCAGATAAAGGTTATTATTTTGATAAAAATAATAAATGTTTACCCTGCCATGAAGATTGTGAGAAGTGTTCAGGTTCTCCAACCAATTGCACTGATTGTGAATACCCTATGTATTTGGAGAATAATAAATGTCTTTAAGAATGTCCAGAAGGTAAATATGGTGCTTATGTTTAGAGTATCAGTATGTGCTTATAATGTGATAAATAAAAATGTCAAACTTGTATTGACAATAAATCTAAATGTACTTCATGCCATGATGGATATTTCTTGCATAAAAATTAATGTTTGAGTGATTGCCCCAAAGGAACCATTAAGAATCTAGTAACTCAGAACTGCTTAGTCTGCCTATAACCAAATTGTGCTGTCTGTGGAGATAATGTTGGTGTCTGTATTTAATGCCGTGAAGGGTTTATACAACATTAAGGCATATGTATAGTAGATTGTCCTTTCGGTTATTTCTTAAATAAAAGCGAAAAAAAATGCTAAGAATGCGATAAGAGAGTATGCATGGAGTGTTCTGAATCACCTACTGTTTGCACTAAATGTTACCCAGAGCACTACAATGTTGGAAACGGTGTTTGCTCTACATCATGCCCTAAAATGTCTTATCCATTCCAATAAGGAGATTAACAGGTATGCATGCCATGTGACCCAAAATGCACTAAAGGTTGCGTTGGTCCTTTGGATTCTGAATGCTTAGAAGGTAAAATTTATTTATTTCAATCTTAAAAAATATAATTTAAAATTAAATTAAAAATAGCTGTTTATATCACATAAGAAGCAAATAACTAAGCAATTTTAATTGGTTTACTTGTAGTATGCTTTATTTTATTGATAGGATTAGTTATCGTTGCTTATATGTATTATAGAAAGAAACAGTAAGCTATGCCAATCAAGTCTTACTTACTAAAGAGGGAAAGCTAATCTGATATTGGAACTATAATTTAAATGGAAAAAACAGAAAGTTTAAAAAGAGTCTGACTGAAAATATTCAAAAAATTATTTATTAAAAAAAATTTAATTAATTTTAATGCTTAAAAGTTTTTTCTATATTATTTATTAGTTTGAGAAATTATTTCCTAATAAATTAGCAACATTTTTATTTTATATTTTAATGGGTTGATTCTGAAGTAATAAAGCTCTTTTTTGTTTAGCTTTTCTTATTAAATAATAAAGAAATATATGAATTATATCAAAAATAACTGATATTTAATATGATTTTTTAATACATTTTTAATATAAAAAGTTAATTTAGTTCGAATTAAATATTGCAATTCATTACACCCTAGAATCCTTTAATCATCAAAAAAATTATTTTTTTCTAATAAATCTTGAATAGAAGTTTAAAAACAATAGTGAATTTATTAGATAACTACCAATATAAATAATCAAATTTCTATCAAAAACGTACTCTGATTAGAAAAATTCAAAGAATTAATACTTACTATGAAACTTATATAAATTGGGCAACATGAGATCAATAATTTAGCCCAAATATACATTGATGGATTTTAGATGAAAAAATTAGATTTAGGATTATAGCTTGTGCCCACTTTAACAGGCGCTAAGTTTATTAAACTGGTTTTCTTCAGAAAAAGATATTATTATTTTTCTGAAAAACTAAAACCATCTTTTTTGTATTATATATAGAGTGTATTAATAATCACTTGTAGAGCGAGAATATTTCAATAGTCATTGAATATATTTTAAGTTAAATTTTATGAATTATGAAATTTTTATGATATTAAAATCATATTTAATTAATTATTTTTTGGATTAATTCATTACAAAAAATTTATAAATAAAATTAAATATTTTATTTTTTGAAAACAAATGAAAACTAATTTGTAATTAATCACTTTGATTCTAATATATAGTTTAATAAAATCTATTTATTAATTTATGAAAAATTCTAAATTTTTAAATTAATTTAGCTAAACACTATATATAAGTATCACTTTTTTGTATTATTTTTATCAAATTAATTTTAATAAAAGATTATTAAAAAAAAATTGGAAAAGGAAAAAAGAGTTAAAAAGATAAATGATTGAGTCAGAGGCTAAAGAATGTTTAGATATTAAAGAAGAGTAATAGTTTAATATCTAAAATAAATGTTTAACCCATCCTGGCAAAGAGTTTCTTTTGTTAAGAACTGATGATGATGAATAAGATTAATAAGTACTTAAATGTATTAAATGCTTAGATCAATAGAAATTTGGAAGCTCAATTCTTCTTGAAGAATTACTTGAAAGCAAGTATGAAACCATATTTAAGGATTGGCCAGTTTTTGATGATGATTCGATTTATGAACAACTTATGAAATTATCCTAAAATCCATCTCAGTTAAAAGAAAATTAACTAAAAGTTTAAACATTTTTCAAGGATTTGAAATCCTAATTAATATTTCAAATAGAAGAAAAAGAAGTTAAAATTCTTGATAACATTGAAAAAATCTAAAATGTTTATGAGCAGCCTTTGAAAGACTATAATGAAATCTCTTAAAAGGAAAAGCTGAAATAAATTCTAAAGACTCAATACAATGACTAAGAATAGTAAAACTAGGCATTAAAAGACTTAGTAAAAGAAAGTAAGCTAAATAGAGAAACAAACTACAAAAAACTTAAAGATTCACTTGATAAATCTCTCAAATGTGCTATTGATTTAAGTAATCATTAAAAAATAATGAACCTTATTTTGACTTTGATAGAGAGATTTAATGTTTTTGAGTTAATTGATAATAACTAAAATGGAGAAAACAATGATACTGAAATTTAGTTAAATAGATTAAGTAAATTTAACTAAAATATATTTATTTATATTTTATTGATTTATTTATTCATTAATTTAGTTTCTAGCTAAATACAAATCAGCAAATTAGAAGATCTTCCACAATGTCTACATCATAAAATGATATAAATCGATTTTAAGTAAATCTAAATAAATTTTTTATCTTAAAATCATTAAAAATTTTAGTTTATTCTTGTGTTTCTAATCGCGAATAAGTCAAAATAATAAATAAATATTGAAATAATTAATTAAATTATTATGATAAAGGAAGTTAAAAAAAATCAAAAGAATATTTTGATCACTTTTCTTAAATCTCTATTTTTTATTTTAATATTTGATCAAATATTTTTAGCAACTGTTCAATCGGAGATGATGGCTGCTTTGAAATTGCTAAAAATTTCAAAAGTTTTTATGGTGTAACTCATTTGGCTCTTAATTTGAAGTATTTTTTGAATTTTAATTATTTATTTTTAATAACTACCTTATATTCAATCACTTAAATTATAATTTAGAAACAATTAGTTAGGAAGTGTAGGACTAAAAGCAATAATTGATAGTCTTAAAAACTTTAAAGATATTATTTCTCTTACTTTAAACTTCGAGTAAAATTAATTTATTTTGAATTCTTAATTAATCAGTAAAAAAAATTTAGTTATTCAAAATTTTATGATTTGCAATTCAAGAAATTTTTAATTTTTATAATGAGAAAGATTATTATTTAATTTTAATAAAAAATATTATTTTCAAATAATTATTAGAGGAAATTAATTGAGTATCCCAAATCTTAAGAATTTAACAGAGTCTCTATCGGATTATAAAAATTGTACTGACTTCAATCTCAATTTAAGGTAAAATATTTTTCATTAGATTTTAAAATGAACTTTTTATTTATTAATACAATTTGAAAAGATAGCTTTTTTAATAATTTAACTTATTTAAATATATTATAAATTAAAAAAGTAAGAGTAATATTGAATTTTTTGGATCTGAGCACATATCAACAATTTTAAAGAATTTCAAAAAACTATAAAACCTGCATCTTGATCTAAGGTAATCATTTTTACTAGATTTTAAGTTAAAAATATTTGCTTTTTACATTAATTATTTTGAAGATCATTATTTTAATCATTTTGTAATAAAAAATATTAGTAACAATAAAATCTGTGATAAAGCTTTGTCTTATATAGCTAGTGGGTTGTCTGAATGTGAATCAATCAAAATTTTAAATTTAGATTTATCGTAATAATTTAAAATAAATCATTTTAAACAAAGGCTTAACTAAATATATTGCATTAAGATTTATATTTTAAATAAATTTAAAATATTTGTTAGACATTAAAAGTTTTGCCTAAAATAATAAATTTTAAATAAAAATATTTAATTTTAATCAAATATTTTTTTTAAAAAGGAGCAACATGTTTGGTTTAGAAGGAATAGCATAGGTTTCGGAATGTTTGGAGGTCCTTAAAGATCTAGTTAATGTAGAAGTCAAATTAAGGTTGTTATTATTATATCATTTCATATTTGATTTTTTTAAATAAAATTTTAATTTTATCGTTTTTTGTAAATAAACTTTTTAAATTATAATTTTTTTAAATAAAATAAATAATTGTTTCTTAAAATAAATATTCTAATTGTTACTATAAAATTTTAGACAAAATTAATTTAATGATGATTAAGCCAATACTATTGCAAAATCTATTGAAAAGAATCTTAACATAATTTAATTGAGATTGGATTTAAGGTAATTCAATATTATTGAAAAAAAAGCTCTTAATTGCTTTAAATTAAATAGTAATTTGTTCAATTATTACTCTTTACTTTTAATAGGTCTAATTCAATTTATAGTGAAGGAGTTGCTTATATAGCGAAAGCTATTGAAAAATATAAAAACTTAATTGATTTAAATCTTGATTTTTGGTAATATTTTATTAATTAATTGTCAATTTAAAAAATAAGTATTAGTTTCTTATTTGTTTTACTTAAAATGTATTATAATTTGCTAGCGAAAACAATATTGGCCTTGATGGGGCAATAGAAATTGGGAATGCTCTACAAAAATAAAAAAATATTTCTAAGTTGGGTCTATTTTTTAAGTAATTTTATTTTGAATTTGAATTAATTGGAATTATTTATTTTAATTTATTTAACATTTGAAATAGCTAAACTTAAATTGGAATGAATGGAGTTAAAAAAATTGTTGGTGAAATTTAAGATTATAAACACATAACTGATTTATCTCTTGATTTTGGGTAATTTTCAAGAATATGTTATTAACTTTTATTTTAAGAGTAATTTTTCCCTACCTTTAATATAATATTGTTTAAATTATAATAGAAACAATTCTATTGGTGTTGAAGGTGCTTATTGTATATCAAATACTTTACAAGAATATAAGAATTTAACCAAATTGAGGTTATATTTAAAGTAATTAGTTTTAAATTTTTTAAATATCATTGTTAATTATTTAATTCAAAATATTTTATTAGGAAAAACTAAATTGGGGTAAATGGAGTGAATAGTCTTGCAAATGCTATTTAGGATTATCAGAATTTAACTCATTTGACTCTCTTTTTGAGGTATTTTTATCTTTTTTTACTGTGAATTCTTTAATAATAAAAATTTATTTACTATTTAGCAGTTTAAATTACAATTTTTGCTTATTTTATAATTAATTTGTTAAAATATCTTACTTATTTTTAGGAAAAATTAAATTGGGATAGATGGGACTAAGAGCATTTCTAAAGCTATTGAAAAATATGAAAACATTTAAGAATTATCTTTAGATTTAAGGTGATTTTAACTATTATTATATTTATTTTTTGGGTGTTGTTTTTAAGTTAGTTTTTTTAGAAGTGAATTTTCTTACTCATTTTTATTAGTTTCTTCAAGATTTACTCATTTCAAATATACAATTAGTGATAATTAGATCGGTGATGAAGGAACTATAATATTATCTACTGCTTTAGCTAAAAATTAAAATATCTCCTACTTATTGATTAACTTCTCGTAAAATTAAAAATTTTAACATAGTTTTATATAAAAACAACATTTTAAATTTTAAATTAATCTTAACAATATTAATAAATAATTATTCAGGTAAAACTAAATTACTTAAGATGGAGCTAATGCACTTGCGACTTCATTAGAGAATTTATTAAAAATTTCTAAATTAAAGCTAATATTAAAGTAATTTTTAAAAATCATTTTAAGAATTTTGTTATTTTAAACTAAATTAATTAGTAAAATTTCATTTGAAATTTAAATATTTTATTAGTGGAAATACTTTAGGATGTTAAGGATCTGTAAGCATTTCTTAGGCATTAGAAAAGCTTTAAAATATATCTAAGTTATATTTAGATTTAAGGTAAATTATTTAATATTTATTTTTAAATTAATTTTTTAATAAAAAATTCATTAAATTTAAAAATTTTAAGTGAAAATTAGGTTTATATAGGCGGTGCAATGGGCATTGCTAATGCCATACAAAATAATAAACAAATTAAATCTTTGAGTCTCTCTTTTTAGTAATTCTTTAATTTCTTAAATTAATTTTCTTGTAAATAAATATTTTAAACTTATTTTATTATTTAAAAATAAAGATAAAACTTTATCACTGGGGATGAAGCAAAGAGTGTTATAGATATTATTTCTTCTTATTAAAAAATTAAAATTTTAGAGCTTAACTTTAAGTATAACTTTTTCTTTCATTCAGTTTTATATAAATTTTAAAATTCAGTGTAAATAATAATTTTATTTTTTAATTTTAAGTAATAATTAAATTGGTTTAAGCTGTGTCTAAAGTATTGCAAGTACTCTAAATACTCATAATAGTAACTTCACTAAGTTATCTCTTTATTTAAAGTAAATATTTCTTGTTAAATCAGATTTTAGATTTTACAAAATTTATTTTATTAGGGAAAGTTAAATTGGTTAGGAGGGAGCTAAAAGTATTGCATAAGGTTTAAAAAGATGTAAATTTTTGATTTAATTGGCTCTCTAGTTAAGGTAAATTAAAACTTAATAAATTTTTATTTTAAATTTAAATTTTGCTTTAAATTAATAAACTCATCGGTTTAGTAAAAATAATATTGGACTTGAAGGAACATAAGCAATTGCTAAAGCTATTAGTAATTATCAAAATATTACATAACTGACTCTATTATTAGCGTAATTTTATATTTTTTTAATTTTTTTTAAATGATATTGTTTTGTATGATCATTTTATACTTTAATTGTAAAAAATAATTAGAGATAACTAAATAATTGGTCAAGGAGCTAAATTTATTGCTGAAGCTATAGAAAATTATTAAAATATAAAATAATTAAACCTTGATTTAAGGTAATTTTTTTAATTTTTTTATTTAATAGAATTTAATTTTAATTTTGAAAGCATAAATTAAATAGAAATTAGTGGATTTACAAGTATTTCACATTCAATACAAAAACTCCAAAAAATCTAAAAATTGTCACTTAACTTGAGGTAAATTCTTAAATTATAATTCACAGTTTATAAATATGTTCTAAAATTTAGATTATTAATTCAATAAAAATTTAATTTTAAAACTTATAATTTAATTAGCTCAAACCCTATTGACAAATATGGATGTAATACTATTTCAAAAATAATTAGAAGATGCTAGAATATTAGCAAATTAAATCTCTCATTAGGGTATCATTATAGCTTTACTTTTCCTAAATACTAACAAGTATATTTATAAACAGGTCTTGCTAGATCAACGATGCTATTTTTGATCCAATTTTGAATTGTTTAGAAAGTAAACAAAATATAAGCTCTTTAACTTTAAATCTTCCGTAATTTACTTAAATAACTTGTTTATTTTTTTATTAGTTTTTAATAAATTTTACATTCTAATATGAATGGAAAATCCAATTTTATAATTTTATTAAAAAGTTAAAATTTATCTTAACATTTCAGATCAAACAAAAATAATAAATTCTTTTTAATCATAGTTTTCTTTAATAAATTTAACAAAAATATTTAGGATAAACTAAATTAGCTTTGATGGAGTGAAAAAAATTTCTAAGTTACAAAAGATTAAATCATTAACTCAATTAAAAATCGATGTTACGTAATCTTCATATACTTTTTTTATTGATAAAATTAACATTTTTTATTTAATTTTTTCTAATTTCATATCTCTTCTAAATAAAAAATAACTTAAAAAATATTTCAACCTAATCATATTGCAATTTATTATTTTAAAATAGACAAAATTCAATTAATTAGAGCTAAAGACCTTAAATTAGATAGTTATTTTAACCTTAAGGATATTCACTTGAATTGAAAGGTAATTTTTAAATTTTACTTCAACTTAATAATATCTATTTTTAAAATTAATTATAAAGATTGAGCTACTGTTTCACTAAGAGAAATAAATCTAAAGGATAAATAAAAATAAATTCTATTTAGAAACTAATAAATAAATTTCTGCTATGTCAACTATCTAGTACTATATTTTATATATTATGTCGATCATTCATTTTATCTTTAAATAATATAAATAGCAAAAAAAATAAATATTTTATAAAATTATATTTATTCAAATTATTTTTAATTCTTTTAAAACTTATTTAAAAAATTAAGGTATTTTTAATTAAATAAAACAACTATTAAATGTATCGAAACAAAAAAAATTAAAAAATTCACAAATTATCATTTTATAAAGAAATCTTTTGTATTTCTTCTATAAATTGATGAGTTCAAATTAAACTTTTTTTAGGAATCAAAAGTATTTCACATTTGAAAAATTATTAAATAAATACTATTCAATCTAGATTATTATACTATAATTTAAAATATATAAATATAGTTTATAATAAATAATATATACATTAATAAGGTTTATAATTCATTTGATTTTTTTATGAACTTAATTTATTTACTTGTTAGTCTTAATAATAAGAATTAATTTAAAATAATCTAAAAAGTTTATTTTTATAGGTTAATTGTTCTAATTGCTTTATTTCAAAAAATTATTTTTTTGTGATTTTATTTTAACTCAATTCGCTTATTTTGGTGAAATGTTTAAACATAGGTAGGCAGGACTTGACAACTTTTTGAAACATACTGTATAAATTAACAAACAATATTTTTTAAAAGATTGATCTACTCTTATTTATTATAATTAATAGTTAAGAACATTATTTAATATCTTTTAAATAGAAGAGAAAATCACATCAATCAAATGAATCAAAATTAAGTTGATAGAAATCTTGGAATTTCAGAGATGGAAAATTAAAAAAAAAATAATTACAGCAAATGTTCTATTCATCCAAACCATGAACTCCTTTTAATGAGGTTAGATAATGAAGAGGATGAGTATGTACTTAAGTGTATCAAGTGCTTTGATTAAAAGAAATTAAAAAATTTTATTCTTCTTGAAACATTACTAGAAAGCAAAAATGAAACAATATTTAAAGGTTGGCCAATATTTGATGATGAGTTATTTTACCCAAAGCTTATTGAAATATCTTAAAAACCTTCACAATTAAAAGAAAATTAATAAAAAGTTAAAACATTTTTCAAGAATTTCTAATCTCAAGTCATCTTTGCATTAGAAGAAAAAGAAAACGAAATTTTAACTAACCTCGAGGAAGCATAAAAAGTTTATGAATAACCTTTAAATACTTATAATGAAATCTCTTAAAAAGAAAAGCTGAAATAAATTCTATAAACCGAGCATGAAGACAAAGAAAAACAAAATGAATTGCTTAAAGAGATAATATAAGAAAATAAATAAAAATATGAAATTAATTACTAAAGGATGCAAGATTCTATTGATAACTCACAAAAATATGTTATCGATTTGAATAATCACTAAAAGGTAATGAACAACGTAATTGGTTTAATTAATGAGCTTGGAGTATTCAATTCTTTGAATTTGAGCTAAAATGTTTAGGATAATGACTAGATAGAAAAATAAAATAATAAAATCAGTAAAATTAAATATAATTTTCTTTATTTTTTATAATTTAATAAAATAATATTTAACAATAGACGATCAAAATTTTATAAAAGTGAGGAAAATAGAACTTCTTCCAGTATGTCAGTATTATAAAAACATTCAAATCAGATTTAAGTAAAATTAAAACATATTTATTTTACCAAGAGATTAAATTGATAAAATAGTTGAAGAACATTTTTAAATTTTAACTTTTTGAAACACATTTTAAAATTTAAAGTAAAATATTATTGAATTAAGCTATAAAACTAATAAAAAAATTGTTAATTATTCAAACTACCCTCACTGAATATAAATATTATTTGATACTTTAAATAAATAGAAAATAATTTATCTATCTTTGAAAACATTAAATTGAAAACTAAACAAAATTTTAAAAAGGATTTATCCATTATTTATTTATAAACTAAGTTTGAATTAATGAATATTTATTTATTATATTTTTCAACTTAAAAAAAAAATTTTAAAATTAGAAAATAAATTACTATTGAAAGTTAGTTTAAATCAAATCATTATTTTAAGATAGATACTCTTACAATAAAATTAACTTTTTTATCATAATTCATTTTAGAATTTATTTCAATAACAATTGAAACTAAAAATATATTTAATTAGGAAGTTCTTTCTAGCAAATGATGATGCTTTAAAAATTTCAAGTGCTTTAATGAATTGTTAAAGAGTAACTAACTTAGAACTTAATTTTCAGTATTTTTTGTTAAAAATTTAACATATTTTTAAAATTTAATATTTTAAAATTAGAAATTCTACGGTAAGAAATATAGGACTCAAATCAATAGCCGATAGTTTAAAACATATGAGAGATATTGTTTGTCTTTATATAAACTTAGAGTAATTTAAATATTTATATATTAAATAAATGATGATCAAATATTTATTTATTAATTAAATAATAAAATAACAAATTTTAAACAATAAAAAAGTAAATAAATAAATAATTTCATTTATATTTAATCTTAATATTGATGGATAAATGTTTATTAATTAGATTTTTTAAAATAAATAGGAATACTTCTGTTTCTAATTCAAACATTAAAAATATTGCATAATCTATATCAAATTTAAAAAATCTAAAAGGTCTTAATCTTAATTTGAGGTATATTATTTATTTATTAAGTTCTTGTAATTTATTAATAAAATATTTTAATGTAAAAGCTTTAATAGGTTAGATGTGCTATGTTGTGATCATATTTCGAGGATATTTAGAAATTGCTAAAAAATATAACATTTGAATCTAAATTTATGGTAAATTTTTTTAGTTATTGATTTAAATATGTAAAATATGAAATTCATTTGAATTAAATTTGAATTATTTTATTTTACTCTAAATATTGAATTTTTGACTTTAATTAAAAATAATTTAATAGCCAGAATTAGATATGTGATTAAGGTTTGACTTTTATTGCAAATGGATTGTCTGAAAATGAATTAATAGAAGGCTTAGAATTAAACTTAAAGTATAATTTTAATTTAGGGATTAATATAATTTTGGCAAATTGTTAGAAATGGCAATATTAAAATTCTATTTTAATAATTTTTATATTTTTTTTAGAAATAATAAGTTTAGTCTGTAAGGAATTAAAGAAATTTCAGATAGTTTGAAAATATTTAAACACATGAACAAATTAAAGCTAAATTTGATGTAATGATTCATTTAAATTTATTATGATTATATTAACTCATTAAAAAAAACTAATTTTTATCTATTTATTTTTCAAATAACTTTTTATTTATATTAAATTTATACTTTCTTTTAGTTTAATAATCCAATTAAAAACTAGAAATTGTAAAATTGGTGATGATGAAGTCGGTTTAATTTCAAAAGCTATACAAACTTATGAAAATATCACTAATTTAGACCTTAACTTATCGTAATATTTACCAAATTTATAAATTATTATTTTTTATTTAATGAACAAATTTTGTTGTTTTATAAGTTAAAATTCAATTACTAGTAGTGGTGTAAAGGATATTGAAGAAGCTATAAAAAACTATAAGAAATTAGTCAAATTAGAACTTAAATTAGAGTAATTTTATATTTATAAATATTTACTTAAAATACAATTCAATTTTTATATCTATAATTGAAAAATAAATTAGATAAAACATTATTAAATGTTTAGGAGCATATTATATCGCAAGATCTATTTATTATTATGAAAATCTTTAGAGTTTAAATCTTAATTTAAGGTACCTTATTTAAAATTTATTTTATGCTATTTTGTTTAATTTTATTTTTTGATTTGATTAAAATATAATTAGTTAAACAAATACTTAATTAGATGGAGTCTATGAAATAATGAGTTCGATATAAAATTTTCAGAATTTAAGTTGCTTAACTATTGATTTTTAGTAATTTCAAGAAATATATAAAAATATTAAAGTTAAAAAATAAATTAGATATGGTTTAATTGATGAAATTGGAGCTTAAAGTATAGCTGATGCATTGTATAAATTAAACAAACTTACTAATTTAAAGCTAGGATTAAAGTAAAAATCTTTAAAATTTTTCAATTTTTGAATTAATTTTAAAAATATTTAATTAGTTTTTGTAAAATCGGTAAAAATGGAGCTAATAGCCTTGCTAATGCTATCTAAAATTTATAAAATTTAATTGAATTAAATCTTTATTTAAGGTATCTATCTATCTTTAAAATATTACTTTTTCTAAATTTACTTAAAAATGGGACTTATTAATTTTTATTATTTTTTGTTTAATCAATAAGCTCAAATAATTTAGGAGTTGAAGGAACAAATAATATTTTAAAGGCAATAGAAAAACAAAGAGGTCTTAAATATTTGATTCTCAATTTATGGTAATAAATATCTAATTTGTTATTAAAAAATTGAGAGGAAAAAAATTTAAATTAAATTTTATATAATTGATATTTACATTAAAAAATCATATTTATAATAGTTAAAACTAAATTGATGATTCTGCAGCCATGATTATATCTACCATTTTAGAAAATAATGCATAACTAAAAACAATAAAAATTTATCTTAAGTAATATTTTTTAATTTTCTTTATTATAATTGAAAAATATATTTTATTTATTAAAATTTTATATATAAATAAAAGCAATAATTATGTTATTAGTTCATTAGGAGCATCAGCCATAGCTAATTCAATAGAAAAATTATAAAATGTTTCAAAAATATAATTATAAATTTAGTAATTTTTTTTAATTAAAATTATTAAGCTTTAATTTATTTATTTTAAAATTTTAATTATTTAATTTTATTATCTACAAAAGAAAAAATCAAATAGGATTAGATGCAGCTAAAAGTATTGCAATGGCATTAGAAAAATAATAAAATATTTCTGAATTGCATCTAAATTTAATGTATATAATTTATTATTTTTTTATTATTTAGCTTTTTGATATTTTTTCAAAATAATAAAAGGTATACTTAAGTATAATAAGGAGGAAATCAGATTATTTATAAATCTATAATGAATATTAAATAAATTAAAGAACTAATCCTCTATTTAAGGTAGATATTTTTTGTTACTGTTTTTCAGTTATTTAACATTTTTTTATTTAAATTTTTGTTTTAATAGTTATGAAGATTGCGATTTAGACTCAATAAAAGCTTTATCAAATTTTTTAGAAAAATAAAAGAAAATTGATAATTTCCACACTTTAATTACGTACAACCTTTTAAATTTATTTGATTAAACTCATTTAAAAATAATTAAAAATTTTTAAGCTATTTCTTCATTTTTTTTCTAATGATTTTTATCTCTTAAAGCTAAAAATAAATTGGTTTAAATGAAATTAAAATGATTACAAATTCCATAAGTTAGTATAACCTTACTAATCTACATCTAGGTTTTAGGTAAAATTGATCAATTTTATCATTTAATAGTTTTTTAATATTTTTTATTTAAAATGAAATATTTAACAGCCAAAATACAATTAGTTATGAAGGAGCTAAATGTATTTCATAAGTTATTTAAAATTTCTAAAGTCTTACTACTTTAAGTCTTCGTTTAGCGTATTTATTACTTTTAATTTGTTATTAATAAAATTATTATTAGTTTACTTTACCCTACTTATTATTTGGAAAATTTTATAAGAAAAAACTTGATTTGTGACGAAGGAATCAAATATATTGCATAAGCAATAAAAAACTTCAAACATATGATTGAATTCCGTCTTTATGCAGAGTAATCTTAATTACTGAACCATTAATATTTTAAGATTTTTCTTGTAATAATTAAAAGAAATAATTATATTAAAACTGCTGGATTAATAAGTATTGTACACGCTATGGAAGGATACTAAAATGTTTAATCTCTTACTCTTTAATTTGAGTATATTTTAAAATTGATTAATTAATTAAATAAATAAATTTTTATGTTTTTTAGTTAAAATTTGATAGAAGATAATGGACTGATGAGCCTTTCTGATTTAATTTAAAAATAAGAAAACTTGATCAATCTAACTCTTAGCTTCGAGTAAATTTGAAAATAATTTCATTTTTACCATTTAAAAAATAGTTTTTGTTTATTAATTTGTGAAAATGTTTTGGATATTTCTAAATTTATCATATTTATATAATAGATAGAATCAAATTTAAAAGGATGGAATTAAATATATTGCACAAAGCATTAAAAAATGTTAAAATATTTAGAAACTAGAACTTTCTTTATAGTAAATTTATTTTAAATTAGTTTTTAAAATATAAAATATCAATTTAATTAGGGCAAATAATTGCAAGGATGATATGTTAGTTTGTTTTGCAACATCATTAGAAAATCTAAAAAAATTAAAAAAATTGACTCTAAAATTCATGTAATTTATTTTTTAGTTTATTAAAAAAACAAATAAATAATTTTTTGAAAATAGTTAATAAGCAGAATAGCTTTAATTATTGAAAAAAATTTATTATTTATAATTAGAAAATCTTATTACAATTCTTATCACTATTTATTTTTTGAAAATTTATTAGGCAAAGTTATATTACTTCGAAAGGATTTAAAATTTTTTGCAATTTTGTCAAAAATATGCAAAGTATTTATGAATTTAACTTGGATTTAAAGTAATTTTCTTAATTTTTTTCTTTTCTTTATTTAAAAAAAATCATTTGATGAAAATACCTAAAAAATAATAATAAATAATGTTTATTTTTATCATTAGGTCTAGTTTGTGCATTAATTCGAACGAAAAAGAAGCTTTGAAGTAGTTTTTTTCAAAAATGTTTAGAGGATTTAGATTTTATAGTTAAAATTGTAATATTTTATTCAATATAAATACTTTTAAATATTTTATTAAACTTACAAAAATATTTTTTATTTAATAATAAGTCTGAATCAAATTGAAATAAGTTTAGATAATTAAAGAGAATTCTTTATTGTAGATCAAAAATAAATAAATAAATAAATAAATAAATAAATCAGAATATTCTAGATTTATTAGTTAATTATGTTAAAAATTATATATTTTATATTTTTATTATGAATTTAAATATTTTTAAATTTATTTCTATTTAATTAATTTTAAATATAATTATATCAACTAATTAAAATAAATTATGTATTTATAAATAATATTTTTCTTAATTAATATTAAAAAAGTTATATATTTATTAATGAACGAATAAAAAAAGCTTGCTTAAAACCTTATTAAATTTGAATTTTATAATAAAAATTGATTAAATTAATTTTTTTTATTTATTAGAAAAAAAAGTAAACAAAATTTTCATAAATTTATAAAAATGAATAGAGAACATTGAAATATCATAAAAGATCAAATTTTATAAACAAATCTTTTATAAATCTTATATAAAAAATCATATATTAAATTTTATTAAAAAATGTATTAAAAGCTTATTTAAAAATTACAAAATTTGAAATCAGAGGATCGAGTGTAAAGGTAATACGTAAGGTATTATTTTTTTTAAACATTTTAAATGCATCACATTTTTATATTCAATTTATATATTAAAAAAATAATGCATTTATATAAAGTTCATTTTATAATTATTATGAAAATGTTTGTTTTTATAATGAATTTTATTTAGAGTATGAGCAGAGTTTATTTACTACAAGCTTAATAGTTGTGGTAATATTATATTAATATAGAAAAATAATATTTAAATTTATTTATGTTTTTAAAGTCTATCTTTGTTTATAATAAAAAATATACAGCTAAAATGGTATAAAATATAATTATCAAAATATTTTACACAGTTGAATTTAATTTAATTAAATACATAATAACTTTCGTGAATTTTAATATATATTTATTTTATGCATAAGAATACTTATTTCATTTATAATTTATCTATTAGTTTAATACTATTAATTACATTTAACATGAATTAACACCAAAAAAAATTTTTTAATGAATACTGTTTAAAATTGATTTATTTATTAATATTTATTTTTAAATAAAATATTAATAGATATTAATTAAAAATTTTTTTTTAGTTGTTCAATTTTATTTTTAACTTGTATACAAAATCAATATCACCTATAATAATTATTAATAATTTATTTATATAGTATTAGGAAAATAATATAGAAAAATGAAAATTATTAATAAATAAATTAATTAATGATTTAACTTAACAGTTTAAAAAATGCTCATTTATTTTGATGCAATTAATTAGGATGTTTTTTCAATTAGTAAAAAAATAATTTTAGAAGCACAAAAATTAAACAAAAAATCAAATACTATTTATCAATTGTGAATCAATAAATTAATTTTCTAAATCCATTTGTTTTTAAGTTTAAATTTCGCAAATATAATAATTAAGACAAGTTTAATAAATTGATAATTTGTTAAATTACTTTAAATTAAGATTCAAAGATGTTATATTTTAGCATTTCTCCAAGCTCATTTTTATGTTCTTAGCCCCTTCCTCACCAAGGTTATTATCCCTATGAAAATAAGAAATTATGAATGTATTGAAAATAATGAAAATAAAATAGAAAATAGAAAAGTAATTAATAAATGAGTTAGTTAATGAATTATTTTGCTAAACAGATTAAAAAATGCTCATTTTTTTTGATGAAATTAATTGGGACATTGTTTCAATTCATAAACAAATAAATTTAGATACACAAAAATTAAACAAAAAATAAAAAAATAATATATGAGTTGTGAATCATACAATATTCTAAACCCATTTGTTTTTAAGCTAAATTTCACAAGTATTTAATTAAAACAAACTTAATAAATTGATAGTTAGTTAAATTACTCTAAAAACAGATTCAAAGATGTTATATTTTGGCACTTCTCCAAGCTGGTTCCAATATTCTTAGTTCCATTTGCACCAAGGTTATTATCCCTATTAAATAATAAATTATGAAAGGGTTGAAAAAAATGAAAATAAAATAGAAAATAATTAATTAATAAGTTAATGAATGACTTTGCTTAAAATATTAAAAAGTGTTCATTTATTTTAATGCGATTAATTGGGATATTATTTCAATTCGTAAAAAAATAAATTTAGATTCACAAAAATTATACAAAAAACAAACAAATAATATTGAATTGTGAATCAATCAATTAATTTTCCAAACCCATTTATTTATTTTAGGTTTTAATTTTCCTAAATATATTAATTAAATTACCTTAAATTTAGATTCAAAGATGTTATATTTTGGCACTTCTCTAAGTTCATTCCAATATTCTTAGCTCCATCAGCACCAATGTTATTATCCCTATGAAAATAATAAATTATGAATGTGTTTAAAATAATGAAAATAAAATAGAAAAGTAGTTAAAAAATGAGTAAATCAATGACTTTGCTAAACAAATTAAAATGCTCTCATTTATTTTGATGTAATTCATTGGGATATTATTTAAATTCGTAAATAAATAAATTGATAGTTTGTTAAATTACTATAAATCTAGATTCAAAGATTTTATATTTTTACACTTCTCCAAGCTCATTCCAATATTCTTAGCTCCATCTGCACCAAGTTTATTATACCTATGAAAATAATAGATTATGAATGTGTTGAAAAAATGAAAATAAAATAGAAATTAGAAAAGTGGATAGATGAATTATTTTTTTAAACAGATTAAAAAGTACTCATTTATTTTGATGAAATTAATTGGGAAACTGCTTCAAATTCATAAAAATATAAATTTAGATACACAAAAATTAAACAAAAAATAAAAAAATAATATGATTTGTGAATCAATCATTAAGTTACCTTAAATTTAGATTCAAAGATGTTATATTTTGGCATTTCTCCAAGCTCACTCCTATATTCTTAGCTCCATTTGCATCAAGGTTATTATACCTATGAAAATAATAAATTATGAATGTGTTTAAATAAATGAAAATAAAATAGAAAATAGAAAAATAATTAAAAAATGAGTATATGAATTATTTTGCTAAACATATTAAAAAGTGCTCATTTGTTTTGATGCAATTAATTGGAACATTGTTTAAATTCGTAAACAAATAAATTTAGATACACAAAAATTAAACAAAAAATCAAGAAAGAAGATATTAATTATGAATCAATCAATTAATTTACTAAATCTATTTGTTTTTATGTTTAAAATTTCACTAATATATTTATTAAAATAAACTAAATAAATTGATAGTTAGTTAAAATACCATAAATCCAGACTCAAAGATATTATATTTTGGCACTTCTCCAAGCTCATTCCAATTTTCTTAGCTCCCATTTCACCAAGGTTATTATACCTATGAAAATAGAAAAGTAATTAATAAATGAGGTAATGAATGACTTTGCTAAATAGATTAAAATATTATCATTTATTTGGATGCAATTATTTGGGATATTGTTTCAATTAGTAAACAAATAAATTTAAATACACAAAAATTAAATAAAAACCAAAAAAAATTTATCTATTATTATGATTGAATCGAATTAAATTTCCAAACCCATTTGTTTTTAAGCTTAAATTTCACTAATATATTAATTATCACAAACTAAATAAATTGATAGTTTGTTAAATTACTATAAATCTAGATTCAAAGATGTTATATTTTTGCACTTCTCCAGGCTCAATCCAATGTTCTTAGCTCCATCTGCACCAAGCTTATTATCCCTATGAAAATAATATATTTTGAATGTGTAGAAAAAAATCAAAATAAAATAGAAAATAGAAAAATAATTAAAAAATAAATTGATGAATTTTTTTGTTAAACAGATTAAAAAGTGCTCATTTATTTTGATGCAATTATTTGCGACTTTGTTTCAATTTATAAACAAATAAATTCATTAAATTACCTTAAATTTAGAATCAAAGATATTATATTTTGGCACTTCTCTAAGCCCATTCCAATATTCTTAGCTCCATCTGCACCAAGGTTATTACGCCTATGAAAATAATAAATTATGAATGTGTTGAAAATAATGAAAAAAAATAGAAAATAATTAATAAATGATTTAATCAATGATTTTGCTAATAAGATTAAAAATTGCTCTTTTATTTTGATGCAATTAATTGATACGTTATTTCAATTCATAAGCACATAGTTTAGATACATAAAAATAAAAAAATAATTTATCTATTGTGATTCAGCAATTAATTTTACAAACTCATTTATTTTTAAGTTTAAATTTCACAAACATATTAATTAAAACAAATTATTTAAATTGATAGTTTGTTAATTTACTATAAATTCAGATTCAAAGATGTTATATTTTTGCACTTCTCCAAGCTCATTCCAATTTTCTTAGCTTCATTTGCACTAAGGTTATTATATCTGTGAAAATAAAAATTATGAATATGTTGAAAAAAATGAAAATAAAATAGAAAATAGAAAAATAATTAATAGATGGGTTGATGAATTATTTTGTTAAACAGATTAAAAAGTGCTTATCTATTTTGATGCAATTATTTGGGACATTGTTTCAATTCGTAAACAAATAAATTTAGATGCATAAAAATTTAACAAAAAATCAAATAACAATTTATGTGTTGTTAATCAAATTTAAAAATAAAAAAATAATGTTTTTTAAAATTAAATATTATCTATTTATACTTATTAAGATTATGATAATTCTGATATTTTATTAAATTTAATAAAAAATAATTTATAGAATAAATAATGCATAGATTTGAAAATAATTGAAGAATAAAATATAATGTATTATATATAATTCTTGAATTATTTAGTAGAATAATAAATATTATTTTATAAATTTGAATTTATATTTTTCATTTTCAATTTAAATTAATTTTCTTATTCTATTGTCAATTAATATAGTAATCATTAAAATTTTGAATACTAAAAAGTATAAAATAATAATTAAAATTTACAATAATTAGTTTTATTCTAATTAAAATAAAATATAACTTTATTTAAATGAAAATAAGTAGATTTTCTTATGAATAAAAATCTGTCGCAAATATTAATTTAATTAAAGTTATGGAAAAAAATAAATTTTTTGAAATTTTTGTTTAGATACTTAAAAAATAAGTACAAAATAATAATTTAAATTTTATTTTAGGGGAGAAGATATCAGTTTATAAAATAATATAATAATATTTGATTTATTTTAAAGAATAATTATTAATATGAAGTTTTTTATTTATTTAAAATAATTTACTAAAAAAGTGGTGGCTCTAAATTAAGATCTAGGTGACGAATATGCCTATTTTGTATAAAATCATAGATTTTAGAGAAGTTTTCATAATCGCTAAAAGCATATTCATCTAACCTGACTTCATTTTGTTTGCATGTGTAGTTAAATTTAACAAAAGATTGTTTGAATTTAGATATCATGAGATTGGAGTCAAAAAAATCCAACTTGTCCTGTACTGCACAAATAAACTAACTTTCCAGTTTTAGTCTTAACTCATTTAATTCTTTAGTTAGTTCAAATGAATCAATTCTTTTTTAAGGCTCTTTTTCAAGCATTTTAATTATAATTTAGTTAATATCTTTAAATAAATCCTTTTCTCTTAAATAATTTGGTAAGTTTCCATTTCTGATAAAAGTACAATCTTCTTCTTTTAGAAACTATCCAAGGGTTAATTCAAGGAGAATAATACCTAAGCCATAAATATCATACTTTAAATAAAAATATTCAATTAAAAATAAGTAAATAAATAATAAAATAATTTAATAAATTATTTACTTTGATATTGAAGGAACCATTTTCTAAATCTGTAATTTCAGGAGCTGCATACCTTCTTGTAAAGGCTTTGAGCTTTTAAATAGTAAGAATGTAAAATAAAATTAAATTTATATCAAAATAATTTCTAATACTTTAGAGTAAAAAGAATTTTTTAAAATATTTTAGAAAAATGGAAAACCTTTGACAAATTTGAGTAAATTAAATTCTTTAAAAATAAGTGTTCAAAATATAAATATAAAAAGTGCTGAAATAAAATTGAATAATGAATAAATTTGAAAAATAAATTAATTAATTAATTACATTCTAGGTACATGATCCATCTTTAAATAATTTAGAATCTCCATAATCACCTTTTTGAAATATGAATTTAGATAAAAAATATGTATTAAAACTATAAACCCAATAAGATAAAAGCATATCTTATAAATTATTTGTATATTAATGAATAATCAAAAATAATTTTTAAAATAATGAATATTGCTAAAATAAGTGTAAAAATGTAAAAATTCTAATATTTTTATACCACTTTTTATAATATATAATTTAATAAATAGAGCAAAGTTAGTTATTTGTTTAATATAAAAATAAATAAATAAATGAATTAAAAACTTAGTGGTTTCAATACCACTATTGTTTTTTTGATTAGCCTATTTTAATCAATAATAAATAAATAAAAATTTATAAAATAGCCGTTCCTGGAATTTATAAAAATATTATTAATAAATAACTAAATGGCAGTCAGCATATTTTTTTCCTTTTTAAATCAAATTTATAAGTTATAATGGAAAAATATATGAAAAAATAATTCACTCTTTTGCCTTTAAATCACTATATTACAGAGTATATAAAATAACATTTTTAGAAGGGGGAAAGATTAAATTAACTTACATTATTTTTTGTTTGTTTGAAAAGTTTCTTAATCAAAGGGTTTAAAAAATAATAAAATGTTAAATAACATTAAAAATTTACATAGATTAAAACATTTTTCTTAGCTATCATAAAGAATATTCTCTAGTTTAACATCAGAATGAATAAAATTATTTTACTAAATTTTATTAAAAACTGTTGACATCTGAATAGCAAAACCAATTATTTAGTTGAGTGGTAGTGTTTTTTTCTAATCAAAGAGGCTTTGCATTATATCTTTAAGATTACCTAAAAATTTAAAATTTTTAAAAACTAATATGAAATAAATAAAAATTTATACATGAATATCTTTTAGAAATCTGATAGTATTTCGATTTTTTCTCATTTAAAAACCCTTAGATAGATCTAAAAACATAAGGAGTCTCCTTTAACAAATTCAGTATTTTTTCTTCTTCATTGATTTTTTCAAAGTTAGCTTTACTGCATTTGATAGCTACAATTTCATCATTATACTTAGCCTCAAAAACACATCCATAAGCACCTTGTGAAATGTAGGATGTTAAGTATATCTTCTTCTTTTGAAGCTCATTGTAAATCAATTCTAGTTCATCTTTATCAAATATCATACTCTGATCATATTTCATTACGTAGTCATCAAACATTTGTTAAAATTTCTCTACAGGTGCTTTATATTTAGGTTCAATGTCTTACTATTATTGCATGATTAGTAATAATCGCTAATATATAAATTTATTATAATATTTAATGTCTAAGAAAGTAAAATTTTTTTTTTTAATTTAAATTTATTTTATTTGATAACGAAATCTTTTTTTATTTACCTTTATTTTACTTTCTTTTCTTTGTTTTTTTCTTAATTAAATTATAAAAATTGGTTAATTAAAAAAGTATAAAATTATTAGAGAATTATTATTTTTTTAGAATAACAAAACAAAAATAATTTGTGATTTTCCATAAAAACCTCAACATTAAATTTATTATATTGCTTATAGAATAATTTAAATGATCATTAATTTTATCAAATAAATTCACTTTATTATATTTTAAATATTTATTTATTTTAGATTTTAGTTTAATTTCACTTAAAAAATTAAAAATAAAATAATATTTATTAATAAAAGAAAACAAAAGTTTTTAAAATCTATTAAATATAAATTGATACATAAAAATTAAAAGATTAAATATTTTTTTTTATTATGTACTAAAAAAGTATAATTTACTTAGCTTTTATTTTACATTTGGTTCAATTATATTTATTAAATATTATTAAATATATTTTTTTTAAATTAGATTTTAATAAACCATTTCAAAGCAATTTCCAGTAAAATTTTATGCAGGATTTTTATTTTTGTGCTAAGAATTAAAAGTTTTAAATGATTTGATCGTTTTTGTATAAACTGGAGGGTTTACTTAAGAAGAATCAAGATATTTAAGTAAATTTAATTTTTAAATTTATTTTTTTTTTTTTCTTACAAAATATGAATGATATTTATAAACATAAAAACAATAATAAAATCCATCAATTTATTTATATTTTAGGTTAAAAAACTTTTTCAAAATATTTTGTAATAAAATATATAATATTCAATTATTCAAACATTTAATATTTATCCATCCTTTTTTCGCCGATTTTTTATCACCATAATTATAAGGCAACTAATCTTTTTGATTTAAGACACTTGTTTATTTCTTTCAATCTTAATGGAGAACAAAAACTTCTAAAAATTTTATAATAAATTTCTGTTTAAATAAGTATCAAATAGAATAAACTTTTAAATTAAAAATTATTTCTAAATTAATAAATTTAATAAAATTATTGGAATAAAAATGATAAAAAAATAAATCAAATAAAAGCTTTCAAATAAACTCAATGAGCTTTTTAATTTTATTTTCATTTTTATAGTTTAAAATATCACAATCCAATAATTATAAATTATTTTTACCGAACCTCAAGTATCAATCTTAAGAGATTATTGCAATTTGCTATAGCAGAACCTAAGCCTGATAAACCAATTGCACCAATTTAATTGCCTCTTTTTGAATATTGAAGAAAAAATATATCATTAAATAGTTAGTTAGAAGGAAAAAATGAAATAATAAGATTAAATAATAAAAACTCAAAATAAAATGATGAATTATTAACAAAGAAAGAACAAATAAAAGCAAGCACAATAAAAAGAAAAAAAAAAAAGAGTTTTATTGTTTTTAATTTGATTTTAGAATTAAAAATATCACAATCCAAAAATTATAAACTGTTTTTACCGAAGATTAAGTGTCAAATTTGAGAGATTAATGCAATTTGCTAAACTAGAACCTAGGCCTGATGCACCTTCATCGCCAATTTTATTCTCACTTTTTAAATATTGAATAAAATATATCTCATTAAATAGTTAATTAGAATAAAAAATATGAAATAAAAAGATTAATTAATAATAAAAGCAACAGTTGAAAATAAAATTATGAATTAAATTAACAAAGAAAGAAAAAAAAAGCAAGCACAATAAAAATAAAAAGAAAAATGAGCTTTATTGTTTTTAATTTGTTTTTATAATTAAAAATATCACAATCCAAAAATTATAAACTGTTTTTACTGAAGATCAAGTGTCAAATTTGAGAGATTAATGCAATTTGCTAAACTAGAACCTAAGCATGATGCATCTTCATCACCCATTTAATTGGCACTTTAAATATTGAAGAAAAAATATATCATTAAATAGTTAATTAGAAAGAAAAAATTTTACTTTAGAACAAGTGTCAAATTTGAGAGATTAATGCAATTTGCTAATTGAGAACCTAAGCCTGAAACACTAAATGAACCCATTTTATAGTAACTTTTTAATATTAAAGAAAAAATATATCATTAAATATTTAATTAGAAAAAAATAATGAAGAAAAAATATGAAATAAATTATAAAATTAATTAATAATAAAAGCAATAGTTAAAAATAAAATAATGAATTAAATTAACAAAAAAGGAACAAAAAAAATAAGCACAATAAAAAGAAAAGGAGCTTTATTGTTTATTATTTATTTTTATTCTTAAAAATATCACAATCCAAAATAAATAAGCTGTTTTTACCTAAGATCAAGTGTCAAATTTGAGAGATTGGTTAAATTTACTAAAGCAGAACCTAAGACTGAAACACCAATTGCACCAATTTAATTGCTACTTTTTAAATATTGAAGAAAAAATTTATCATTAAATATTTAATTAGAAGGAAAAAATTTTACCTAATAACAAGTGCCACATTTTAGAGATTAATGCAATATGAGAGGTTAAAAAAGAAAAAAAATTAATAAAATAAATAAAACTATTTTAAAATTCTTAAATAAAATTATATATATCTAACATAAATTAATATTTTTTAAGATTTATTCTGAGTGCATTTATATGTGCGAGTATTTCTATTCTATTCTATCACCAATTTAATTGCCACTTTTTAAATATTGAAGAAAAATATATCATTAAATAGTTAATTAGAAGAAATTAATGAAGAAAAAATATGAAATATCAAGATTAGTTAATAATAAAAGCAACAATTGAAAATAAAACGATGAATTAAATTAACAAAGAAAGAATAAAAACAAGCAATCACAATAAAAAGAAAAATGAGCTTTATTTTTTGAATTTGTTTTTATAATTAAAAATATCTCAATCCAAAATAAATAATCTGCTTTTACCTAAGATCAAGTGTGAGATTAATGCAATTTGCTAAACCAAAACCTAAGTCTGATGCACCTTTATCACCAATTTAATTGTAACTTTTTAAATATTGAAGAAAAAATATATCATCAAATAGTTAATTAGAAGGAAAAAATGAAGAAAAAATATGAAATAAAAAGATAGATTAATTAATAATAAAAGCAACAGTTGAAAATAAAATTATGAATTAAATTAACAAAGAAAGAATAAAAAAATGAAATCACAATAAAAAGAAAATAGTGCTTTATTGTTTTTAATTGTTTTTATAATTAAAAATATCTCAATCCAAAATAAATAATCTGCTTTTACCTAAGATCAAGCGTGAGATTAATGCAATTTGCTAAACCAAAACCTAAGTCTGATGCACCTTTATCATCAATTTAATTGTGACTTTTTAAATATTGAAGAAAAAATATATCATCAAAAAGTTAATTAGAAGGAAAAAATGAAGAAAAAATATGAAATAAAAAGATTAATTAATAATAAAAACAACAGTTAAAAATAAAATTATGATTTAAATTAACAAAGAAAGAATAAAAAAAAGAAATCAAAATAAAAAGAAAAAAGTGCTTTATTGTTTTTAATTTTTTTTATAATTAAAAATATCTCAATCCAAAATAAATAATCTCTTTTTACTTAAGTTTAAGTGTCAAATTTTAGAGATCAATGCATTTTGCTAAACCAGAACTTAAGCCGGATGCACCTTTTGCACCAATTTAATTCCAACTTTTTAAATATTGAAGAAAAAATTTATCATTAAATAGTTAATTAAAAAGAAAAAATTTTACCAAAGATCAAGTGTCAAATTTGAGAGATTATTGCAATTTGCTAAATCAGAACCTAAGCTTGATGCACCAGTTTCATAAATATAATTGGAACTTTTTTAAATATTGAAGAAAAAATATATCATTAAATCATTAATTAGAAGGAAAAAATGAAGAAAAAATATGAAACAAAAATATTAATTAATAATAAAAGAAAAAGTTGAAAATGATGAATTAAATTAACAAATAAAAAAAAACAAAAAGCAAGCACAATAATAAGAAAATGAAAAAAGAGTTTTATTGTTTTTAATTTGCTTTTAGAATTAAAAATATTACAATCCAAAAATTATAAACTGTTTTTACCTAAGATCAATTGTCAAATTTGAGAGATTAATGCAATATTATAAATCAGAACATAAGCCTGATGCACCGTCATCACCAATGGAATTTTCACTTTTTAAATATTGAAGAAAAAATATCTCATTAAATAGTTAATTAGAATAAAAAAATTAAGAAAAAATATGAAATAAAAGATTAATTATTAATAAAAGCAACAATTAAAAATAAAATTATAAATTATATTAACAAAGAAAAAAAAAAGCAATCACAATAAAAATAAAAAAGAGCTTTATTGTTTTTAATTTATTTTTATAATTAAAAATATCACAATCAAAAATAAATAATCTGTTTTTACAAAAGGACAAGTGTCAAATTTGAGAGATTAATGCATTTTGCTAAACCAGAACCTAAGCCTGATGCACCTTCATCAGAAATTTGATTTTAGCTTTTTAATTATTGAAAAAAAATATATAATTAAATAGTTAATTAGAAGGAAAAAATGAAGAAAAAATATGAAATAATAAGATTAACTAATAATAAAAGCAACAGTTGAGAATAAAATGATGAATTAAATTAACAAAAAAAAGCAATCACAATAAAAATAAAAAAAGAGCTTTATTGTTTTTAATTTGTTTTTATAATTAAAAATATCTCAATGCAAAATAAATAATCTGTTTTTACCTAAGATAAAGTGTCAAATTTGAGAGATTAATGCATTTTGCTAAACCAGAACCTAAGCCTGATGCACCATCATTACCAATTTGATTTACGCTTTTTAATTATTGAAAAAAGATATATCATTAAATAGTTAATTAGAAGGAAAAAATACTAAATAACAAGATTAATTGATAATAAAAGCAATAGTAAAAAATAAAATGATAAATTAAATTAACAAAGAAAGAACAAATAAAAAGAAAGCACAATAAAAAAAAAGAAAAAAGACGTTTATTGTTTTTAATTTGTTTTTATAATTAAAAATATCTCAATCCAAAATAAATAAACTATTTTTACTCAAGATGAAGTATTAAATTTGAGAGATTAATACAATTTGCTAAACCATAACCTAAGCCTGATACACCTTAATCATCAATTTTATTATTACTTTTTTATATCATTCAATAGTTAATTATAAGGATAAAATGAAAAAAAATATGAAATAAAAAGATTAGTTAGTAATAAAAACAAAAGTTGAAAATAAAATGATTATTTAAATTAACAAAGAAAGAACAAAAAAAAGCAAGCAAAAGAAAAAGAAAGAAGAGTTTTATTGTTTTTAATTTGCTTTTATAAAAATATCACATTCCAGAATAAATAAACAGTTTTTACTGAAGATAAAGTTCCAATTTTGAGAGATTAATGCAATTTGCTAAACCAGAACCTAAGCCTGATGCACCTTCATCACCAATTTAAGAAGGGCTAAGCGGCTCGAGTGGGCGAGTCGGAGGGTCTTAGCAGTGATATCGGGGGTTCGAATCCTATACCGCCCCCTTTATTTCGAAAAATTCCATGTAAAAATGTGAATGTTACCAGCGGTCTCCTTGGTAGGAGGGAAGGGCCAAATCTGATAGGAGGTAAAGAGGAGGCCCCATTCTGAACAGAAGATCTGGAATACAAATGGGAAGCGAGCATAATGCGTAGTCAAATCATGGAAGATTAGTAGAAATGCCATTAGGGTGTAGGTGACCCTTCCCTTCTAGTATATTACCCACAATTATATATAAATAAATTGGTATACGTATAATAATAATGTATAAGTAATTATATATAGGGCCCCTATCCCGAGTGCATGTAACCATGTGCGAGTATGTATGTATGTATCACCAATTTAATTCCTACTTTTTAAATATTTAAGAAAAATATATCATTTAATAGTTAATTAGAAGGAAAAAATGAAGAAAAAATATGAAATTAATAAAAGCAAAAGTTGAAAATAAATTGATGAGCTAAATTAACAAAGAACAAAAAAAAGCAAGCACAATAAAAAGAAAAAGAAAGAAGAGTTTTATTGTTTTTAATTATTTTTTATAATTAAAAATATCACATTCCAGAATAAATAAACAGTTTTTACTGAAGATAAAGTGTCAATTTTGAGAGATTAATGCAATTTGCTAAACCAGAACCTAAGCCTGATGCACCTTCATCACCAATTTAATTCAAACTTTTTAAATATTTAAGAAAAATATATCATTTAATAGTTAATTAGAAGGAAAAATGAAGAAAAAATATGAAATTATAAAATTAATTAATAATAAAAGCAAAATTTGTAAAAAAATGATGATTTAAATTAACAAAGAAAGAACAAAAAAAAGTAAGCACAATAAAAAGAAAAAGAAAAAGAAAAAAGAGTTTTATTGTTTTTAATTTGCTTTTATAATTAAAAATATCACATTCCAGAATAAATAAACTGTTTTTACTAAAGGTTAAGTGTCAAATTTGAGAGATTAATGCAATTTGCTAAACAAGAACCTAAGCCTGATGCACCCATTGCACCAATTTTATTTTCACTTTTTAAATATTGAAGAAAAAATATCTCATTAAGTAGTTAAAATAGAAGGAAAAAATGAATAAAAAATATGAAATTATAAAATTAATTAATAATAAAAGCAAAAGTTGAAAAAAAATGATGATTTAAATTAACAAAGAAAGAACAAAAAAAGCAAGCACAATAAAAAGAAAAAAGAGTTTTATTGTTTTTAATTTGCTTTTATAATTAAAAATATCACAATCCAAAAATTATAAACTGTTTTTACCCAAGATCAAGTCTCAAATTTGAGAGATTAATGCAACTTGCTAAACTAGAACCTAAGCCTGATGCACCCATTGCACCAATTTTATTTTCACTTTTTAAATATTGAAGAAAAAATATCTCATTAAGTAGTTAAAATAGTAGGAAAAAATGAATAAAAAATATGAAATAAATTATAAAATTAATTAATAATAAAAGCAAAAGTTGAAAATAAAATGATGATTTAAATTAACAAAGAAAGAACAAAAAAAAGCAAGCACAATAAAAAGAAAAAGAAAAAAGAGTTTTATTGTTTTTAATTTGCTTTTATAATTAAAAATATCACAATCCAAAAATTATAAACTGTTTTTACCCAAGATTAAGTCTCAAATTTAAGAGATTAATGCAATTTACTAAACTAGAACCTAGGTCTGATGCACCTTCATCGCCAATTTTATTTTTACTTTTTAAATATTGAAGAAAAAATATCTCATTAAATAGTTAATTAGAAGGAAAAAATGAAGAAAAAATATGAAATTATAAAATTAATTAATAATAAAAGCAAAAGTTGAAAAAAAATGATGATTTAAATTAACAAAGAAAGAACAAAAAAAAGCAAGCACAATAAAAAGAAAAAGAAAAAAGAGTTTTATTGTTTTTAATTTGCTTTTAGAATTAAAAAATCACAATCCAAAAATTATAAACTGTTTTTACCGAAGATCAAGTCTCAAATTTGAGAGATTAATGCAATTTGCTAAACAAGAACCTAAGCATGATGCACCCATTGCACCAATTTCATTTTCACTTTTTAAATATTGAAGAAAAAATATCTCATTAAGTAGTTAAAATATAGGGAAAAAATGAAGAAATAAAATGAAATAATAAGATTAATTAAAATGATTAAAATTAACAAAGAATGAAAAAAAAGCATTCACAAAAAAAAGAAAAATGAAAATAGATGAAATAAATTAAAAGAGCTTTAATGTTTTAAATTAACTTTTATTATTAAAAATATTACAATCTAAAACAAATAAGCCGTTTTTATTAAGCGTAAGTTTTAATAGCAAAAAATGAAGAAAAAATATCAAAATAATAAAAAATGAATATTAAATAATTGAAAATTTAAATTAAAATTAAGTTAAGATAGCTAACCAATATTTATTTTAATAAAAATCAATAAATAATGATGATAATTTCTATAAGAAAAATTATTTATTTAAATAAATTGAAAGTTAAATAATACAAAAAATAATAATAATAATAATAATTAATAAAATATACTATAGATTAATATGGAGAACCTAATGAGATAAAAATGAAGAGTTTGAAAGCTTTTTTTATTATAATAAATGATATAAATTTAAAGGATATTAATAAAAAAATTAATTAATAATTACTTCTTCTAATTTTTTATGATATTTAATCTATTATATCATTTATTTTTTTTTTCAAAAGATTTGTTTAGTAATTTATGGAATTTAATTAATTATAAATAGATAAAAAAGAATAATGATCAAATATTAATTTATATACTTGGTTTTATGAAGAGATATCACATAAAAATTAATTTTATAATTCATAATTTAATCTTAATATAATTAAAAAAAAGACCAAATTTAAGAAATTAATTAATAAAAATACCCCCATGTGAGTTACTCAAAGATATTAATAAATGAAAAAGAAATAGAAAGAATTTATGAAAGTATTAAAAATACAAATATTATTTACAAAAATTTCTATGTGTTGTGGTCTTTCCTAATTAATAATGAAAAAATGATGGGAAATGACTTAAAGAAACTAAAAAATTACATATTTTGCTAAAAGAAAATCCTTTTATATTTTAATATAAGTTAATATAATGAATGCTTATCATGAACAGATGTTTTATATCAATCAGGTGGTCTTTAATTCAAATATTTACTCAATTTATTCTTATATACTAATCAATAGATTTTAGTTATTAATAGTCCTTTCGCTTTTAAATATTTATCATTTTATAAGTTTAAAAAAATGTGCTTATTGATGATATTTTCTTGCTAATTTTCCAAAATTTATTTTTTACAAATAAATTCACTTAGATTGATTGATTGATTACACATTTAACTAAGGAAAATTATCTTAAATATTTATTTAAATTAGCAAATTTATTTGCATATTGATTAAACAATTTATATAAGATTTTCTGAAATTAAGGCTATGCTAACTGTAATCTTTATATATATATCAATGAATAGATTTTGGTTATTCACTTAGATTGATTAATTAATTACATATTTTAATAAAGGAAAATAATCTTATATATTTATTTAAATTACCAAATTAATTTGCATATTAATTATATAATTTAAAAAAGGTTTTGATTTTATTAAATTAAAGCTATGCTAATTGTCATCTGTATATATATATATATATATCAATCAATAGATTTTGGCTATTAGAAGTTATTTCTTTTTTAAATATTAATTATTTAAAATTACTATAAAATATGCTCATTTATTTTATTTTCTTGATTGTTTTGCAAGATTTATTTTTAACAAATACAATCACTTAGATTGATTAATTAATTACATATTTTAATAAAGGAAAATAATCTTATATATCTATTTAAATTACCAAATTAATTTGCATATTAATTAGATAATTTATATAAGGTTTTCTTAAATTAAGACTATGCTAATTGTAGTCTGAAAAAATTAATAAATAGATTTTAATTTTTAAAAATGATTTAAAAAGTAATGAAAATGAAATTTAGCTTCTCTCTCTTTTAAATATTCTTAATTTTATAATATTTTACATATTTGTTTATTTATTTTATTTTCTATTTGTTTTATAAGACTATTTATTTAGCAAATAAAATATCATTGATTAATAGATTATATCTTTTAATAAGTGAAAAACTTCTAATCTACTAATATATTATAATAAATAACAGATAAATTAATAAGGTTTATATTTCATTTAATTTTTTTATGAACTTAATTTATTTTAACTGTTGACTTTAATAGTAAGAATTAATTTAAAATTAAATAAAAAATTGTATTTTTATAGGTTAACTATTCTAATTGCTTTATTTCAAAAAATTATTTTTTTCATGATTATATTTAAATATTCCATTTCATTATTATCTATTTTTTTATATAAACAGTTGGCAATAAAAATTAAACATCCTATATATAAATTAATAAACAATTTATTAAAAAAATTCAATCTACTCTTATTTATTATAATTAATAGCTAAGAAAATTATTTAAATATTGTTTAAATAGAAGATAAAGTTACATCAATCATATCAATATTAAGTTGAAAGAAATCTTGGAGTTTGAGAGATGGAACATTTAAAAAAAAATAATTACAACAAATGTTCTATTCATCCAAACCATGACCTCCTATTAATGAGATTAGATAATGAAGAGGATTAGTAAGTGCTTAAGTGTATCAAGTGCTTTGATTCAAAAAAATTCAAAAAGTTTATTCCTCTTGAAACATTACAAGAAAGCAAAAATGAAACAATATTTAAAGGCTGGCCAATATTTGACGATGAGTTATTTTACTCTAAGCTTATTGAAATATCTTAAAAACCTTCACAATTAAAAGAAAATTAATAAAAAGTTAAAACATTTTTCAAGAATTTCAAATCTCAAGTTATGTTTGAATTAGAGGAAAAAGAAAATTAAATTTTAACTAACCTCGAGGAAGCTTAAAAAGTTTATGAATAACCTTTAAATACTTATAATGAAATCTCTTAAAAAGAAAAGCTGAAACAAATTCTATAAACTGAATACGAAGACAAACAATAACAAAATGAAATGCTTAAAGAGATAATAAAAGAAAATAAATAAAAATATTCAATAAATTACTAAAGAATGAAAGATTCTATTGATAACTCACAAAAATATGTTTTCGATTTGAATAATCACTAAAAGGTAATGAACAATGTAATTTGTTTAATTAAAGAGCTTGATATTTTCAATTCTTTGAATTAGAGCTAAAATGTTTAGGATAATGGTGAGATAGAATAATAAAATAATAAAACCAGTAAAAATTAATTTTAATTTTTCTTTTTTTTATAATTTAGTAAAAATAATATTAATAAATAGACCATCACAATAGAATAAAAGTGAAGAAAATAGAACATCTTCCAGTATGCTTGTATTATAAAAACGTTCAAATCAAATTTAAGTAAAATTAAAATATCTTTATTTTAATAAGAAATTAAATTGATAAATTAATTCAGGAATATTTTTAAATTTTAACTTTTTGAAACAAAAATTTAAAATAAAAAATTATTGAATTAAGTAATATGCCAAAGTAAGAAAATTTTAATTATTCAAACTACACTTTCTGAATACATATTATATGGTACTACAAATAAATAGAGTATAGTGTATCTATCTCTTAAAACATTAAATTAAAAACTAAAAAATTTTTAAAAAGGTTTCATCAACTTTTTATTTATCAAGTTTGAATAAATCAATCAATATTTTTCAACTTTCATACCATAAAAATAACTTTTTTATCATAGATAATTTTAGAATTTATTTCTATATTGAAACTAAAAATATATTTAATTAGGAAGTGCTTTTTAACAGATGATGAGGCTTTTAAAATTTCTAGTGCTTTAATGAATTGTTAAAGAGTAACTAACTTAGAACTTAATTTATAGTATTTTTTTATTAAAAATTTAATATTTTCTTCAAATTTAATTTTATAAAATAAGAATTTCTAAGTTGAGAAATATAGGACTCAAATCAATAGCTGATAGTTTAAAGCATCTGAAAGATGTTGTTTCTCTTAATATTAACTTAGAGTAATATAAATACTTATATGTTAGATCAATGATGATCAAATATTTATTTATTAAATAATAAAATAATAAATTTTAAACAATTAAAAGAGCTACATCATTAATAAATAAATTAATAATTATTTTATCTTAATATTGGTGAATAAATGTTTATTAATTAGATTTTTAAAAATAGGAATATTGGTGTTACTAATTCAAACATTAAAAATATTGCACAATCTATATCAAATATGAAAAATCTAAAAGATCTTAATCTTAATTTGAGGTATATTATTTATTTATTAAGTTCTTATAATTTTTTATTGATTTAAAGTTCTTATAATTTTTTATTAAATTACTAAAAAATTATCATATAAAAGCTTAAATAGGTTAGATGTGCTATGTTGTGAACAAATTTCAAGGATTTTTAGAAATTGTTAAAAAATATAGCGTTTGTATCTAAATTTAAGGTAATTTTTTATTTATTCAAATATATAAAATATTAAGTTGATATGAATTAAAATTTAATATTAATTATTTTATTTAATATTTAAATTTAATAATATTTGACTTTAATAAAAAATAATTTAATAGTCAGAGTTAGATTTGTGATTAAGGTTTGACTTTTATTGCAAGTGGATTATCTGAAAATGAATTAATAGAAGTCTTAGAATTAAACTTATAGTATAAATTTATTTTTAATTTAGGAATAAAATGATTTTGGTATTATTGCTAGAAATAGCAATATTAAAATTATTTTAATAATTTGTATTGAGAAAAATATATTATTTTTTCAAGAAATAATAAGTTTAGCTCGTAAGGAATTAAAGAAATTTCAGATAGCTTGAAAATGTTTAAACATATCAGTGAATTAAAGCTAAGTTTGATGTAATAATTCCTATAAATTATTTTATTGTATTTATATTAACTCATTAAATAAAATAATTTTATGTATTTTTCAGATAATATTTTTTAATTATATTAAATTTAAATATTAATTTTATTAATGATTCCAAATAAAAAATAGGAATTGTAAAATTGATGACGATGCAATCGGTTTTATTTCAAAAGCTATATAAACTTATGAAAATATCACTAAATTTTCCCTTAATTTATAGTAATATATACCAAATTTATAAATATTTAATTCTTATTGAATTTATAAATATTATTATATTATAAGTTAAAATTAAATTACCAGTAGCGGTGTAAAGGAAATTGAAAAAGCTATAAAAAACTATAAGAAATTAGTCATATTAGATCTTAACTTAGAGTAATCTTATATTTATAAAAACTCACTTAAAACAAAAAATAATTTTTATATCTATGCTTGAATAACATATTAGATAAAACATTATAAGATGTTTAGGAGCATATTATATTGCAAAGTCTATTTATTAATATGAAAATCTTCAGAAGTTATATCTTAATTTAAAGTAGCATATTTAAAATTTATTTTATTCTATTTTATTTAATTTATTTTATTTTTTTAATAAAATTATAATTAGTGTAACCTATACTTAATTATATGGAGTCCATGAAATAATGAGTTCAATATAAAATTTTCAGAATTTAAGTTGCTTACATATTGAATTTTAGTATTTTCAAAAAAATTATATATATATATATATATATATTGAAGTAAAATAATTAATTAGGTATAATTCAATTGATGAAACTGGAGCTTAAAGTATTGCTGATGGATTGCATAAATTAACCAAACTAATTTATTTAAAGCTAAAATTAAAGTAAAAATCTATAAAATTTCTAATTTTTAGATTTTTATAATTAATTATTAAAATATTTAATTAGTTCATGTAAAATCGGTAAAAGAGGAGCTAATCACCTAGCTAATGCTATCTAGAATTTATAAAATTTAATAGAGTTAATTCTTCATTTAAGGTATCTATCTTTAAAATATTACTTTTTTAATTTGGTTAAAAATGGGACTTATTAATTTTTATCAATTTTTAAATAATCAATAAGCTCAAGTAGTATACAAGTTGAAGGAGCTAATAATATTTTAAAGGCGATAGAAATAAAAAGAGGTCTTAAATTTTTGTCTCTCAATTTATGGTAATAAATATTTAATTTGTTATTAAAAAATTGAGAGAAAAAAATTAAAATTGAATATAATTTTATTAAATTGCTAGTTAAAACTAACTTGATGACTCTGCAGCCTTCATTATATCTACCATTTTAGAAAAAAATACATAGCTAAACTCAATAAAAATTTATCTTAAGTAATACTTTTTAATTTTACTTGTAATAATTTAAAAATATATTTTTTAATTAACATTTTATATATTTAAAAGCAATAATAATATTAGTTCATTAGGAGCATCAGCTATAGCTAATTCTATAGAAAAATTATAAAATGTTTCAATATTACATTTATAAATTTAGTAATTTTTTTATAAAAATATTATTTTGAATTAATTTATTTATTTTAAAATTTTAATTATTTAATTTTATTATTTACAAAAGAAAAAATGTTATTGGAGTTGATGCAGCTAAAAGTATTTCTATGGCATTAGAAAAATAATAAAATATATCTGAATTGTTTTTAAATTTATTGTATTTAATTATTTTTTTATTATTATGTTTTGGATATACTATTAATTATCAATTATTGTTTCAAACTAAAAAAAGGTAGAATTAAATAAAATTAGGAGCAAATCAGATTATCTATAAATCGATTAAAAATATTTAAAAAATTAAATATTTATCCCTCTATTTATGGTAACTAATTTTTTGATTATTTTTCCTTTATTTAGCATTTATTTAAATATTAATTATAATAGTAATGAAAGTTACGATTTAGACTCAATAATAGCTTTATCAAATATTTTAGAAAAACAAAAGAAAATTGATAATTTCCTAATTGAAGTTACGTAAAACCTTTCCAATTTATTTGATTTAACTCATTTATAAATAATTAATAATTTTTTAGCTATTTCTTCATTTTTCTTTCTAATTATTTTTATTTTTCTTAGAAATTAAATTGGTTTTAATGAAGTTAAAATGTTTACAAATTCCATAAAATAGTATAATCTTACTAATTTATATCTAGGCTTTGGGTAAAATTAATCAATTTTAAATTTAATGGTTTTCAGTAGTTTTTAATTTATATATAATGAAATATTAAACAGCAAAAATATAATTGGTAGTGAAGGAACTAAATATATTTCATAAGTTCTTTAAAATTTCTAAAGTCTTACTTCTTTGAGTCTTCGTTTAGGGTATTTTTTACTTTTAATTTGATATTTACTAAAGCTTTTTATTAGTTTACTCTTTTTTACATATTTTTTTGAAAAATTTTTAAGAAAAAACGTGATTTGTGACGAAGGAATCAAATATATTGCACAAGCAATAAAAAAATTCAAACATATAATTGAATTCTATCTCACTGCAGAGTAATCTTAATTACTGGACTATTTAATATTTTAAGATTTTTTAATAATTAAAAGAAATAATTATATTAATACTGTTGGATTAATAAACATTGTACAGGCAATGGGAGGATATTAAAATGTTTAATCTCTTACTCTTTAATTTGAGTAAATTTTAAAATTGATTAATTAATTAAATAAATAAATTATTATATTTTTTAGTTAAAATATGATAGAAGATAATGGACTAATGAGCCTATCTAATTTAATTTAAAAATATAAAAGCTTGATCAGTCTAACTCTTAGCTTCGAGTAAATTTTAAAACAAAATCACTTTCACCATTAAAAAATAATTTATATTTATTAATTAATGAATATATTTTGGATATTTCGAAATTTACCTTATCTATTTAATAGGAAGAATCAAATTTAAAACTATGGAATTAAATTTATTGTAAAAAGCATACAAAAAAGTTAAAATATTTAGAAACTAGACCTTTGTTTACCGTAAATATATTTATTTATTAAATTAGTTTTTAAAATATCAAAAATAAATTTAAATAGGGGATATATTTTTGATGATGATATGTTAGTTTGTTTGGCAACATCATTAGAAAATCTAAAAAAATTAAAAAAATTGACTCTAAAATCCAAGTAATTTATTCAAAATAGTTAGTTATTTAGTTAGCATAATAGATTTTATTATAGAAAAATTTTATTATTTATATTTTGAAAATATTATTACAATTCTAATCACTATTTATTTTTTTTAAATTTATTAGTCGAAGTTATATTACTCCTTATGGATTTAACATGATTTGTAATTTTGTCAAAAATATGCAAAGCATTTATGAATTTAAGTTAGATTTAAAGTAACTTTCTTAATATTTATTTTTTCTTTTTAAAAAAACCAATAATTAAAATACCTAAAGAATATTAATAATTAATTTAAAAAATTTTTTAAATAAAGAATATTTATTTGTGTAATTAGGAATAGTGTTCGCATTTATAATAATGAATAAGAAGCTCTAAAATAGTTGTTTTCACAAATGTTTGGAGAATTTAAATTTTATAGTTAAAATTGTAATATTTATTCTATTTAACATAAATCCTTTTAAATATTTTTTTTTTAAATTACAATATATTTTTATTAAATAATAAGTTTGAATGAAATTGAAATAAGTTTTAAAAATGAAAGATAATTCCTTATTGTAGATCAAAAATAAATAAATAAATAAATCTGATTATTCTAGACTTATATTTCTTATTAATTATGTTAAAAATTATTTGTTTTATATTTTTATTTTGAATTTAAATATATTTTAATTCCTTTTTATTTAGTTAATTTTATAAATAATTTTATCAACTTACTAAAATAAATTATTTTTATATTTATAAATAATATTTTTCTAAATTAATATGAAATAAGTTTAATATTTATAAAATAACTAATAAATAAAGGTCTATTAAAACCTAATTAAATTATATCAATATTTTAATTATCATATAAAATTTTTATTATTTACTAAATTTATTAAATAGAAAGTTTTTTTTTAATATAAGTAGTGTTTTTTAAAAATAAATTTTTAAACCTTTTGTATTATAAAATAAATAATACCTTAAGTTTTTATTTATTTATCATAAATAAATATTTAATTAATTAATTTTATAAAAGTGAGATAGTAAAATCATAAGTTTCAATTTAAAATTAATATTTTTCAAAATATATCATACTCTCATTAATTTTTTTTAATTTAAAAAAATTAAGGTTTTCTCCTTAGAATGTTAATTTTCATACAATCTCTCTCTACTTGAAAAATTAATTGATAATTTTTTTTACTTTGTTTGAAATAAATTTTAATTTCATTTAATTTCTAATTTAAAAAAAATAATTCTAACTTAGCCAGATAAATATAAGGAAAATTAGTAATTAAACCTATTTATATTAGTTATATACTTAATTTATCAATAGCAATATTTAAAAACTAAACAATAATTTTATTTTTAATTTTATTCAAATTTTACTTTACTATTACTAAATTCACCTTAAATTGATCTAAGCAATCTTAAAAATTATTAAATAAAAATAAATACTTAAAAATACTAAATAAAATAATTTTCTATTTAAATACTTCTTGCTTAACAGAGAATTTTGAGAGACTTTAATATGAGACTTTATTGAATACTTGAAGTTTTTTTTTAAAGGGAGGATAAATATAAGGATTTTTGATAAAAATCAAAAATCAATTAAAATTAATAATAATTTGTAAAAAAGTTTTTAAAAATGTTGGAAAATATTGCCCTCCAATTAAAATGATTGGATAAGAACAGTTTGGCATGCTAGGTCTAGATTTTGAACCTATTGGCCTTAAAATTCTCTTATTATAAATTCTCTCATAAAAGTGTATTTATTATTCACATATATATGCTTAACTTTAATTTATAAATTTTATATTTCGAATATTATTTAACAATCTTTATTTTTTAATATAATTTTTTTTTAATTAAAAATTTATTGCTTTAAAAAAATTACTAAACTAGTATCAAAGCAAAAAAAAATTAAAAGATTGATTAATTGAATATAAAATTTAATTTTTCTATTTCTTCCATAAATTTATGAGTTCAAATTAATATTTTTTAGGAATCAATAGTATTTCAGATTTGAAATATTATTAAAAATTATTCAAAAGAGATTTTTTTATAAATATAAATTATAATAAATTACAGATAAATTAATAAGGTTTATAATTCATTTAATTTTTTATGAACACAATTTATTTTACTTGTTGACTTTAATAATAAGAATTAATTTAAAATAAAATTAAAAATTGTATTTTTATAGGTTAACTATTCTAATTGTTTTATTTCAAAAATGTTATTTTTCATGATTATATTTAAACTTAAATTTTAGTTATTTTATTGCATTTTTATCTATTTTTTTTAAATAAATAGTATCATTTGGCAATAAAAATTAAACATCCTATATATAAATTAACAAAAAATATATTTTTAAAAATTCGATCTACTTTTATTTATTATAATAAATAGTAAGAACATTATTTAAATATCGTTTAAATAGAAGATAAATTTACATCAATCTTTTCAATACTAAGTTGATAGAATCCTTGGAATTTCAGAGATGAAACATTTAAAAAATAATAGTTACAACAAATGTTCTATTCATCCAAACCATGAGCTCCTTTTAATGAGGTTAGATAATGAAGAGGATGAGTAAGTGCTTAAGTGTATCAAGTGTTTTGATTAAAAAATATTCAAAAAGTTTATTCCTCTTGAAGCATTACTAGAAAGCAAAAATGAAACAATATTTAGAGATTGGCCAATATTTGATGATGAGTTATTTTACCCAAAGCTTATTGAAATATCTTAAAAACCTTCACAATTAAAAGAAAATTAATAAAAAGTTTAAACATTTTTCAAGAATTTCAAATCTCAAGTCATTTTTGCATTGGAAGAAAAAGAAAATTAAATTTTAACTAACCTTGAGGAAGCATAAAAAGTTTATGAATAACCTTTAAATACTTATAATGTAATCTCTTAAAAATAAAAGCTGAAACAAATTCTATAAACCGAATATGAAGACAAAGAAAAACAAAATGAAATGCTAAAACAGATAATAAAAGAAAATAAATAAAAATATTCAATAAATTACTAAAGAATGAAAGATTCTATTGATAACTCACAAAAATAAGTTATCGATTTGAATAATCACTAAAAGGTAATGAACAATGTAATTGGTTTAATTAATGAGCTTGGAGTATTCAAATCTTTGAACTTGAGCTAAAATGTTTAGGATGATAATGCGATAGAAAAATAAAATAATAAAACCAGTAAAAATTAATTTTAATTTTTTTTTATTTTTATAATTTAGTAAAAATAATATTAAATAATAGACAATTTCAATAGAATAAAAGTGAAGAAAATAGAACATCTTCCAATATGTTAGAATTATAAAGACATTTAAATCAAATTTAAGTAAAATTAAAATATCTTTTTTTAATAAGAAATTAAATTGATAAATTGGTAGAGGAATATTTTTAAACTTTAACTTATTGAAACAAACACATTCAATAATTTAAAATAAAATTATTGAATTAAGTAATATGCTAAAGAAAGAAAATTTTAATTATTCAAACTACCCTTAATGAATATAAATATTATATGGTACTTCAAATAAATAGAGTTTTATCTATTTATCTATTTCTTGAAACAATAGCTTAAAAACTAAAAAAATTTTTAAAAAATTTTTCATCAACTTTTTATTTACCAAGTTTGGTTAATTAATATTTTTCAACTTTCATACCATAAAAATAACTTTTTTATCATAATTTATTTAGAATTTATTTCTATATTGAAACTAAAAATATATATTATCAGGAAGTGCTTTTTAACAGATGATGATGCTTTTAAAATTTCTAGTGCTTTAATGAATTGTTAAAGAGTAACTAGCTTAGAACTTAATTTAAGGTATTTTTTTATTAAAAATTTAATATTTTCTTAAAATTTAATTTTATAAAAATAAGAATTTCTAAGGTAAGAAATATAGGACTCAAGTCAATAACTGATAGTTTAAAGCATATGAAAGATGTTATTTCTCTTAATATTAACTTCGAGTAATTTAAATACTTACATATTAAATCAATAATTATCAAATATTTAATCATTAAATAATAAAATAATAAATTTTAAACAATTTCAAAGAGTTTTAACAATAATAAATAAATTCATAGTTATTTATTCTTAATGTTTATGAATAAGCGTTTACTAATTAGATTTTTTAAAATAGAAATATCTGTATTACTAATTCAAACATTAAAAATATTACACAATCTATATCGAACTTGAAAAATCTAAAAGATCTTAATCTTAATTTGAGGTATATTATTTCTTTACTTATTTATTAATTTCTTTATTTCTTTATTTATTAAGTTCTTATAATAAAAGCGTAAATAGTTTAGATGTACTTTGTTGTGAACAAATTTCAAGAATTTTTAGAAATTGTTAAAAAATATAGTGTTTGTATCTAAATTTAAGGTAATTTTTTAGTTATTTAAAGATAAAATATTGAGTTGATCTGAATTAAACTTTCATATAAATTATTTTATTTAAAATATTTAAATTAAAGAATATTTAACTTTAATTAAAAATAATTTAATAGCTAGAATTAGATTTGTGATTAAGGTTTGGCTTTTATTGCAAGTGGATTATCTGAAATTGAATTAATAGAAGTCTTAGAATTAAACTTATAGTATTAATTTATTTTTAATTTAGGAAATAAATGACTTTGGTCATACTGTTATAAATAGCATATTAAAATTATTTTATTAATATTTATTGAGAAAAATATCTTATTTTTTCAAGAAATAATAAGTTTAGTTTGTAAGGAATTAAAGAAATTTCAGATAGTTTGAAAATATTTAAACATATGAACAAATTAAAGCTAAATTTGATGTAATAATTCCTTTAAATTATTTTATTGTATTTATATTAACTTATTAAAAAAATTAATTTTATCTATTTTTCTAATAATATTTTTAATTTTGTTAAATTTTAATATTATTTTAGTTTAATGATTCCAAATAAAAATTAGGAATTGTAAAATTGATGATGATGGAATCGGTTTAATTTCAAAAGGTATACAAGCTTATGACAATATCACTAAATTTTCCCTTAATTTATGGTAATATATACCAAATTTATAAATATTTAATTATTATTTAATTTATTAATTTTATTATATTATAAGTCATAATTCAATTAGTAGTAGCGGCGTAAAGAAAATTGAAAAAGCTATTAAAAACTATAAGAAATTAGTCAAATTAGATCTTAACTTAAAGTAATCTTTTTTTAAAAAAAAAAATGACTTAAAATAAAATTATCTATGCTTGAATAATAAATTAGATATAACATTATAAGATGTTTAGGAGCATAATATATAGCAAAGTCTATTTATTAATATGAAAATCTTCAGAAGTTATATCTTAATTTATGGTACCATATTTAACATTTATTTTATTCTATTTTGTTTAATTCATTTTATTTTTATTTAATTAAATTATAATTAGTGTAACCTATACTTAATTTGATGGAGTCCATGAAATAATGAATTCGATATAAAATTTTCAGAATTTAAGTTGCTTACATATTGATTTTTAGTATTTTCAAAAAATATATATTTATATATTGAAGTAAAAAAAATTAATTAGGTGTAATTTAATTAATGAAA